CCTCGCGGGGTTTCTTTGGGTTTGGGTTTTAGGGTTTAGAGTTTGGAGTTCAGGGTTCAGTGTTTAGAGTTCGGAGTTTAGGGTTCAGGGTTTTAGGGTTTCGAGTGCAAGTCTTGGGGTTCAGGGGTTCCGGGTTTCGGGTTTAGGGTGGGTTGCTGGTGTACGCTGTTTTCGGTTTGTGACTTCCCAGAAATTAAAGCAGTACTATGTTGTTCTTTACGTTGGTGTCCCGGGATGCGGCTTCCGCTGTGACACGGTGCAGATTTCACGCTGACATGCCGCGACTTGAGGGCTCCGTCTTCCGGAAAGCCAGGCTTCTTGTAACTTCCATTCCTCTCCATAGGTCAGCTTTTGCTCCGGAAGCTGTGAATCCACAAGCATTTTGGCCATACTTCTGAATCTTACCCCTGAGCATCCCCGACAAATATGGGATCATCCAGAATCCAGCGGTGCACGTGTGAGGGCCCCCCGTAGTTTAGAGTTGTTTTTGCTTTTTGCCTGGCCCATGGGAGACGACGAGTCTGCAAAACTCCTGACAAGTGGGATCCGAAAAGGGGTCTGATAAAACGAGGCTAAGGAAGACGATTTTTTGAAGAATAGTTCCCAACCCGGCCCCACCCCCTCTCGCCCTCCTGACAGGCTCCTTTATGAGTTCGGGGACCATGCATGCAGCTTAAATCTATTCCCTGAGTCGCATGTTGCAAGCAGTTGAGGAGATGTTCCCGCCAGGTTGTATTGTGATCTCCTGCGGTTGTTCGTGGCAGTAGTTCTGGCAAGCGAGATGGGCTCCTCGTCCGTTCCACCATCCGAACTGCCCTTGGGAATTTTAGGATTTATGTAGGGTTTTAGGGTTTAGGATTTTTAGGTTTTAGGGTTTAGGATTTACCAACCTCCAATCCAACCCTAAACTCCTCATCCCTCAACCTCAAAGCCGAACAAACCCCGAGAGGACTTTCGCAGAGCTGCAAAAGCACTACGCCGGCCAGTATTCCTTAGCAGAGCTCAAGGACCCGGTATCCAAGCCATAGATGGCCACAGATACACCATGGAGGGGCCTTCATGACTACGAGTAGTCATAAGGGCAACCAGCGCTGTATTTCTGCTTTCATGGTGACAGTGACTACCAGTGTCGTAGCGAGGGCTTTGGAGCGGCACCCTTCCACAACAAATTAGGGGCCCCATCCTTATTATGAATGACGAAGACGTTGAAGGTTTAGATGTTGAGGATCGTTACGGTATCTGTAACAAGTCTAAAACCAGGCCGAAGTATATATGCTGTTCCTTGATGTCCCCCTGATAAATGAAGTCGCTTGTATGACGGGAGATGCGTTTATCTGCCAGGGGTCTGAATTCAGAGTTATCAGGTGTGGGCATGTCTCAAGACAAGTAGCCATGCACGAAAAGGGTTGCACATACATGAGAGACCACAAACACTGAACATAAAATGTCAAACCATACTTGTATAACCCGAAAGGCCAAATTTCCAAATCCGACGCTATACGTCCCAAATTCCGAACCCTCGCCTGATGCGGTTCAGGGTTCAGGGGTTTGGGATTAGGTGTGGGGGGCTCAACACCATTGCTTGTTCAGACTTTGCAATTTGAAGCCCCGCGTTCGGCCGGCAATTAGGCCCTCTTGTCACATCTAATGGGTGGAAGCTGACTGAGCTCATGAGATCTAACAGTACTTTCTTGTATTACTCAGACATGCGGCCTGAAGTTGCACAGCATCAAGCCACCTGTTTCTATGCGGCCCGACACCTTTAACGCTAAATTCTCATTTCTGAGGAGTACTGGGAGCACTGTAAGAGTGCCGCGGCGGCTCCGACAAACGGCACAGCAGTTCCGAAGAAGGCTGCTTCTGAGGGCTGAGAAGTCAGAGGTCAGAGTAGTGTAGGGGGAGCTCCAATTACCATCGATACTCTTCTTTCAACGCTACACATCCCAAAGCCTGAAACCCAGTCTCAAATTTGAGCTGAGCTTCTGCGCTTTGAACACAGTTGCTCTGACATCAAAGTTTCTGCCTAGGGAGTTAAGCCCTGCACTGAGGTTCTTGATTCTTCACCGCGGGATCCCAAATATAAACCCGAAAGCCCAGGGAAGCCCAGCTGCTTTGCATGAGAGGCAGCAGCCAAAGAGCCGGCTCCGAAGCCTGTGGCCAAGGTGCTCCCAGCTTTACTGCTCTTAGGAATCATGTCTTATTTTATTTTGCTGATAATACAACTTATAAACCCTAAACCCTAAACCTGAATTTCTGGACGTTCATTCAGATGGAAAAGGATCGTCCGAAGAAAAGCCTTAATAATACTGGTTTTAGTTGTTTTTTGTTCTACGGGCGGCTAAGAGACAGCTGAACTCCTGAAGGCCGTTGGCTAAGGAGAAGAACAAAGGAGAGGATCAGTAGTATGCTCTGGTATAGTACAGTATAAGATAGTAAACAGTAATAATTGGATATAATGTACGATTAATTTGACGTTTCAAAAACACCCCGCAACAAAGCCCTCCCCCAGACTTGTTGGAAAGAAATGGCGTTCGACAGGACAACGAATTCTAGCGAGCACCTGGCAAACCCGCACGTGCTTGCTCACATCGCTTCTTTTCCATACCAGCCCTTTGGATCATTTTTTGCCACGCCTCGCCAGTGCTGGACTGGTCCCTTTGTAATGGAGACCCTAAACCTTTAATTAGTATAGGGACCCGAATAATCTCTCAGACTATATGCCCCAAAACCCTGTGCTACATATTCAGGCCCCTCATTCACAGTTTCCAAACAAGCGGTGGGTGATTTCCGAAGCCCTGAAATCGTGGCTTGGAAACGCGTAAGTCAATCTATTCACGAACGTGTTAAGCCCTGCAGCCTACGGCCTAAACTAACCCTAGACCCTAAACCCTGCCCACACCCTAATCCCACAGCGCTACTCCCGAATCCGAACATCGGGCCTACAGCCCCCCCGCTTTACAAATGCTCCTAAATCCTAAAGACCTACAGAACCACTTTGAAAAGCTTCTTGGAACCCTATAACCCTTGGCAGAACACGACTCAATCCCGGAGTTTTTAATTTGCTTCCTCTAAACCCTAAACCGGATTCCTCAGGCGCCTTCGACCCCTGTGCCCGCACCGAAGCCGGCGGCTGCAAAGCCGACGCCGAAGCCGGCGGCAGCGAAGGCGGATTTTTTGTCAGGTTTAGTGGGGTTGAGGATTTAGGGCATAGGGGGTTTCAAAAAGGGCATAGGGCTTCAGCAAGAGGAGCTTGCTTTGAGGCTTTTGGTGTAGGCTTTGAAGAACTGGGGAAGCTTTAAGGCTCCTAAGCCCTCCACCCTAATTACGGGTTTCAGGGGGATTAGGGATCGAAGATGTGGCATGGAGTTGGAGGGTTGGTTGAGTTTTGAGCCTCTTCGGACTTCTTGTTTCAGTGTTGCTTAGAAGCTGCCCCACCCTGTAATAGTGGTCTAATAGGAATAGAATACGGCCCTAGTATAATCCTTATAGACACTATTACAGGGTGGGGGCCCCTTCTAAAGCGTTGCTTTATCTGCTCGACGGTCTTAGGACTTGATTTGATGTGGGGGCCGGAGATTTCAGTTCTACTTGCTCTTGTTGGGGGTTCCTGCTTTGTAGCTCAGCGAGATATCCCAAAACCCTTTTCTCCATAAGTTTAGGGCTTGCTTTATCATAGCATTCCAAAACATCTTGAGCCCAAGTTGAGACCACCTAAGCCCACGTACTGTCCTTTGGACTCCTTGGGGCAGCTATTTTTGAACAATCCGGACTGGCTCGTTCGTACAGGCCACGTATGAGATGGAAGTCCAACAGGTTCCTAAGTACCGGTATGGGCCATGAGGACACTTGCAGAAGCCGGTCCGGAACATGGAAACTCTTAACCTCGCGAACCTGAACCCTAAACCCTAAGCATGGTATGTATAGGCATAGCTACTTCAGGCTCTTTGGGAAGAGCTTGAGAGGTGTCTATCAATGTAAAGCTCCAAGCCCAAACCAAGACCCTAGACTCCAATCTTTCAAACTCAGCTGCTCGTGGTCAAACGGCTCTATTCTTGCTCCTACCGAGTCTCCGGATGCAGTTTCGTGCGATTCCCATTCAGCCGATCACGACGCCTGGGAGAATGTGTTTGGCTACCCTCATAATACCCTTATGGAAACCCACTAGAAACTGTCTAAATCTCCGAAAGGAACCCGAAAAAGGGACCCTACTACCCGGAAAGAAACCCAGTAGAAACCCGTATAAATCTCCTTAAGGAACCCTAAAAGAATTGGACCCTATAGTACCGATATGGAAACCCAATACCCTTTAAGGAACCTTGAAAAAAGGGACCCTGGCGCTTGTTGAAGGCAGCGGCGCCTGCACCAGTTCTTGCGCCTCGCAAGCCAGCCAAGGACTTTCCTAATTCATAAACCGTGTAAATCCTAAGTTAAACGCTAAACACGGTTTAGGGTTCTAGTTGAAAACTCCCCAACCCTGAATTCTATCCCCGAATTAAGTGATTAGTCATACAGCCGGGTGCATGAGGTTGAGATTCTGCAGTCCACACAAAGACCCAGAGATGAAACAGACAGACGCATTCTTCAAGCTTTGGGTACAATCCCCACCCCCTAACCCCTAACCCGACATCCTAAAATCCGAAACCCCGAACCTGTCAACCCTGAACCAACGCCTGAACCGCTAAAGCCGAAACCCTCAGCCCTAAAACAGCAGTTTTAAACACTGAACCCCCGGACACCAGAACCTCTTAAACCACAACCTCCTCACCCCCTAAACCTTTCAAATTATGAATCCTAAACCCTATTAACCTGAGACTCCCGGAGTCTGTGAATTTGGGGATTGAATGCCTGATTAAGAAACCCTGGTTCTATAGCCCCAAAATATTAACGGCGGGGGCAGGCCACGGCTTCGACAAGCGTCAGACGGCGCCGCAGCCAGCTCCATCTCATCTTGAGCTGCAGCTTTGGAAACAGGCCTCTCACCACCACCTGCCATTCCAAACATGTCCGCCGAAGAGCTGCGGGCCCAGATCGAGGCCACTCGGCGAGAGGCCGAAGCCGAGGAGGCGAGGCTCCCGGAGCTCCAGGCTGAGACGGCACAGGCCAGGGAGCGGCAAAGGCTGCGGCTCGAGCTGAGGGAGTTGAGGGACAGGCTGGGAGATGCATATAATCGCAACTCAGACGAAGTCCATTTACGATGTGACATTGACGAGGAACTTTGGGAAACTGTACAGACTCAGACCCAACCTGTGATGCAAGCAAGTGGCTGTGGAAGTGCCAATTTCGGGGCGCTGGTGGCTAAGGGCGAATATGTGTGGAGGATCGAAGGGTTTTCCTGGGTGCCATGCGCGCTCGAACAGGTGGAGTCTGAATGTGTGGAGTCGACATTTCATCTTGCGAGCCACACATTTCTCCTTCAGTACAGCCCGTCGGCAGGATATCTGTGTAGGGAGCATCGTGGGACTCTCGCCATAACGGTGCACACAGAAGAGCGCATCGCGCTTCGGTATCGCATCTACGTTAAGGCGCGGAACGGTGAGTTCGTGCAGTGGGGTGAGACGTGCGATGTTGTTCATCGTGGCGGAAGTGAAGGCTGGAACGAGCGGCGGATGCCTGTTTCCTACGGGCCGGATGTGCATTTGCCGGGGCACGCCCCTGCTTCACTGGGCATCTTCGGGCTGAGCCATAAGGAGCTCCTGCAGTCCCAGTGGGTAGAGAACGACACCCTCACTGTGAAGTTCGAGCTGGAAGTCCGTCCCCCAATATGTGTAGGAACGCTGCCTTTGAACCTTGCCACAGAGGTGCCCGACCCAACCATCCTCGAGGACACGCGGGCGCTATTGGAGGAGGGCACCTGCAGCGACGTGCGGTTTATGGTGCAGGGCGAGGAGATCCAGGCGCACTCGCAGGTTCTTTGTGCACGATCCGAGGTGTTCAGCAAGCAGCTGACGGGAGGAATGCAGGAGAGCATCTCAAAAGTCATCGTGATCGAGGACTGCGACGTCGACACCTTCAGAGCCTTTCTGCAGTTCCTCTACACTGATCGCTTGCCGGATGACCAGGAGCTCCTTCCGAACCCCATGCCGAGCGAGTCTGGGAATTCCGGCTGTGGCCGGGAGCTGTCGCAGATTCAGGCGCTCTTAGCCGTGAGTCACAAGTACCAGGTTAAGAGGCTTCAGCTGTGGTGTGAAGCGAAGCTTTCCAATGAATTGAGCACCTCAGGAGTCTGTGGCATCCTCTGCCAAGCGCATCTGCTCCAGGCGAAGCAGCTCGAAAAGGCGTGCCTCGCCTTCATCAAAGAACATGCAGGCCAGGTACTCATTCTGCCGGCCTATGTTGATTTGGTGAAGAGCTGGCCTAAGATCGGGATGATGGTCAGCCTCTTCTCGGCGGGCGTGCCCGACGCAGAGTTGTCGGCGGCGATGGATGGCTTCGACAAATCACAAACAGAGGAATCGGAGCACCAAGTGAGGCGGTGCTGGGTCGCTGGGCTGAAGCTCTGAAGTATGAACTCCCAGGTGCTCAGGGACGGTACTGTATGGAGCCCCAATGCCGGTGTGTACAACACTAAGCACAGTCTGTGCACTTTTGAAGCTGTAGGATTTCGAGAGCGAGCCCAAAGCGCTTGGACGACAGACAAGCCAAGAGCCGACTAGCGCGAATTTGAAAAAGTGCCGCTCGATTGTTGGACCTGTGAGGGCTCCGTTCTTTGCTGAAGCTTCGTCATCGCAGACAGGGGGCTTGCTTTTCAATCACAACCTGAAAGCTCAAACACTTACACGCCAAACCTGGAAACCCCCTTGACCCGTACACGGTCCCTAGAAACCTCAAGAACCTTGCAGAAATTATAGAGCCAGCCAGGATCCATAAAGAGCCCTACTGAAGCCCCAAGGTTTCTTCGTCAGTTTCCTATGTCAGGACTTAAGGTCCTAAGTAACCTTAATGGTCTTTTCGGGCCGAACGTATCAGGGTTTAGAGTCTTCTTGGTTCCCAAGGCCCTATAATTGTAATTCGGGCATTTGGAGCTGCAGGGTAGTCTAATCGACAGAATTTACAGTAAGGTTGAGCAGTTTAACCGCTTGGACCAGTTGTACATCCTCAGCGCTTGCCTCCTGACCCGGAGTTTAAAGGGTTTAGCATGAGCCCGAATGCTCGGAAAACATGGGCCACCTCCTCCTACAACAGGCAAAAACCCTCAGCTTGAAACCCTACAGAAGCGATAACCTTACCACGCTAAGCCTCAAATCCTCAAGCCCGAGGTCCTTCAGTCTGCAACCCCTTAGATCCGCCCTAAACCCTTGTTTGAATGCTGGCTAAACCCAAGCCCACACCTCATATTTAGTAGTAGAGTAGGTGCCCTTTCACTGTTTTGGGGTGCTGCCATCCCTGTATAATGCCTCCCAGCATACTGGACAAGTAACACGTACCTATAAGCCCAGCTTATAGCAGGAATCAATCCCTGGTCTCTGGGCCTTCCTCTCCGAGCTGAAGCACGGGACTTGCATGCCCGATATTGGGGGGGTTATAGATTGGAAAAGCGATCTTGAGGAATTTGCTGGCCTTAGACTGCCAGGTATATCAATGGGGCAGCAGATCAGGGCATCGTGCCGATGGATTGGTACATGTTCGTTGCTATTCGTAAGGTTCATCCAACAGCTGTAGATGTATATGATCATAATTACCTCGACTGTCTCTTAGTAGAGGCTTTGTGTCAAGGGTGGTGTAGGTCCCGGTAGGTTTCCTGTAGAACAGAAGTCGTAAGATGTGTGTATTTCCGACGGTTGTTCCAATATTTCTGGCTTGTAGTTTCCTGGGTAGAGGGCGTGGCTATTCGTTGGCAGGGCTTGAAGGGGATGTTGCAACGGGCATGTCAGGTTCTGCCAGTGACCGAACAGGGTGCCGCTAGGGTACCACAGGACGGTTCATTAACAACCCCGCAGGCTGGACCCAAGAGCCTAGTGAGCCTCTGCTACAAGCCATATCAGGCGGGTGCGCATCAGAGACTATGTACTGCTGTTTTGAGGCTCCAGATCAGAGCTGTTAAAGGCGTAGGCTTGCGTGGCTCTTCGGGATTTATCGTCTGTAGGTACTCACGCTGGAGTGTCCACCTCAACCTCAAGACCCTGTGGTTGTGGAAAACACCTAATTACCCTCCGAACCCCAATGCCTGATATCACACTCGAAACTCGAACCTGGAAGTATGAATCAACCCGTTCTCTTCAATTTGGGCGTGTAGGTGCATTAACCCGAAAACAGGAAACCACAAATTCAAGACCAAGGGCACGCAAAACCCGGTGCCTTCAGCTATGCTAAGGCTGGAAGCCTACTTCGCAGCCGTAGAGAAGTGGGCCGACGAACAGGGTGCCGTTAGCTTGGAGGAGGGTGTAAAGGGAACTCCAGAAAGTTGGAATATGGATTAATGGTCGGATCCCCTATAATTTACCTTAAAGGGGTTACGATAATGATATTCCAACTTTCTGGCTTCTACTGTAGGGTTGAAGCTGCATTCCGAACAACAGTGCCTTCTTGTGCGACTTATACAAGGCTGCTTACTTACAGCTGATGGTGGTGATGGTGCTACGTCCCTAAACCCTAAACCCCAATTTAACCCTAAACCGTGACTGTCTCTGATCTCTGGTCGTTTTTCTGCAGGAAGGAAAGCATACTTAATTGCCTTCGGTTGCGAGGGGAGGCTGTGGCACTGGTTGCCCTGCTAATCTCGCTGGCCTTGCCGACAGTGAGCCACAACAACAACCCTGGTTTCGCAGGCTTCAGTTATATAAGCTGGCAACCTTTCTCGGGTACCGATAGCTCTACTTAAACCCTTTTCTTCTTAGGCCCCCTGAGCTTTAGAAGAAGTGCTCCCTGGAGCCTAAACCCTCAGCCCGGAATGATACACCCTGAACCCTAGGCCCTAAACCTACAGCCGCAACCCGGCACGCTTAAACGTGAAGTCGCCTGGTCCGCGAGGAGCTGGTGGAGTTCAAGGATGACCTGGCCAAGGCTTCCAAAACGACAGGGCAAGGTTGACCTCTACATAGGTGTGTATATGCGTACACTCATAGAAATATTCATAATGTACAGTCGCATTTAAGTACATATTTTTATGTATAAACATGTATACACTCTTGTTTAAAGGGTGTTGCAGACTTGTATGGGGTTTCGTACCGGGCTCTTCAGTGTTCTCTAATGAGGTATCTTGCCGGGTTCTACCAAATATTGCAAGTCTTGGGCCCTGTGCTCTTGGCGTAGTAGGGAAGTCGGATCTCAGGCTCAGGATCGCTAAGGCTCCATGTGCCCATATAGTAGGTTCTTATGGGCTTAAAATCACCTATATAGGCACCCCTTGAAGACCTAAGTACCTACTTGATGGGCACATGGAGTCTTGGGGGATTTGGTTGCCTCTAGTTGCGAATGAAGGCGCGCGCAGCAATCCTACGCACCGTGATATGGAACTCCTTGATTGCCATAAAGCCCAAATTATTATGCTGGCTGTTTTCCTCTTCTTACTTGTATGATGATGATGAAACTACCCATAGGCCCCATCTTACTTCCTATTTGGGGTTACCTTATCGGATTCTCTGAATATGAACCCCAAAACGGAACTACTATGGGGCCTATTATTGAAGGATCTCAACCTCCGCACCCTCGAGAAGAAAAGGATGGAGCCTCGGCTGGAGGAGGTTCAGGGTTTAGGGTAAGGCTTTGGGGGTTCTATGGGTACCATAACGGTTTAAGGTTCAGGGTGAATTCAGGATTCCTTAAAGGCTTTGGGGGTTCTATGGGTACTATAACGGTTTAAGGTTCAGGGTGAATTCAGGATTCCTTAAAGGCTTTGGGGGTTCTATGGGTACTATAACGGTTTAAGGTTCAGGGTGACTTCAGGATTCCTTTAAGGCTTTGGGGGTTCTATGGGTACTATAACGGTTTAAGGTTCAGGGTGACTTCAGGATTCCTTAAAGGCTTTGGGGGTTCTATTAACGGTACTATAACGGTTTAAGGTTCAGGGTGACTTCAGGATTCCTTAAAGGCTTTGGGGGTTCTATTAACGGTACTATAACGGTTTAAGGTTCAGGGTGAATTCAGGATTCCTTTAAGGCTTTGGGGGTTCTATGGGTACTATAACGGTTTAAGGTTCAGGGTGAATTCAGGATTCCTTTAAGGCTTTGGGGGTTCTATGGGTACTATAACCCCCCCCCCCCCCCCCCCCCCCCCCAAACCAATTCTTTTTTTTTCTTTTGTACTCTACCTTTTTTAGTGTTCATGTTTAATTCAGGCACGGTGATTCCTTTCAAAAATAGGCGTTGGGGTTTCTATGTGTACTTAACGGTTTATGGTTCAGGGTGAATATCACGTCTTCCTTTCAGGCTTTTGGGGGTTCTATGGTCCTATAACGTTTAAAGTTTCAGGGTGAATTCAGGATTCCTTAAAGGCTTTGGGGGTTCTATGGGTACTATAACGGTTTAGGGTTCAGGGTGAATTCAGGATTCCTTTAAGGCTTTGGGGGTTCTATGGGTACTATAACGGTTTAAGGTTCAGGGTGAATTCAGGAATCCTTTAAGGCTTTAGGGGTTCTATGGGTACTATAACGGTTTAAGGTTCAGGGTGAATTCAGGATTCCTTTAAGGCTTTGGGGGTTCTATGGGTACTATAACGGTTTAAGGTTCAGGGTGAATTCAGGATTCCTTTAAGGCTCTGGGGGTTCTATGGGTACCATAACGGTTTAGGGTTCAGGGTGAATTCAGGATTCCTTAAAGGCGTTGGGGGTTCTATGGGTACTATAACGGTTTAAGGTTCAGGGTGAATTCAGGATTCCTTAAAGGCTTTGGGGGTTCTATGGGTACTATAACGGTTTAGGGTTCAGGGTGAATTCAGGATTCCTTTAAGGCTTTGGGGGTTCTATGGGTACTATAACGGTTTAAGGTTCAGGGTGAATTCAGGATTCCTTAAAGGCTTTGGGGGTTCTATTAACGGTACTATAACGGTTTAAGGTTCAGGGTGACTTCAGGATTCCTTAAAGGCTTTGGGGGTTCTATTAACGGTACTATAACGGTTTAAGGTTCAGGGTGAATTCAGGATTCCTTTAAGGCTTTGGGGGTTCTATGGGTACTATAACGGTTTAAGGTTCAGGGTGAATTCAGGATTCCTTTAAGGCTTTGGGGGTTCTATGGGTACTATAACGGTTTAAGGTTCAGGGTGAATTCAGGATTCCTTTAAGGCTTTGGGGGTTCTATGGGTACTATAACGGTTTAAGGTTCAGGGTGAATTCAGGATTCCTTAAAGGCTTTGGGGGTTCTATGGGTACTATAACGGTTTAAGGTTCAGGGTGAATTCAGGATTCCTTTAAGGCTTTGGGGGTTCTATGGGTACTATAACGGTTTAAGGTTCAGGGTGAATTCAGGATTCCTTTAAGGCTTTGGGGGTTCTATGGGTACTATAACGGTTTAAGGTTCAGGGTGAATTCAGGATTCCTTTAAGGCTTTGGGGGTTCTATGGGTACTATAACGGTTTAAGGTTCAGGGTGAATTCAGGATTCCTTTAAGGCTTTGGGGGTTCTATGGGTACTATAACGGTTTAAGGTTCAGGGTGAATTCAGGAATCCTTTAAGGCTTTGGGGGTTCTATGGGTACTATAACGGTTTAAGGTTTAGGGTGAATTCAGGAATCCTTTAAGGCCTTAGGGGCTCTATTAACGGTACTATAACGGTTTAAAGTTTAGGCGCAGATCATGCTAGGAATGTGTTGTTGAGCCCTTGTGGTTCTCGCGGAACAGGGCGTGAGAGACCGCATGCGAGCTCGAACCATCTCTGAAATTGAAATCGGAAAGATGCCCTCACAAACCCTGACTACGGGAAATGAGTGCATGGGACTGCTGCCCGCTCTTGAAGCACCACCGATAAAACAAGCAAGTCACTGAGATGAGCCTCTGAACGGATCGATTGATCGATGAGGGCCCGGGAAGCCAGCAGCTATGGTATCGCAACATGAAGCCGCTTCATCCCATGTAGCTTCTAAGCCACCTTTGAGGTTTAGGGTTCGGCACCCGATAGGGATAGGGCAGTAGAGCTCATTTGTCGGAGCTTTTGATGCCTCCGAAATGAGGACAACGCCGAGGCAGCGGCGAAGGTGGCTGAGCAGATGCCACTAGGAGAAGGTCCGCTGGGGGGGGTGTGGAAGCCACGAGCCTGAACCTAAACCATGGGTTTACAAGATGCTGGTTAGCTTGTATGGGGTCTGCACACACTGTTAGTATTTCGTGTGGTAGCTGCAGCTCTGCCTTATCCTCACGCCGTCACGATACAACTCTTGAAGATTTTTGATTCCTACTCCACGCTTAGGCACTCTGTTGCTTTTCTCATTACCTGATTCCGGGCCCAAAAAAGGTCTAATCCCAAAACCCAAAACCCTAAACCCTGCAGTCCTGCCTTGTAAATCCTGACCACGCAATACCCCCCAAACACTAAGCCCGGGCCGCTATACTCTCAACCCCAGACTCCAGACTCTAAACATCCCTAAACCCCCATACGGGAGTTTCCGCAAATCAGGGGTACCTTACGTTGGGGTTTTTATAATAAGGATCCTACTCTTCAGGGTACTAAATAAGGGGCCTCTATTTTCGGAAACCCACATGGGTCTGTCTTTTTTTGGGGGGTTGAATTTGTAGTCTTTGAGGAGTGTTGTCCTTGCGCGAAACACACCCCGAAACATACCCCGAAACATACCCTGAAACATGGACCCCGAAACATACCCCTGAAACATACCCCCGCGTTATCCAAATCGTTTGGATGAAGTTAGCAGCGGGCGAAGGTGTAGAGTAGCTCAACACAGGTCAGGAAAGGTTTCCCGTAACATACCCGTAACATACCTGAAACATACCCGAAACATACTTGGATTTGCTCCAAGTGGCCCGTTGGCCTTTTCCGCTTCGAAGCGATACTAACCGCCTGACAAGTCGGGACCTTCCAGACCTGCAGCCCACAACGATGCCTGTACCACTACTGCAGCTATTGTCACTACTACTTCTACTACTACTGCTACTACTACTGCTACTACTACTACTACTACTACTGCTACTGCTACTGCTCCTGCTACTGCTACTGCTACTGCTACTGCTACTACCACTACTACCACTACTACCACTACTACCACTACTACTACTACTACTACTACTACTACTACTACTACTACTACTACTACTACTACTGCTATCACTACTACCAACTTCTACTACTACGACGACTACTGCTACTACTACTACTACTACTACTACTACTACTACTACTACTACTACTACTACTGCTACTGCTACTACTGCTACTATTGCTACTACTGCTACTGCTACTGCTACTGCTACTGCTACCTCTACTGCTACTGCTACTGCTACTGCTACTGCTACTGCTACTGCTACTGCTACTGCTACTGGTACTACTGCTGCTACTACTTCTACTGCTACTACTAATAGTCTGCGCGAAACACACCCCCAAACATACCCCGAAACACACTCCGAAACATACCCTGAAACATACCCGCGAAACATACCCCGATCCCAACACTCCTGGAAGGGCGCCCCCTATTCGGACAGACCCACATATAACCTTCAACTCTAGACCAAGAAATGGCAACAAATCCTCGACCGTAATCCGTGAAGCTAGACTAAACCTTAACCAATGTAATCTACTACACCCCAAACCCCTAAAATCCCAAAACCCCTAAACGCTCAACCTTCATCAAAAATCCTAAATCATAAGGCTCGTGCCACGGAGGTCCTGAGGAAGCAGAGCCCGAGCCGGCTCAGGAGGAAGAGGAGGATCAAGAGGCGGAGGAGGTGGGGCAGATTTTAAGCTTACCCATAAGCCCCATAGTAGTTCTTTCTTTGGGTTCATATTCAGAATCCGGTAAGGTAATCCCACTTATGTAGGACTGTAGTGATTAATGTAGGAGCCTGATTAAGAAGCCCTGGGCCTCTAACACCAAAATAGTCGGAGTCATATAAAGAACCTCAATAAAGGCCCAAGGTTTCTTAATCAGGTTCGTACAGCAGGGCTCTGGGTCTTAAGGGTTGAGAGGGTTTAGGGCCTAAGGAGTTTACGGGTCTTGTTTCAGAGCTTAGGACTTACGGGTTTATCGTCTTTTGGGCTTTAAGGATACTGCCAGCCGACTTTCTTGAGTCCGGATGCACAAAGGGCAGTTACACAAAAAGCAGGGCCTTGTTACTTAGGATAGGGACTCTTCCGCATAGTTAAGTGCTAAGTCCGGGGTGGGGGTTTAGGGGCCTTGATGTTTTGATAGGGAGTTTGGTAGGTTTACAACCACTTTCTAAGTCTGGTACGAGTGCATATTGCTGTTTCTAGTTACCGTTGTGTCTGGTTTAAGGAGCCGTCCGCATTCAATCTCAGCTATACTGGGCTCCCTGTGTACATGGCAGGTGTGACCCATATCCAGTAAGATGTTAGTCTGAATGCCAGAACCCGAGTAATACCACAACCTTAAGCCCACTAGAAAAGAAAGAGTACAGAGGCATGACAAAGAGGCTTGAGGAATCTCGGTCTTGATGGGTTGACGCCATGTGCGGTTTTGAAGCTCTTTGTTCTGATTGAAGGCTCACGCTGTTTAAAGGAAGCCATACCCCTACGTCTTGAGTTTCAGGACGAATTGTATCGATGTTTCCACGGTGGCAGGCTCTAAACCCTGTCTGACCTCTATAATTGAACACCTTGCCAGATGGAAACCTATAGTAATCTGCTAAACGCCTCTTTCCTGCATATACCATCATCCTCAACCCGCATACCTCCTAAACCCTATAAGCCCTACGGCTTTTGCTTCTGAGGATGATCTCGCTGAGGGCCGCTATGCGCAGCTGGACACCGAGAGGGACCTCGCCGTGCCTCGGAGCGCAAGAGCTTGTATTTGAGGGTTTAAGTTGAATCGAAGCGGGCTTTGTATCCCGAAAGGTCCATGTACCCAAATAGTATATAGTTACTTGGGCCCTGAACTACCTACAAAGTAATATTTTTAGGGCCAAAGTTTTGTACTATTTGGGTACATGAACCCTTGGGGGCTTTCGCGTTTTAAAGTGCAACACAGGTGTTGGGTTTACACGTAGTTTGGCTGCTGGGAGGGGGCCTATGATTTGTTCCTGGTTCCTTACTTATCGGGATTTTTGAGCTGCTCTTTAGAATAGGGATTTACCGTTCAGGGTTGTTTCCGAAACAACTTCTACCATGTATAGAGGCTGCCAAAACTCTCTTCAGAGCCCCGCACTGGGGGTATTACCCTCTTCCCAGGGCCAATGCTACTGTCTTGACAGGAAGCGGGGTATTCGAGGTTCCAGTGTGTCGAGCTTGCGATTTATTTGAGATTTCGGACCGGGGTGCAGGTGTTTCCGGGCTGTGTAAAAGGGCTGGTTCAGGATGCATCGGTTTAGTCTAGTTTTTGCGGCTTCAGGTGCTACATGGCTCTGATCCTGGCTCCAGGCTTCAGGGTCCAGCCAAAAGACAATGCACTGTGCTGAACTACAAGCCCCACAGCCTGAACTCATACCCCGAATCATGCCATCTTCAGAATCGAAACCCAGCAGCCTACACAAATTGGTCGCACAGCAGAACAAGCCGAACCTGCCCTAAAACTCACGCGTCACTAAGAGCATTTCAGAGCTGTTAAGAACGACTGGTGGGTTGAGCCCAAAGAAAATCCGTGAAGATGGTTCGCTGAGAGAGGGTTGGTGTTGAGAGCCCACCCCAGCAGACGAAAAGTCACTTCAGCTTCAACGAAAAACCTTGAACCAAACTGATTACAAGCCCTCGAAGCTCCTTTTACCCTACATGGAACTCCAGAAAGTTGGAATATGGATTCATGGTAGGATCCCCTATAATTTACCTTAAAGGGGTTACGATAATGATATTCCAATTTTCTGGCTTCTACTGTATATAACCCCCGAGATGATGAGCCGTGGCTTCGATGCGCCGGTGGAAGAGCCACCGCCCCCTCGCCGCCCCGGCTTGGCTGTGATGGGCCGCATGGTGGGTGCGGGTTCAAGGTTTACGGTGTATAGAAGCCTGACTACGATGTTTGAGGATGCATCACGTTCACCTTCGTTTGGGATTGCGTTTTTAGCATGTAGAATGCGTTCTATGTGCTGCCTGCACTACATGGCAGCCACCCATTATGAACGGGCTTGAGTACCTCTATCCAAGAAGATCTCATGTAGGTTTTTGTCAGAGGTTGAGAGAACAGAGGCGGTATTGGGTTCTGCAGGTTGGGCCCACAGCAATGTAACATCCTAACCCACTTCGAGCTCTTGAAAGCTTCGAACCCTAAATTCTCAACACCGAAAATTTCAAGATCGCGCCAGGTACCGCAAGCCATGGCTCCCGCCCCGGCGCGGGTCGGCCGCTGGAAGCTCAGGGGCGCGCTTTTTTTTTATGAAGTTTGATAAGGGTACGTGGGGCTTGATAGGGTTTGAGAAGCAGGAGGGCTGAGGATATCCAAATATTTTGGTTTTGCAGTTAGCAGTTTGGGTTTAGTTTGGTTTAGGACTTAGGGGGGGGCTTCTGGGAACATTCATGTAACTTCAAGCGTTGGCAGGTTCACCTCAGCAACTACATTCTAGGATTCAGGATCCATTTCGATGAGCCTTGATTATACGCGCCGCTATTCTGTCAAGAGTAGATTGTGGTCCCATTGCGATGACATTTCGTTAAAGCTGTTGGGGTTTCTTTGGTGAAACTGCCAGCACAGGGAGCAGTGATCACTTAGCGCTGTTGGGGAAGCTGGCAATGGAAGGGATGGGGCTGCAGAGGCCTCGTGAAGGGGCTTAGCGTTGAGGTGTTTGGGAGCTTAATGTGGTAGAGTTGTTCGTTTCAGGGTTCAGGGTTGGCCAGGGTGTAAGATTGTTGGCATTGACGAGTTGATAGGACGGGCATACGACATATACGACAACGGCTCGGTAGGTCTCTAACAGAAGCACAAAAGGTTTGCCGATTTGCCTCCTCGATACAACCATGAGACTTCCTGCCTGCTACTTGAATAAGTTATGGGGTCCCAAAGTCTGAAACCTAGAACCCTAGACGGGCTCTAAATGTAATTACGTGGTTTTCACCTCTGGAGTTTGGGTTGAAGGTTGGGGTTCTAGAGGGCTACAGCTAGAATCTGATAGAACCTAAGGTTAGGGAATTGGGGCCTCAAGCCGTGCAGGCACCCTAAAGGAAGAACAGCCGCACCACTCGAGTCTACTACTACTACTACTACTACTACTACTACTACTACTACTACTACTACTACTACTACTACTACTACTACTTCTCCTAACTTTGTCGAAGAGAGCCCAAGCCTGCAAAAGCCACCTTAACTCTTCGAGGCAGAATGAAAAACCCACTGGACCCCAAACCCTTGACTCAACCCCAGTTTAAGACACAAGCCTACATACATCCACGAACAAAACACACAGCAGATCTCGCTCAGGCCCAACTCTAGACCCGAGCCAGCTGCCAAACCTTCGGCGGCCTCCGCGCAGCGGAGTGTCTCAGGTCCAGATGTGGGGATTTGGTTTTGGGGCTTAGGGTTTAGGGCTTTAGGGCTTCGGGTTTAGGGCTTAGGGTTTAGGGGTTGGTGGGAATTTGGTTTCGGGTGCCGCCAGGGTTTCGTGGCTTTGGGCTGCGGGATTTTAGGCATTCGTAGGAGTGCAGTTCTGTTTTGAGGATCTGGGGGTTTGGGTTTTGTACAATGCTGAGTTCAGGCTCCGCACTAGCAGTCACTAGCAGCTGTAAATGACTTGCATTAGCTGCGTTTCCCGTTCTTTTGTGGATATTCAGTATAAGAGTTATATCTTAGGAGCTGCCCCCACCCTGTAATAGTGGTATAATAGGAGTATAAGAGGGCTCAATATAATCCTATATAATCCTTATGGTCACTATTACAGGGCGGGGGCAGCTTCTAAGTTATATCTCGGAACTCCACCAGATACGAAAGCCGCTCCTCGACCTGTCAGGGGAACCTACCTGCCAACACGTATGAGGCGCTGAGGAGCAGACCCCAAACGGACGATGTCTTGACAAAGAAAGCTCCTGCGACCGAAATCCTGGACAGCCCCCAAACCCCCAAGACACCAAAAGCCTAAAACCATAAGCTCAGGCCCTAATAAGCTCGGGCCCTAAACTCGAAAATCCTGAGCTGAAGCCCAGCCCGAGACTCTTGAACTCTGAACCTTAGTGCCCGACCCTCATCTGTAACCCTAAAACTTTCTGACGTGATTGCTTGGGTACCTAGAACCCTCGGGATAACTCCCTGGTCCTGGAGCCTACAAGCGGCTTCCTGAGAGGTTCCGGCGCTGCTGGCTATTCCGAGCCTGCCATTGAAGTCCGAGAGGATCCACAACAATGATATCTTTCCTGTCTAGGTTGTAGGGCGTTCGGACTTAGGGTTTCGGCTTGCAGCAGGGTTGAGGGTGCGGAGTTACAGGTAACTGTCTATTTTTATTCAGAGTCTTATACAGGATGAGCCTGTGGGATTTCGGGTTTCGGAACTATTTGGTCCTTGAGGAGTCGAGGCTCCAAACTCAACTACAAGGTCCTTGGAAGCATAGGGAAAGATCATCGTCATAATAGTAAGAATGCACGGATTTGCTTGGAAGTAACCCCTATACAACACGGACAGAAGGGCCGATGTATATACCATATGGAGACGTGAGAGCCCAAACTCTAAACCCAAGAACGTAAACTATACTATCCCCCTTAAACCCCAAACCCCAAAAGCCCTAAACCACGTTACACGGGTACATGGGCCTCTAAAGCCTACACCCCCCCCGACACCCTTTAAGCTACACCTAAACCCTAAACCCTAAGTATACTGTCTGGGTACATGGGCCCTTGCTCCAGGAGCGGAGAGTAGACCCGGAGGATGGCGTGGCGAGAACGTACAAGGCCTTGGGGACTCGAACGAGCGCTCTTCCTAGGGTTTTACAGGGGTGTATTCGTCGGTATTCGAGAGTTTGACGGTGTATTCGTGGGGGTTTAGGGTGTAGTCGTAGGGGTGGAGTTCAGGATAGTGTCAAAAGATGTTAGTCTGATAGAAATTGAATGTAGGGTGCAGGGTTTCCGATTCTTAGAGGGGTTGGAGTTCAGGATTTTTTGGTTTGGAGCTTCTAGGTTTTACAGATCTAGGCTTTAACATCCGCTTCGTTTCTGCATCATTCTTTACATCGTACCCAAAGAACTTCGTACATAGTACTTGCGCGGCCTCGGCATATACTGTGTGAGTACTTGTCCACCAATGGTCTTGTATACTTGTACACGTATCTGTATGTAGGTATGCATGTACGTATGTATGTAAGTATGTACGTATGTATCTACATATCATACATACATATCTATGTTTGTTTGTACATGTATGTGCCGTCCATAGAGTATGTCTAAGCATGAACTGTGTTCTTCTTTAGACATCATCCGCTGTGCAGACGAGCATAGAGCTCCAGTCTCTAGTCGTTTGCATTAGCCCCTTTTCACGAAGCCTGGCTCCTGGTGTGTCTGTCGCAGACACCCCCGGGTCTAGGACTTTTTGTTTCAGCGTGTCAACTGTGGCGAGACATGAACCAAGGGTTCGGGTTTAGGATTTAGAAATAGTAGCTTGGTCTCGTACGAGTGTGTCTTGATGTAATTTAAAGGGGCAAGGGGCCTCTTTATGTGTCCACAGGTATACAGTTTGATACCTACGAATATGTGTACAGAAATGCATACACACCTATGATAGTATATAATATAGGAGCGTATGTGTATGTGTGTAGATCTACATGTAGTATACACACGTCATGGCCCTATAGATGCTATGTCCATGGGTCCTTTATGTCAGGCTCCCATGCTTAGCTTTCCTAAACCCTAAAGCCCTAAAGCCCTCAACGGACTTAGTATCTGAAGCCATGTCTGCCTCGTGCGAGTGTGTGAGTCGAAAACCCTCAACCCTGAACCCCTAAAGCCCTAACACCCTAAAACCCAAAGTCCTAAAGCCCTAAACTCGAAAGCCTACGTCGGTTTCGGTCGCCCAGGAGTTTCAGGCCATGTACACCCATCTCTACTCGCCACCGGAGATCCGGGAGCTCCCTATCTCAAAATCAGTGGTCTGTAGGGTTTATCACGGCTTTTGTTTAGGCATTTAGGTTTTTGCCGTCGTTAGCATCAGTTCGTTTAATTCAGGCTTGTGAGGCTTATCATAAGAAGAGGATGTTGTGCAAATTTGACGGTAAAAAAACTGAGGCAAAAGGGGTTACAGGGGTTTGAGGGTTAGAGCAGCGGCATGGTCATGGCAAGTGGCATCACTCTTACCCTCACTACCATCGTCGCCATCATCACTTACTCTTGGGGCGTCAGATTAGACACCGGTTGTCCTTGAAGTCGGAAATCACAAGGTAGCTCATATGAGCGAACCGGTCTAAGGGTTTTCCGGCATAAGATAAAACAAAGCTAGCCGTAGCTTTCCACTACCCAACCTGTTAAGCTTTTGGCTTAGTAACTGGGTAGGTAACCTTTAACGTTTTGGGAAGTCTTGGGCTAGGGTATCCAGCCCCGAAGTTGAAGTTCTCATTGTCCTTTCATTCCGCGGTCTCAGTGGGCAAGCAAGTACAATGCCTCGCAAAAGGCTGAGGAACGTTCCACCCGAGCGTCGAACCTATGCCCTAATCCCTAGTCCTGAACCCTAACCCTAAACCCTAAACCCTGTCTAGTCTCCAAGTGGTTGCTTCGAGACTGTCCGAGAGAGACCGCATGCACAAACCCTATACCCTAAAACCAGACAGGAGGCGGCTTCAGGCAAAAGGGATTACTTGAAGGCCTCGGTGTTTTGTAGGTTTCAATTGCCAGATTTCAGGAAGTTTCACTCGAGAGGTGTGTGATGATACACATATGTGCAACTTTACGTGTTCATTTTAGAGCGTGCGAGAGAGGGTGAGTCAGAATCTAAGCCGAATCGCTTCCCCAAAGGGCCCTGTCATGGGGATTACTTTCCCAAATCATATTCGTAATTCCTAATACAAAAAATTCACATTCCACTATATAGGTACTTAGGACCATTTGGCTTCTGAGGTACTGGAACGAGTGCAGGCCTGCCGAAGGGTCCCTTATTGGTTGCCATGTTCGGATTACCCAAAACCCTAAGGTCCTATAGTAAATAGAGGCGCATCCGACGGGACTCAATCCTGCAGAGAATAGTAGCAGTAGTAGTAATAGCAAATAATAACAATACTGGTATTCATGGTGGTATTAAAAAGACCGGGGCTTGGGCGCTGTCCTACTACGATGCATACCCGCCGAATATTAGGTCAGGCTACAAAAGCTTGTAAATGGAGTCTTTCAACTCCAGTGTCTCTGGGTGTCCCAGCAGGGATGAAGAAGATTGCAGGCTAACTGCAGCTCTCGTTGGAACCCTATACCCTTAACTGCAGTTCTCGCTAGTGAAACCGTAGAAATACGGATCACAGTAATGCTCCCTGGTTTAGGGGTTTAGGGTTCGGGGGGTTCAGACCCCAAGCCCCCCAAAGCCGAGTCTCTTTAATTTTGGATCTCTTCTGCCAGTGCTCCTTGCAACTCCCGCTGCCAGTGGTCTACATCGGCAAAGAGTCCCGAGCCGGCTCGAAAGCTTGTGAAGCTTGTGAACACTCCCCCACGACAGATTAACTGTAAGGCTCAGAAGAGCCCAAAAGCCTTATATAGTATGGTCTTTGGGCCCAAAAGCCTTCTTTTCTGCGTCCTTAGAGCTTAAGGGATCTTAATAGTAATGAAGCCATAATGCCAACAAGTCGCGAAGGCCTGTGAAATCAAACTCGACAGTCTGAGACCACGTGAAGCCCAAGTTCCAGTTTCCTGGGCTTTGCAGCACCATACTTTGATTAATTTTAGCTTAAAGGAACCATGATGAAATGACAGTTGATACTTTTTCTCACTGGCTACTTAAAAGCCCAGTTTCTGTACAAGCAACACTTAAAGATCAGAAACCCGCGAAGACTCTGCCAAGAGGCATGTACAGAAATCTAAATTGAAGACGTCAAAACCAAGCTTACGGGCTTCCCCCAAGGTTCCAAAGCACCATACTGAGTGATGTGTACACAAAAGGTACCACGGCAATATTCGGAACAACTCTAAGCTAAGAAGATGATATCTTGAAGCAGCATCTTTTCTATACATAGAAAGAGTATGTTTTTTACTTATGTACGCAGTAATAGATTAGGGCCTTCGGAAATTGCCAACATTATTCCTTATAGGGTCGTGTTTCTAGTAAACGCACCATATAAGGGACCCCACAACCCCGTTATGGTCATAAAGGCCTCTACTACAGGGCCCTAGTTCATGATTAGTATTATCAGGATTAATATCAAGGCCCCTAATACATTACTTCTTTCGGGGTCTCTGCCAGGCCCGAAGGCGAGGCGCCTGCGCCGACGCCCGCGCCGCGCGCGGCGCCCGCGAAGGCCGTGGTGAAAGCACCAAAGGCACCTCGACCTGAGGGGGGGTTCTCTGGGCTCTGCTTCTGCAAGCTTTTTCACGGTTGTTACGAGGCAAGTACGCTGAAAGCTTTTTATGAGGTTTAGGGCCTAAGGGTTTCGGTGTGCTTTGGGGCCTGACGATGCAACCGAATTTCGTTGGCTGCCTTGCTTGCATCATTCAGCGAGAGCGCCGAAGAGCAAGAAGCAAATCGCAAGTAGGTTCAATGCTAGGAAGGACATGTTCTTCACTCGTCAAGCCTCTATCAAACCTGCCAGACTCTCATGAAGCCTCCCCGGGTCCCCGACACTGGTTGCAGGAGGGCTGAAACATCTCTGGTTCCTTTGGGGCCAAGCCTTGTAACCTCCAGGCCCTGGGTCGGAGTCCCTTTGAACTGTGAATTATCCCAGCCTTGTAGTCTCAAAGGGGTTTAGGGTTTACAGTAGGGTCCTAGAGAGCCTGAACTCTAAACCATCCCTTACTTAGCCAATGGAATGGGAGACTTTTGGACTCTTTGGCCCTTTTTTTTTATGTGGCCTATCTTAAAAAGGCTTGAGGTTTATGGGCCCCGTTTCATTGAAGAAGCGAGATCCTGGCCTCTTTCCTTTTGCCTTCCTGATGAGGCGCCGGGGCAGCCCTGGGGCAGTGGCACCACCAAAGTGCGGTTTTGACGCAAGCTTTGGCAACGAAGAAAAGGGTTCGGGGTTTCGGGTTTCTGGGTTTCGGCTTTAGGGGTTTTGGGTTTTTGGGTTTAGCGTCTCGAAGAGAGTGTGAGTAGGGCTTAATTAGGCCTTGGCGATCTGAGTCCCTTCCAACATTTCAGGGTTTATGTTGGAGCCCTTGGGGCAGTACCCAAGGTTTATGGGTTTTGAGTATCTTTTAAGCCCTATAGGGCTCCAGTTAAGTACTTAAATATGGTTAGCAACCTACTATTTAGGTAATGGGAGCCCTAGGGAAGCTTTGTTGAGTGACGGGCTTTACATTCTCCGGCGGTTGACGAGTCGCGGCCAGCTGCTGATCAGAGGTGCAGTGGAACGGCTTCGTATGTCAGCGTGTAATGTAGGAACCTGATTAAGAAACCCTGGGCCTGCCACCCCAAAATAGTAGGAGTCATATAAGAAGCCCTAATGAAGGCCCAAGGTTTCCTACTCAGGTTCCTACATTAAGCTTGTTCAACGCTACGGCTCAAGCATTTCCGCTCAAAAACGTACACGTTGCAGGGTTCACGTCCTTGACAGCACACAAGGTTTCCAAGAGACAACGTCACCAGAAATACAAGTACTTTCATTTCCCTCGTGGTGACGAAGCATGGTGCTGGACTTGTGTCACGAACTTTACGTTAGTGGACAAGAGAACCTCTTCTGGCAGCCAGAGAATGAGGAGCATCAGAGGCGTCGTTGGCTGGCACCCAAGGTCCAAGCACCCAAGCCCGTTTCAAAGGTGCTCAAGGCCGTCCCAGCAGTTTCCGGACTGGCCTCGACCTGTGCCCCAGTCGCCCTGACCTCCCAGCGTGCCCATCGGACAACACAGCCGACCACCATTGCCTCGTATGTTGTCGGCCAGACATCCCCCGCTCGTGAGATTTCCAAGACCTATGCAACAGCTCGCAGCATCGCAGGCTTCCGCCAAGTTCCTGCAACTGGCACACTGTTGGCCCCAGCTGTATCGGTTCTCCAAAAGAGCCGGGTCCCGGCGTTCCAGCGCAGCGTCCAGCACCCTGCCGTGCCCGTGAAGCAGGTCCACCAAACCGCACCGCGTGTCACGATGCGGGTGGTGCAGCCGGCGGTCTACAGGCCCGTTCAGGTGCGCGCTGCCCCAGTCGTGTATCCAATATCTCGCGAGACGTCCTTCCTCAGCTACTATCCCATGGCATACCCCGTCTATGTGAACAACCGCATCCGCGGGACCGTGCGTGCCTAGGCTTTCGCACTGCCTCTTGAGACTCCGGCAGAGGATTGAAGTCAATTGGCTTTCGCGATTCAACCGCATAAGCCTTCAAGCCAGAATGCCGGAAACCCGACAGGCTCAACAAAAGCACATAATATGATAAGCCTTTTTGAGGTTGATGGGGATAGATGGCAGAAAAAAGCCTCAGCCGGAGTCTACTCGCTGTATCCATGACCGAAAGAGGCATGGGCTTCTAGGCTCCCCAGTAGTAGGATTTGTTTAGGAGACTCTGATACCGTCACTTTTTGGATTGTTGAGGTGGCCAAGAGAGTATATCCCCCTTTGATTAGGGCTTTCTGGGGAGCCTTCTGGTTTCAACGACAGCATGACACAGACACTGCTTTCCTTTCACACTCGTTCTCAAAAGCGATGCTTATGAGCTCGCTGGAATTGCATGCCTGGCTCAGGCCGGAAAAAGTATCGTCTAGTGTGTGATGGTCGAGCCCGAGTGCTAAGACAGTTTGTTCAACAACGGATTCGCTGAGTAAGTAACCCTCAACCCTAAACCCGCGTAGGTGACAGGAGCCTGGCATGATGGAAAACGGCACGGACGGCAAAGGCATTCAGGCCAGGCTGCAGTTTGCCTCCGAGTCTGAGGTTGAGACTTCTTCATTTTGGAGGTTTTTCTGGTTTACCTAAGTATTTGTGCTGGCGGTAGGCTTAAGACTTAAGATCTAGAGTGCGATCTATCGGGCCGTGTTGTTGTACTGGGCACGACTCGTTTCCGGGTCGATCTTCAGGAATATGCAAACGGCGATTCTTACGATGGATGGCGGTACAACGGCAGCTCGATTTGAAATTTTTTGACACAGACATGATTCCTTGTCCCTCGTTGGGAATCTAGTGAGTAAAGCTTGAACTGGAAATCTCAAAGCCGAATATACGTAGAGGCCTGAAGAATTGCTGGCACTACTCCTTGGGCTCCATATTTTATAAACCAGTATAAGAATCCCCAAAACCCTATAAACCCTAAACCCCTAAACCCTAAACCCCAAAACCCTAAACCCATTCTTTTTTTGGAGGCCCCGATATAAACTTGGTAAACCCCAGACCCGCCTCAACCCGAGCATGGGTCGGCAGACTGCGGGTTGATATAAGGGGGTTTCCGGATATTAGGGGTACCTTATTTAGGGGTCCTTATAATAAGGGTCCTACTATTTAGGGTACTATATTAGGGTCCCCTATTTTTGGAGACTCCCATATAGGGGTCTAAAGAATTGCAAATACTATTTAGGGGGTTCCTTATCATCATGAACGTAGAATGGTCACCAAAACCCTACTGTATTGAATTAAGGACCCTATATTGGTGATCCACACGAGCTTGAGAGCTGCGTGTAAGAGTTTTGGCTTAGAGTTTTAGGTTGGGTATTGCCCCCTATTATAGGGCCGGTATTGCGTGCCTAATACATCTTTATATTATCAGTATTTTTCTGAGAGGGGGCAAAATTCAAGATTTGCACGAAAGGGTATAGTCCGGTATAGCACTATGTGGCTTTTCTTCTTACTTCCGAAGCATCGGGGCTAGATTCAAGTCTTAGGCGTGATTCACTCCATGAAGGCAGGACCTGAAGCAACGAGAGAGTCAGGAAGTATTCCCACCCCGAATCCCCAAGCCGCAGACTTCCGACATCCGACACTCCAAACTTCCTCCGTTCACCGAGGCCTTGAACCCCGAACCCCTAAACCCTGGAGTGCTGAAACCCTGGTGTATGTCTGTAAGAGACAGACCAGGGACAACCTAGCCAGTACACTTTAAAAAGTAACCGTAAACACGAATGCCCATCTCAGGGCCTTGGCGCAGGTCCTTCATTGCCACGGTCCGTTCGTTTGAAGTAAGGCGGTCCGGACATGGGTAGTTCTCTAAATTATAGTGAACCCCAGAAAATTGGAACATGGGTTTAGGATCCCTTATACTTTACCTTAGGGGCATGAGGATAATGATGTTCCAACTTTATGGCTTCTACTATAAATTAGGTTTCCTTTTTCAGTCCCAATAATAGCACCTATAAAAGGGACCCCAAAAGAGACCCTAATTTAGAGAACTACCCACATGGAGGTCTCAGTGTAGGGGATCTTGCGAGGGCTTTTTAAACGGTGCTTTTCGGATTTCTTGGAGGGTTCCAAGAGACGCCGAGTTGCCAAAACGGGGGGCTCTCAACGTTGGCGTATCTTACCATTCTGGTGTCCTTCGCGGAAGTATCCTACTCGTGAGGGTGTACTTTCGGGCCCTAGGCAGGGAGAGGCTACTCTGTCCCGTAAACTAAACCTTAAACCCCAAACCCTAAACCGGGTCGAGGGACCTGCGCTATCAGCATGAAACTAGAGTTGACCTGAACACAAGGTCCATTTGCTGTCCCTGCGTTTCAGAGCGTCCGCTGCGCAGACTGACAGTACACGTCGTGGTATGCGTACCTAAGGGTATTCAGTAATACTACTGCTTACGCCCCAGTTCCGACATGAGCTGGATCTTTGCAGTGCGTGTGTTGCGTTTGGGTCAAAGGCCCTCGGGTTTGGCGGATCATAGGGGATCGCAGTCGAATTAGACGGTCGTCGTTCTGGCTTAGAGTCTGCGTCTAGAGGAAATAGAATGTGAGAGAACACCCCCAACATTTCTGAGGGCCCTGACCCAGGCATGCCGCTCCTCTAATATCTGTTGTGCCGCAGTCCCCCCAACCTCTCCGGCTCGAAGGCACTAGGCCACCAAGCATCCAAACTGGTGCTGTAGGCAGTTGGGGGGCAAGGGCAGGGGCCACCTTCGGTAAGGCCGTACACAAGGGCCCGACTCTAAGCCGCGGACAGAGCCCGCTGCCCACCCCCGAGCTGCGGTGGCCTTGTGTTGAGCACCTGTTCGCCCAGCGTCTTCAGACTGAGCAACAAAAAAGCCGTCAGGACCTAACGGAGCAAGACTGTAAACATAGAGGCAATGCACTTCAAAGATGTGATACACTCATTTAGCTGCAAGATGAAAGGTTTCATCGTTCTAGAGGCTGCGAGCAGGGCAGACAGGGAAAAGGAAAAGCTCTGCAGGACATGACTTTGGGGCTCAGAGCTCTGCCAACACCGATCCAACGAACGACACATTTTAGAAAGTGGGCTCGGAGCCATGTTGGACCTCCTCCTGAAAATCGTGAGCTTGGGTGGCTTACTGAGCGGCTCGGCAGAAAGAGTGTGTGAGCTAGGAGGGACGAGCTTGGACGAATCAAGGTGGAGTCTTGAACCCCCAGGGGTCGAAAGCACGAGAGAGGGAAGGTACCACCGTCCATTGGAGTCATGACTTCCCGAGTTCTCCATCGCATCGCAGACAGCTGTTCCACTTGTGGCTTTCAGTGCTTCTCAACAAGTCTGCGTGTTCGATCTCTTGGGCTACTGAAACCTGCGTTCCTCGAATTCTCAATGAATCGTCTCGTTCTTCCTGTCATGTTTTTTTGAGCCATGCTCTGAGTCGATCTGACAGCACAGCCAGAAACCCTCAGACAAAGCTATGCGAAAACCCTTGAGTAGTGTGCAAGCAGTCCCATCTGCGGCCCAGGAAACTTGAAACCATTTGTTCTTCTAGTTTGTTCTACTTTACTATCAGACTTTCAGATGTCTTAGTGTACCATGCTGCTATACTACAATTATGCTCAATTATGCACTGTGCTATTCTAGACTATGCCTTGCTAGACTTACCAGACTAGACCAGACTAGACTATCCGACTATACTGCATTAGTGTACTGCTAGCATGCTATAGTGCAGCACCATATAAATGCACAGTATACATTGCCGTGCCTCACCCGAAAACCTAAACACAACCTCAACGGTTATGCTACACATGGGAGTTTCCGAAAATTTGGGAACCCCAGTATAGCACCCTAAATCGCAGGACCCTTATTATAATAAGGACCCCCAAAATAAGGTACCCCCCAATTTTCGGAAACTCTCAGATCCGCCTCGTGGTTCAGCTATGAAGCTCCAGGCTTCTCCGTCTATGGCCGCGTGAACTTGGCAGTGTGCTCTGGCATCGCAGAAAGTAGCCCCTAAACCCCTAAACCCTAAACCCCTATACCCTAAACCCCTAAACCCAAAACCCTTGTGTTTGTGCGGGCTTGTGTGATGTGTGTGCCAGGGGAGGGTGGGGGGTGGTCCTGGAACTGCTCCACTTAATCAAAAAATAGGGCTCCACGATTCTACTATTGGGAGATCGTTAACCTTAAGGCTCAAAATAGCGCAAAAGCCTCATATAGTATGGTCTTTGGGCTCAAAAGCCTTATAAAAGATAATGAGTCCCCAGAGCCTAAGGGTAATATTGCCGATCTCAGGATTGACTGCAAGTCTAGAGTTTGCATTTGCTTTGATCTTCGGACTGCCCCAGCCCTCACAACCTAAACCCTAGGCCCAAAAGGAGCTCAAAAGAAAACCTAGGCCCTCCCCCAAGCTATAAACGGGCCATTAAAAGCAACTATCAGGCCAACTGGCCCAAAGGTTTAAGGGTTAGTGTACCTTAAGCCCCAAACCCTGAACCCAAAGCCAAGGACGGTGCTGCTCTTGTACTACACCAATGAGCGATCCGTTCTCCATCGCGAGATCACTGCAGCTTTGCAAAGCTAAAGAACACAAAGCAGCAGGAACACGAATAGCAGTGTATGTATGTCATGTAAGTATCATATGCATGTGTATGTGTGTGTAGGTGTGTATGTGCAGATGTATGTGTGTAAGCACGCATGCAATGCAGCGCAACGTAGCGTAATGCAATGTAATGTAGCATAATGCAGTGTATTTCAAACGCTATGTTGGGATGTATGAGTGAAGGAATGCATGTATGCATGCATTCATGGATGCAGGTATGTATGCATACATGCAGGATGGATGAATGCATGGATGAATGCATGGGGTATGTTGGCATGGATGGATGGATAGATGGATGGATGGATGGATATAGAGCTACATATTTGTCTGGAATTGGTTGGTTGAGGGTCTAGGGGTTCTTGTCTTTTGGTTGAATTGTAGGGGTACACTGCACAGGGGTTCTTAAAATAGCGGTCCTAATATTCAGGATCCACGTTGGGTTCCTTTGCTTTCCAAACTCTTTGCCGCCCCTAAACCCTAAACCCAATATCGCAGGCGCTTGACACTGCGAAGCCCGAAGCACTGTTCTCACTGCTCTCTTTGAGTAGGATACCTAGTCCGCTATAGACCTCTCTCGACTCCATGAGAGCATCCGAAAGCAAGGTTGTTTGCATATATCATGCGGGCAAGGTTGGAGCTTCTTTAGTAGGATCGTCCTTCATAAGACTCGCTCATCATGGCCTCGACCGGGGCGCTCGGTCCCCTTTGTGTCCATTCTTCTTTGGTCTGGCTAGCAAGTGGGTAACTGCATTTTGGAGTCTAGGGTTTAAGGCTCCGTGTTTTCAAAAAACGTTCATTGTCCAACTAACGGTTACTTTAACGCTCAAAATAGCCCAAAAGCCTTATACAGTATGGTCTTTGGGCCCATAAGCCTGAAAATGTGAGTCCCTAGAGCCTAAGAGTAAGGGTTAGAGTGCGCGAGTCGAAATTTCAGAGCAACTGCTCACCCCAAGTACTTTCGCACGTCTGTTCCTTGTTTTAATGGCAGCCCTGCTGATGCTGAGTTCGTTTTATAGAGGCTCCACCAATATAGGATTACGGGTGGATCCTTGACCTTCTTATAGAAGAGCTGAAAGCATGGTCCCCCTGTTCCCCTGTTTGTTCAATCTGCATGTTGATTGAGCTTAGGATCATTATGTCGGGCTCTCATTACAAGCCTCAGCTGTACTCGGAACCGTACCTAAACCCTCAGTTGCAGCCAACGGGGCTTCCTACGAGGGAGCTTGATTTCAGGCTTTCTACGCCAGTCCCAACCATAGAGCCCAAGCCTTAAATCTGCACCCTTAAGCCGTAGACCCAGTGCTGAAACCCCAAACCCAGAGCCCTGCCGAGGAGATGATCTTTTGGGCGTGCATGTACGGCTGGTTGGGGCCCCCAGCGTGTCGCAAGGCAACTTTTGCACTTGGTGGTGGGAGCCGCGCTTCTTCACTAAAGGGCCTAGAAACCTAAAGACACGAAGCTCAGATCCCCATGCTCAACTCTAATTGCCGGGCTCCTAATTACACGCTTCCCCACTACGTTTACAAAACTGTTTAATCCTAAATCCCTTAAACTGAAACCCCTCTTTTCTGAATTCTTTTACTTTGGATTTCCAGAATGCGAAAATCTATCGCCCAACTGCAATGAAGGATGTAGTGTCCGTGGTGATTGCAGTCAGAATTTCGGGCTTAGGGCTTCATGGGTTGAGGGTTTAGTTCTTAGTGCTCCTGGCTGGGGCTCATCTACTGATCTACTGTATCTCCCGTTGATGCCCGAAAGCCACCTTAACCTCAAACATCCCTATAAACCCTAACCTTAAACCCTAAACCCTTAAAATTCCCTATAAACCCTAAACCCTTAAACATCCCAACAAGCTCTGAATCGCTTCTTCACCGACTGAGGTTCGGCTTCATCTTCATAGGCTTGCACGACTCACCGATACTCTACAGCACTGCGTTTTCTCAAGAGTCCTTCAGGGTTTAGGGTGAGATCTATGACCTATCAGGTCCCCGAAGGGTGTTCAGAGGCGTTTCATCAGTTTTGTAGGGTTTATGCGGGAGGTTCAGAGGGTCCAGAGTGCTCCCGGTAGCCCTTGACTCACGAACGTAGGCCTGGAGCGACATACCCTCGGGCTCAATGCTACGTATGAATGAAGGTTTATCACCCCAAACCCCAAACCCGTTAAGCCTGGGTTCGTGTTTGGTTTCAACTGTTGTGTCGTGGGGACCCTCAGGGTGGTCGGGGGAGAAGGGGTTCGGGAGCCTCATAAGGCTTTTTAAGAAAGTATAGTCCCCCCTCCCCCTTTCCCCCCAACTGTCCCTATGAGTTGCGGCATTCCCAGTTGATGGTTGGGGTCAAGGGCTTAAGTCCAACAGTGAACTTACTGGGCTCAGGGCAAGCATTGTACTTTCTGTGTGGGGAAGGGCTTTTTGAGTTTGATAGGGTGCCATCACCTTCTTGTCGTAGGATCTTGCCATAGGCCCCAATGTAGGCTTATAGGCACAAAGCCCTAAGCAACAAGTAGGTGTTGGTAGGGGTGGCTTCATTGTGTTCGGGTTCAGCGAGGAAGTCTCTGTTGTATGGCCTTGCTGAAAGAAGCATGCTGAGGGGGGGACCGTTGTGCTTGTGCATGCCTCGGGTTCAATGTGTTGGGTTTAAGGTTTTGGTGGGTCTCGGATTTTTCCTGGACACCCGTGGAGTTGGAACAGCTCCCGGAGTTCAGAATTGGACAAACTAGACCTCTCGGTTATTGGCTGAAGATTTTAATTGGCAGCTGCAACCCTAAGCGTGCTGCAAGGAGCCCAGCAATTCGATTGGTGGCGCTGATAGACCACACAGAGAGAGAGAGAGAGAGAGAGAGAGAGAGAGAGAGAGAGAGAGAGAGAGAGAGAGAGAGAGAGAGAGAGAGAAAAAAGAGAGAGAGAGAGAGAGCTTGCCTGTGAGTCGAAGGCTCCTACAGCTTGGCGAGATCAAGTCCGTCTTCGGCTGTCTCGCAGACATTATCATTGCTCCTTGTCTTCTTGTGTCATGCTGCTCAAAACTGAAGTTCGTCAAAGCTGTATCGTGAGGTATCGGACTGTCACGGTGTCTATAATCCTGGTAAGCGCTTTCGTAATGCCACAAGAACAAATCCTCTAAACAAAGCGCTTCTGCAACCCTGTGGAACCTTTCTTCTGTAACCCTGGTAAAGTCCGCTCAGCAACCCTTCTAGGAAGCTTATGCTTTCTTCCAGGCACCCTCATTCCTTGTGATCATGAAACCACAGAAGTGAGGTGCTGGTCTTCAGCCTTTTCGGCATTTGGGCCCACACCTCGGCACAGACCGAACGGCTGCAATCCTCCATCCAGGCCGCATCCAATTTCCGACTATTCTTTGGGTAGAATACCACCTATATCAAAGGTGTAAGGGTTTGGTTTCAGGAAATATGGTTTGGGGTGCAGGGGTCTAAGTACTTACAGGTTCAATCAATGGACATTGTATAGTATTTATAACCACAATTCTTGTAGCTAAATAAGGTGAGGAGGTAGTAACTTGTGCCTTTGCAAGGCTTGGGCAGTGCAAGTACTATCTCGGGCCCAGAAGTGCACACCAGCATATGTGGAGAGCAACTTAAGGCCCTCCCCAGTCGAGTTTCAAATCCTCCCAGCACCACTAGGTGGGATTTTGGGACATTTTTTATTTTCCTTCTTTGGGTTTATAAGGGACCCTACATATAAATATTTTTCAGGGTGTTTAAAGGCCAACCCAGACCATTCAAGCCCCTTCCGGACTTTAGGACTCTACTGAAAACCATCTTGAGGGATCTTGGGCCCTATTGGAAGCACAAGCGATGGCTTAGGGCATAGGGTCTAGGGTTTGGAGTGTAGCATTTCCTTGTGGCTTGGGGCTCAGGTTTTGCATGTTAGGTTTGTGCTGGTTAGGTGATTGCTGGGGGTATGAGAGTTTGGAAAGTCATGTGATGTAGTTGGAATGTAGTTGGTGCCCTAAAACCATGACCCTGAACCCCTGAACCCTAAACCGTGAACCCTAAGCCCTCAACCCTAAACCCCAAGCCCGCAAACCTATAAACCCTAAACCCTAAACCGGGTTCAGACGCCCTTCTCTTGTCAGGAGCTGGATCTCCAGATGCTGGTGGAGAAGCCCTACGGCGAGACGGGGGCGGCCCGATTCACGGTTTACTGCCGCCTGGCTTCGAGCTCTTCCGGCTTCGGGTTTATAGGGGTTTAGGTTGTTTTAGGGCTACTATTTTGGTCCGAGATTTGAAAGGGGCACCTGTCTGCAGCACCTCAACGCTGGCGGAATTCATCACGCAGCTTCCAGCTTGAAAAACGAGCTTGCTTAGGGTGTAGGGTTTTTGCAGGACTTGAGGTGGTGCCTTAATGCGCGGGTTTCATTGCTAACAACATTAGAGCAGCAAAGGTCGCAGATTTGATTCTTACGGCGACCCTATCTACAACCCGACTGCTGAACAGTCATCCTAAACCTGAACCCAAAACCCCAAGCCGCGGTCTTGACCGAGGTATTCAGAACCTCATCAGCCAGAGGAGACATGGGTTAATTCTGCTTGCACTGGACGCCCAGGAAAAAAGAGAGTGAGAGAGAGAGAGAGAGAGAGAGAGCTTCTGAAAGCTTTCTAAGACCCAGGCCCTATTAACGCCCTCCAAAATCCGGAATGAAGAAATCTTAAGTTTGAATCTTAAATCCGAGCGTGAGGAATGGTTAAGGTTTTTTCTATTTCGGGCGGGCGTCAGGGGTTCCGAGAGGGAGATCATCACCTAAACCTCCGGAGAGTTCGGGAATCTGTTGAGGACATGTAAAAAGCTGTTGAACCGTCGAACCCCCCCAAAGGCAACCCGAAGCCTACATAAACCCTGCATTCACTTCGAACCAAAACTTTCATGTGCCTCGACCCTCAGACCCTAAACCCAAAAGCGTGCCGAAAGCCTGAAAATGAAATCCAATGCTCCGCGGATAGGAGCACATCCTCTGGGCAGCTTCAGCGACTCGCAGGCGCGACGAGAGGTTTCGGTTCGTTGTTCGGTTTTTTTTTGGTGGTAGCCTCGGCTTCAGGGGTCATGGCTCTTTTTTTTTGCTGGTTTACTGCGTTTGTGGGGCCTAGGGGCCTCGCGGGTTTAGGAGAGAGGTTTCAGGGTCGAAGGTTGGGGCGCCGGGGCACCAGTACGGGTTTAGAACCCGGAGAAGGAAATCAGGGGCCAACAAAAAGCACAGAAGCATAAGCATTTTACAGGGATATCCTTACTTTAATGGGCTTCATTGTAAAGGGGCTTATATGGGATATCCCTATCCTAAGTTTTGCTTATGTGCTTTTCTGGGGTCAAAGGCAAGTCCTTTTTCTGGGATGCCCAGTACTACCCTTATTCCCTTCTTGGAGTGCTAGGTTCCTTATAAAGTTGCCCAATACCACAAAGGGAGCGCTTTTATTCCTGGGTTACTGGGCATCCTAGTTTTGGGGCTTAGGGGCTTGTCTAGGGAAACAGATCAGGCCCCCCGAAACCCAATTCCCACACACGGATCACGCGAGACAGACAAGAGACGTCAAACACAAGCGCGACCCACAATCCCAACACCTCAAGCCCTCACTCAGGGGTACTTAGAAATATTTTTTAATTTTTGGTTATCATGATCCCTAAGAAACAGCTAAAATTAGAGTTTTGCTAGGGTTCTAAGTTCGGTTCAGCTCAGTCCTGAACCTCATCCCAAATCCTACAACTCCGACCCCGGAGCGGCAGGCGTAAGACTTAGACACTTAGCCCCTAAACCCAAAATCCCGAAACCCCTCTAAACCCTCAACCCTAAACCCTAAACCCTACACACCCTAAACCCTAAACCCCTTTTGTCCGAGCGTGAGCGCCGAAACCCCTTTAAACCCTCAACACCAAACCCGACCCACCAAAAGCTTGAGCCGCAGAGGCCGATTGCAAGAAGTCCTCACTGGTCGCATGCACTGGCTGGAAGAGGAGGTGCAGAACACGGGTAGTCTTTGGTCGTAGTTGGGTAACGTTCTGAATCCGATCCCAACCATGAACTGGTAGTCGTCGTACTGGTAGTGGTACTGGTAGTGGTACTAGTAGTACTAGCAGTAGCAGCAGCAGCTGTAGCAGTAGGAGTACCAGTAGCAGTACCAATAGCGGTACCAGTAGCAGAAGCCGAAGCAGCAGCAGCAGCAGCAGCAGCAGCAGAAGTAGCAGCAGGAGGAGGGGTACTTTTACAAATAGTAGTACTGCCCAAAAGGGCTTGGGGCACAGGTTTGGCATTGAGAATGTGACGCTGAGTACGGTATACGATTTAGCGGTTTTGGGTTTATCTGGCTCGTCGGGAGGCAGAGAGACCTCCGCACAGAAGCCAGTGATATCGCTTCCCCTCGACTTACAAGGTCTTTCAAACACAAGTCCGCTCTTAAACATGCCGCCACGCAAAACGCGCCTGAAACTCAATATCTCCAGTCACGCGTGACTTATGACAAATGGTGCTTGCTTCGCAGTCCATTTGATGTTTGCTGACTTAACAGTCCTTCTCCAGATTCCTCCGTATGCTTTCGGCACAGCTGAACTGAGTAAGGATGGTAAGTTGCTGCCGATTTATCGGCCCAATATAGGCGATATGATGCTCGTCTTCGAGCAATTGCTTTATTTCATTTGCGCATGTGAGAGCCACAGGTTCGGCTTCTTGTTTTTCTGCCATACACTTCAAAACCAAGTCTAATTGCTGAGGTCCCTACATTCTGTTGTTTCGCATGCACGCTTCGTTGGCCGAAAATCTCATCAAACTGATGCCTCAGGCAGACCGCATTCTGTTTGTGCTGCTTCACCTAAGCCATGGAGGAGATGCAAGGAACCTAAGCCGTTCCTGTGATACAGACCCATGAACAAACCTTATATGCTTCCTCAAACCGGATGGAAAATAGCCCTCACAACGAGAACCCTAACTTCAAGCCCCAACTCCAAGAACGTAAGTCCTGGAAGCTTTTCGAGTTAAGAAGCCGGAACACTAGCTAGTTTCAAAAGAGGTCGGAAGATGATTAGTAGTTGTGAGCTTCTAGGGTCAGGGTTTAGCGATGATAGTCATGGTCCCTAAATGTTTTTGCTGTAATATCAAATATTCGCTAAACCCTTACAGGTTTGCTGCGTCAGGTACTGCAGGCTCTTGAGTCGTGCTGCCATCGGACGGATCCGAAGCCACGGCCTCAACCGGCAGATGAGAGTTGTGTATAGAGGTCGGGACATAGCTAGTGATAGTTCCCCATTACTCCGTATATAACTTTATATAACCTCATTTTACGGTCACCCGGAGCTTATTCTGATTCTTAAGGCCCAGACAATCCTAAACCCTAAACATAAGGATTTGCGGTGTCGAGCTTTTCTGAAGCCACGTTTCAGCGGAATTGTCAAGTGGGCGTGAAGTTTCCTAACCAAAACTGGAACCTACCACGCATTTGAGTCCCTAAACCGGAGGTCTTGTACCTTTTTCCGGTTGAGCGCGGGGTGGTTTTGGGAGAGGGTGAGCGTAGTGAGTGGGGATTTCGACTTGGCGACCTTGATGTTCAGGCTCGCATGCTGAAGCGCTCAGAGCTCCCAAGCAGACCAAAATTATCAAAACAACCCAAGAGCCTCAGACGCTATGGTCTTTGGGCCCTATGGTCTTTGGGCCCAAAGGCCTTGATGTATGAGTCGTTAGAGCCTTAGGGCAAAGACTGCGCAAGACACTCTTAATCCTAAGCCGTACCGAGGGACCCTCCGCAAGACCTGCTCTACGTGCTGAACTGTTCGGAAGTGGACTTGCCGCAGTTCCTGGCGTTGGCAGGCTGTAGCAGGGCACAGACTCCTTGCAGCTGTAGAGTTTGGGGTTTTATGCCCTAAGCCCTAGGTTTTCAACCCTAACCATTAGGTAACCCTCAACCATTTAGTCTTGAGTTTTGGGAGTACAGCTCAGCGTGTTTAAGACGTACTTCTGGGAGCGGCTTTGAAGTTCTGGACATCTACCAGTTGTGCTTTAGGCACCGGCGTTAGGAAATCATATCTAAGACTTTAATCCTTTAGGTAGGGCTTTGGGACACTTCATATTTGCTCTTATTGGGCTTAAAAGGATCTTATGCACTATAGCTTTGAAAGCACCTCCTAGTCCTGCAGTTCGTTTTTGTGCACTTGCTGGTTCAGGGTTGAGCGCGATAGGCTTCATGCCTTCGGGTTTAATTATAGACCTTCCAGTGTAGGGTTGAGGTTGGTTTAGCTTTTCCTATCCGAGCCCTTTGGTGCAGTAGTGCTCAACTCCCAACGAGGGTTCCTGAGGTCCCAGCTTCTTTCCTTAGTCCGAAACCCTCATCGGAGACTTCGATTGCCAGACCCAAAAACCCTAAACCGTGGCGTAACCCTAAACCCCTAAACCCAAAAAACCTACACCCTGCAACACGGGCTTCGTCCTTGCTAGGTAGGAGGGGAAAAAACCCTAAAGCCTAAACCCAAAAGTGCGCTTCCCTGCATCAGGGAGCGAAGCGGTCTTGAAGATCTTGCGGGAGAACATCCGGCACATGGACACGGCGCTCCCCTCCACCTCCTGCATGTTTAGGGCTTAGGGTTCAGGGTTTAGGATACGGCCTTATGGCACCGACCTCCAGCGAATTAGGATGCGGACCCCAGGATGAAGGCAAGAGCATAATGTCTTTATGAAGCTCACTAGACCACACCTCAGCATGCCACGGGTCTTGTGCGGGGTTTCTGGGCCTGGCTGTCGGGAATTCGGCGGCCTACATCATGCTTTTGGTTATCTGGGTTGTCCTTTGGGATCTTTTTTACTATCCCCTACTATTTTTGTAGAGAACCATAACGAAGGGCTTGAAGGACAACTCAGTTATGTTACTGCCAATCATGAAGTTCAGTGCCCGATACGGTGTTGAATGCCCCAGGCCGGCACGAGTCAAGGCCAGGCCAAGCCTCCCTAATTCTAGTCGTGATTTGGGAGTTTCCGAAAATTGGGGGTACTTTATTTTGGGGTCCTTATATAATGAGGATCCTACTATTTGGGGTACTATATATGAGGGTCCCCTATTTTCGGAAACGCCCATTTGTTCCGGGGCTCCGCATCACGGGTGCGGTCCAGAGAACGATCTTCATGCGAAGCCTTAGAGCCCAGGATTGCTTGTGTAGGATTCCACGCTGTCCTAAGGCCTGAAAATCTTCAGCCCAAAAAGTCATGAAACGCCTAAGCCCTAAAACCGTGGCCAAATGAGTGTTCGCATCTTTCCCGCGACGTACTTTTTATTGCTAAATGTTCAGGATGACTAAACGTTTCACGGTTCGAGAATATTACAAGCGCAGGTAACCAAGACGCGATTGGTGGATGCGCTGCAGCGGCAGCACGACTTCTACGCGACTGGTCTAAGCCGATTTTGTTCTCTGCAAGCGTCAGAAACCATTCCAAAGCTTCAAGATCTACCCTGGGAACCAGGTTTTACATTGTGTGTCCAATAGATCTTGCAGGGTTCTACCAGCAGTGCACAACCCGACATCCTGGGGCGCAAGCCCAAAAACACCTTCATAGAGCCTTAGTCAGTTAGGATACTTATACAGCCCTGAAATCTAAACCCTAAACCCTAAACCCTAAACCTTAAAGCCCTAAACCCTATGAAGCTCCAGAGAAGGTGATGCGCCTGCAGCAGGAGGTGGTGGTCGAACTCTTAGAGTCCACCACCGGCGATGAGCTGCGCATGACTGGGTTTGATGTTGTTTCTATTCTTGGGAGGTTGGGTTTAGGGATTGGGAGGTTGGGAGACTTGGCAGGGAGTCTAGCTTCCTGGGGCTTGATTTGCTTTGAGTCCTTCAGCTTCTTGTCGCCGGACGTGTTTTGCTTTCTTCGAGGGAGGCTTGCATTTTGGTACTTGGCATTCGCAGGTTTTGCATTTCAGGCTTCTCGGTCAAGACTCGGAGGTCGATGCATTGGTGTGCAGGCAGGCCTCCTGCAATGGAGGAGTTTGGGCGGATTGGCATGTTACGTCACGTGTCACACAAGACTTGTTCGGGGCTGCAGACTAGCTGCGCTTGATCGGAATTTGTGATACATGTCTCTGCTCACAGGAGGTCGTGGCATCGAGCCAGACTTCACTAGTAGGATTTAGTAGAGACCATGAGGAGACCCACGGTGCTCGGATGCTGCTGCTGATGCCGATTGATGCTGGTGGTGATGATGCCCTAAACCCCCCGACCCCAATAAACCCTATGCCAGTGACGCAAACTACGATGCTGGCCAATTGTACCGCTACTTTGTCATTCCGTGCCGTCGGAAGGATGAAGCCAAGACATCTCCAATCCTAAATGCTAACACTGACAAATCGAGAAGCGTAAATGCTAACACTTGTTCCCTAAACCCTATCCTAAACATACAAGCCCGAAGCTCGGTCGGAAGGATGAAGGACGTCTTAGACGAGGGCGGGGATTTCTACAACCTGCACAAGCTCGTCTTTCACGACCTTGATCCCGAGATGCCCTGTGGGCAGAAGTAGAGGTTTCGCATGGTTCCTGTGAGGGCTTATGGCTTTGGGCTCCATAAAGGTTCTATGCAGTCCTCTAAGCATCCTACTTACAGGAAGTCGAAGGGTTTGTCATAATTAGGGGAGTCTCGTTGTTCTCAGTGCAAGCCAGATCTACATCACCAGTGCTGGTCCCTGGGTGATTTTTTTGCAAGGCGCGGCAGCATCTTCTTGTTTGGCAATGAGGAATGGCTCTGCATACAACATCCTAGCAGCGAAGCCCTGAATCCTTACTAAACCTCAGATACCGAAATGCAAGTCTACAGGAAGCAGAAACGCAAAGCAACGAAGCAGAGCACCCAAGATTCAACCCAGCACGGTGTTGTCTTCATCGTCCCTGACACCGGAAACCTGACAGTCCACGAGCAAAGTATTTCGGAAGTCGCTTCCATCTAGATCTCTTTGCTTTGGTGACAGATCTGAGGCGTGAGTCTTCGCTGGAAAATGCTACAGCTTGCTAAAGCTCCCTTCACAAACCAGGGAGTTTTCGAAAATAGGGGGCCCTCATGGAGTACCCTAAATACTAGGATCCTTATTATAAGGACCCCCAAAACAGGTACCTCCCAATTTCGGAATTTCCCACCAAGCTTTAAGCCTCGGACCAAACAGGGCCCGACACCCCTAAAGCTTACACCCAGGTACGAGCGAGCACTCAGACACATTCAGAAGGAGGGTCGGCGCATGGCGAAGCAGTACGCACCGCATAAGGCCTGATGTAAGAGTTTCACTGCAAATGGTGCTTCTTGGGCTTGTGTTTGGGGTGAACCCGTTAGGCAGGTGCGACGGTGTCAACACTGATTTCCGTCAGCCGGACCTGCAGCCTAAAGAATCAAATGGAAGTGTTTGGTCCTGTACTCTGAAGCCCCCATCTTAAGGAGCAGCGCCAACAAAAGGTAGTCCAGAGCCCCATTTCAGCCGTTCAGGATGCTCGGCTGGCGGGAGGTTGTGCATTACTTGGGTTGTTCCGGGGTTCCCCTCCGCAGCAAAATATCTGTTGAGGATACTGCAGGAAGCAGTCAGGCCTTACCACCGTTCCGAAGGCATCAAGCCTGAATCTCAAAATCCAACGTATCTAGTATCTAAACCCTCCTATAAGCATAGTATCTGATTCTGGCGTGACGATGCCAGCCGTAGGACAATGAAGTGATTTTATATTCTGGGGCTAGGATGATTTCGGGATTCGGGCTAGCCCGAAGAACGATGTTTCCTTGGAAGGCTCCGATCAAGATTATCAGCGATGTGGACGACACGCTCTATGGGAGTGCTCTTGGCTATTTCAAGTTGGGATGGAAGCCTTCTGCGGGGTAAGTTCGGAGTCTGCGTTTGGGAGTTATCCGTTCCCGGTTGAGCTTTGTTCGTGTGGAGGAGTTCCGCCACTGGGTCAATGGGCGGGTGCTTAGATAGCTGTGTGTTTGCTACCTTCATCTCTCAAGGCGATTCCCATTACGGCCGTCATTTATACGTGGATGACATCACAGTTTTTTGTGCCAGGTTCTCACTTGGTTGCAACCTAACTACCCTAAGTTTGACATGAAGTAGGGCCTATATTGGGGATTTGGTGAGTGTAGACTGTTGGGATGTATTATGGAGGTACCAGCGACTTCAAGGAATCCCCACTCCACATCCCAAGCCCCCATATCCAAACACTTCAAACACTTCATCCTCTCGTTTGGGGTTTAGTCCAGTTTTATAGGGGCACGGTTTGACTCAGTCAGTTTCCGCAATCAAGCAGTATAGAACTGTATTCCCTCGGGTTTCCTAACGCTTGTTATTGTATGAGATCACCCGAATACATAGTACATGACATCCCCGAACGAATTCAGATACATGTGTTCCGAGGTGGCGGCCATTTCCCCGCCGGCTGCGATGAGCGCTTTCCGAAAAGCCAGGCGGGCAAGCATTCTGTAATTGTAGCGTCTGTTCCGGTGATGTACATATGGGGTTCTGACAAGTTCAAGGGTATGAGCTCTATGGGTATATGAGGCTGATTAGGGTTGAACGGCGTCGGTGTGGTGCTGAGAGTTTACGGGCCTCAGGATCTCGAAGTTAGGGTCCCGTTTTAAGTCCCAAAGCTAGATGAGCAAGCTTTTGCGTAACCCTACACAAACGTAAACCCTGACCACTACCCTAACCTAAACCTAAACTCAATAAGGTGTTGGGTTTTAGGATATGAAGCCTCCCCTCCAAGTCCCCTAAACCCCTAAACGCCACGAAGTCTGCTCAGGTCTATCCAGGGGTTCTAGCGCTGTTTAAAGAGATCACGGCCGAGCGTACCATGAAGCAGAAGGAGAAAGTGCCCAAGGCGCCTCGGGTTTTACGGGTTTAGGGGTCTATAGGCTTTTAGGGTCTAGGGCCTTTAGGGTTTTAGGGTTCAGGGGTTTTAGGGTTTAGGGGGGGTAGGGTTTAGGTGGTTTACGGTTTTGGGTTTAGCAACAGTACTATAGGGGCCTACATGTATAATTACCAATACGATTTTGCGGGGTTCCTTATTGTACTTATAGTATAATGAGCACCCAGACACTTGTCTAGTCATTAAGGCCCCTACATTACGGGATTTGAGGGTTTGGGGTTCATGGTTTAGGGTCGCTCTTGTTTGCTTTAGGGAGGGCTTTGCACAAATTTAGGGGTTTAGGGTGGCATCTCTTTGTCATATATCTCGTAGTTTACGAGTTCAGGGAGACGTACTAGGTCGAGGGTCAGAGTCGCAGCTGCTTTGGGGATGTTCGGCCTGGAACCGTGGTTTTGAGTTGCCAGGGTATGTGCGGTGCTGCAGTACTGTAGACATTGCTGAAGGACGGAACCTTTGAGGCTGTTGGTTTTTAAAGATGGATTTCAGATGCTGTTATGGCTAGAAAGCGTCTATGCAGCTGCTCTCGCACAGTGTTTACTTTTCGCACTCACATAGCCAGCTGATCGTCATGGCAATCAGACATGAATATGTTAGGCTTTGTAAACTATGCTGGGCATTTCGGGATAGCACACGTTATCCGAAGAAGGTGCTGCACTTGTGGGTCAACGAATTGGGTTAGGGTCGGTTCTCGCTATTCAACATCTAGAATGACAGTTATGCTTCTTCGGGAATTCTGCCTGAAGCCCGGGGCGCCAATTGGTGACAGTCGACAGAGCCACGCAACGCAGGGAGAGGAGGACGACAACGAGCAGCCACAGCCTCAGTCAGAGAAGGAACGCCCTTTTTTTGCAGTTCCGGTAGAACCTTTGCCCAACAACTATCGTAACCTTGTTGTCATGTCTCAGATGACTCGTACACTCGCCTAGAATGACAGCACAACGTGCATACTGCATTCAGCCATGCTTTTGTCTGAAGGCGTAGCATGTCAGGGGTTGTTGTGGTTTCGACCTGGTCCACCGGCATGTGTGCATGCCAGGGCAAATAGACACCTAGGTAGGGCTTTGGGACATTTTAGATTTGCTCGTATTGGGCTTCTTACCTACTTACTATAATCGTTTTCAAAGGCTTTAAAGGCACCGCCTAGACACCCAAATACAATCGCGAAGCACTATTTGTTCTCACTGCAGCTGTTCAGAAAGCATACGTGTGGGGAAGGCTTAAAGGGCTCAGTGTTCAAAGCCCAATGATCTCAAACGATACCAGAATATCCTCAATACGCCACCCTGCTTGCAGTTCGAAGCCGTGCTGATGTCTGCAGACACCCGAAGGGTCCATGGAGCGATTTGGTAGCTGGGGTTCGGCTGGTGTATTGGGCACTAAATCCTATAAACCTTATAAACGGTTAGTAAGTTAGCGATGGCAATTTCCATTTTCTTACCGCACTCCCCCCTAATAACAGACCCAAACACAGCCCCTTCAACAACTACCCGCAACACCGCCACCCGAAACTAAAACCACCCGACCTATTCTAGGCCCACACCCTTGCCCAGAAACCCACCGTAGACGCAACAGAAGTTCAACCACGCGACCCACCCTAGGCCACCTTACGACCCAGACGCTTTAACACAAAGAAAACCATAGCACCTCAACTCGAAATCTCCAACCCGAGAAAACGGACATGGTCAGTCTATAACAGGAATAATGCTTAGCGTTCAGGTCGCATCGACTAGCTGACTAGCACAATACTGATAGCATTGCCAAGCATGAGCCACTTGTTTAGATTGCCGTCTTTAAGCTTCATTTGAGTCCTGCCTGCAAATTGTTTCCTGCCTCCACCTCTCACTGGCCATGAAAGCTGGCCTGGCACTTGCCACACTCTGGATATTTCAGTCGTTTCTTGCAATCTGTCCTGGCTTGGTTTGCATTTCCGCGCTCGGTCAGTCACACTTCTTGCAGCCACGGCTTCAACATGCCGGGTCCTTGTCCAGCGATATCCACACACGGACTCGGGCTTCCGCGTTCTCACCACGTTCCGGACATGTTCAAGTTTCCACGACATGTGTTGTGACGAGGAATAGCTTGTCAGCTAGCGGTGTATTCAGCAAATATGCGCAGCGTGATTTGCCACCAGACTTCGGACCAGTTTTGGAAGTCTCTGCGGGCAGGCATCATACTTGCGCCGTGCGGGCAGATGGTCTGCTCGTCTGCTTTGGAGACAACTCAGTGGGGCAATGCGACGTGCCGGCAGATGTGGGACCAGTTTTGGCAGTTTCAGCTGGCTTTTATCATACTTGTGCAGTGCGGGCAGATGGTCAGATTGTCTGCTTTGGATCCGTCGAATCCGGGCGATGCGACGTGCCAGCAGATTTCGGACCAGTTTTGGCGGTCTCAGCGGGCAACCAGTATACTTCTGCAGTGCGGGCAGATACTCAGCTCGCCTGCTTCGGATCCAAGCGGTGTGACCTGCCAGCAGAGTTGGGACCAGTTTGGGCAGTGTCAGCGGGCCCTTATCATACTTGTGCAGCACGGGCAGATGGTCAGCTCGTCTGCTTTGGAGACAACACATTTGGGCAATGCGACGTGCCATCAGATGTGGGACCAGTTTTGGCAGTTTCGGCGGGCTTATGTCATACTTGTGCAGTGCGGGCAGATGGTCAGCTCGTCTGCTTTGGAGAGAACGCATTTGGACAATGCGAGGTCCCGGCAGATTTGGGACCAGTTTTGGCAGTTTCAGCTGGCTCTCAGCATACTTGTGCAGTGTGCGCAGATGGTCAGATTGTCTGCTTTGGAGACAACGAATTTGGGCAATGCGACGTGCCATCAGATGTGGGACCAGTTTTGGCAGTTTCGGCGGGCTCTCGTCATACTTGTGCAGTGCGGGCAGATGGTCAGCTCGTCTGCTTTGGAGACAACGAATTTGGGCAATGCGAAGTGCCAGCAGATTTGCGAGCAGTTTAGATGGTTACTTATTGTTTTACTGCCCAAAGGCCCCAAAGTAGTTCATTTTGGGGGTTCGTATGTAGAACCCTATAAGGTTTTCCCAGAAAGGAACTACTTTGGGGCCTCTGGGTGGTGCTGTGCAGTGCCGGGAGCTGGTCAGCTCGTCTTCTTCGGAGACTGAAGTGTGATGTGCCCAACCGCTGATCATGCAGAAAACCCAGAGAGAGCCAACATGAGCCAACCCTCAAACTTTTCAGCAGCTCGAATCATAAAGATTGCCTGCCATTACCTACAACTCTAGAGTAATTCTGCCCTTATGTTTTTGTCACAGGGTGCTCCCCAGTGTGTATAGAGGAGTCTGGGCGACAGACGAGTGCAGCTTGAGGCAAGCCAGCCTCTTAACCCTGCCATTGTAGAAGGGTCCTTTCAGTTCCGCATATAGGAGTTTCGGGTACTTTGTTTTGGGGTCCGTATAAAAAGGATCCTACTATTTGGGGTACCATATCAGTGTCCCCTATTTTCGGAAACTCCCATAAACCAAACCCTGAACCCAGACGTACTCCTTGAGGCAAAGCTTCAGTGTTTTGCGGCTGCTGGGCTACCGGGTACACAACAACACTAACCCAGCCCCTCGGCTGCAGATACGGCCGGGTTTGGGGTTTAGGATTTAGGGATTTAGGGATTTAGGGGTTTAGGTTAGAAGGGGCCCCACCCTGTAATAGTGGTATAATAGGATTATAATAGGGCCCTAATATAATCCTTATAGTCACTATTACAGGGTGGGGGCAGCTTCTAAGGTTTAGGGTTTATAAGGTTTAGGTGGAGTTCAGGGGCCGACTCAGTTCCTGGCATATGCGTAGTCCAGGTGTAAAAAGGTGGAGTTCAGGGCGAAGAGGTGAGGCGGTGTGCAGGGTTTCTTGGCCTGGGTTCTCCGAGCATGAGCGTCGAAACCCTAAACTCGCTCTCTGCATCAACCGCCCAGTCGGAAAGGCACCGAAAAGCCCTACTCCGCGAAGCACCATAGAACTAGCCTATACCAAAATATCAGCAACCCTGCTATTTTCGGTGTTATACGCTGTAGTTAAGGGGTCATGACCTACTATTTGGTAGAGTTTGGGGATACAGGTCGTTAAACACCAACAGCCTCGAACACTTGCGGGGGAAATCCCAAAGAGAGCTGCCTGAAGGTGTGGATTCGCGCTCCCGGCCGGCAGTGGAAGGACATCATGGGACAGAGCATCAGTTCGGGTTTGGGTTTAAGGGGCCAAAAGCCTGGACTCGGTGGGGGGTGGTGTGTTCTGCAGCTTTCAGCATGGGTAGGTGTGACTGCGGGCTCCGGTGACGGAGTTTACACCGTTGCGCACCGGACTCGAATAGAAAGGGTGACCGGTGTGCAGAATTCAGGGCATTCAAGTTTTTAGGCTTTATCTGGTCGACGGTGTTTGTTGTTTCCAGTCGTAAGGTTCGATTGGTTTCAAACACGGGCCTCTGTGCACGCTCTCTCATTTAAGGTTCTACGGCGCAGAGTTAATATTGTATATGGGAATTCCGGCAAGTCTCCATCCATTCCTGAGGGAAGTCTCATAGTCTCTTTTTCTGAAGGACTCGCGGACCCAAAGTCCCAGCTAGACTACCAAATTTCAAATCTCACTGCTATAGTTCCGCGAGCTTAGGTTGCGGGGTTTAGAGGGGCAGGATTGGGGAATGGCCGAAACAAGTATTAATTCGGATCTATTCAGGGAAATACTACGGGAGTGTAGATATGTAGCAGCAGTCAGTAATATATTCGTTTACTTACAGTCCCCCGTTATGCCTAGAGTATGATGTCCACCGAAATAATATTTTGATTATTTCGACTCTATATATTTGAACACAAACAGTAGCCCTTACAGAAACCCTCATAGATCTCATCGAAAGCAACCTTATTGTTGATCATTAAGGCCCCTGGACGACTGTGTTCACACGTTTTCTGGGGCAATCCCAGTCTTCAGTAAAGAGCAGCGAAGAAGCTCTAAAGCACAAAGTCTTTAAGCCCCAAATCCAAAACTAGCGCCCCCAAGATCCCAAACCCAAAATGCCCCGCGCCCCCAAACTCCGCAAGCCCTAAGCTTCAAAAGCTTAAAGGGCCTGGAGTCTAAAGAGATTCTCAAGCTTTAGCCACCAAGGCCCCCGCAACTCCTGAAATAGCACATAAGAAGCTAAGTAACCCCTAAACCCTATGAGCCCTAAACCTATTAAGCCGCCCAAAACCCCCAACACCCCTAGCTACATCCAACCCTTACCCCCCCAACCCCAGAAGCCGAAGCCCTAGACCTACTAAGCCTTGAAGACTCCAAGTAAGCCCAAAACCCCTAGCTACATCCAACCCTCCCTTCCCCCCCAAAGCCGACAACACCTTATTTCCAGGAGATTTCCGTGTCCGACTCCGAAACCGTGGCGCAGCTTCAGGACCAAACTTTCCGGGTTTAGGGTTTAGAACCCTTAGGCTCTAAGGACTCACATTTTAAGGCTGTTAGGTCCAAAAGCCATGGAATAGGGGCGAGAAGGGCTGAAACGCCAAAGCCCTAATATTGGAGTCGTTGTAGGGTGGATCATGCTCTAATGCTGCAACTCTAGTTACATAATGACTATACCAATATGTTACTATTGACACGTTTGGATCAAGCCCGTTGCTGGGACTAGATTAAAGGAAGGCTGTTTGAAGAGATTCTTCGGAGAGGTGTTGTCCAAGCCTTCGGTTTTAGGGCTTTAGGGTTTCGTCCGGGTTCGAGCCCCTAGGGGTCAGGATTCAGTAAGGGCACCCTTTTCAGCTCGAAGTTGAAGGATCCAACCGATCAGCAAACAGAACCTGGCCCTAAACCACAAACCCTGCCTGGGGTGGGAAGATACCGCACTTTCCCGCAGCGCTTGGATGATCTGCTTAGACGCTATAATGATACCAAACCCTGAAACCCGCCCAAGCCTCAGCCCCCAGACGCGGAACCTGCGCCTAGCTTCTTCTAGAAGCATTCAAAAACAACTTCATACAAACCTTGCAGAAATCTGATGGAAACCTCGAAAACCCTTAAACCCCTAAACCCTAATCCCATTCCCACTGGAGTGTTTCACTCATCAGACCTCGAACCACATGCCTCGCCTGGATTGTCCGAGTGTGAGCGCCGAAACCTTAATCCCCAAACCTTCAAGAAAGGCCGCAAAAGCCGGGGAGCTCTGAGCTGCGCCAGGAGCGGGTGGCTCGATCCAGGGATGCCGGCGACCTCTCATTGCTGGGCGAGGCAGCTAGGGAAAATGCATCTTGGATGTCTGGGTTGAGGGTTTGGGGTTCTGGGGGTTCAGGGTATGAAGGTTTACGGTTCAAGTTCAGGGTCTGGGATTTAGGGTTTAGGTCTTCGGGTGTAGGGTTTAGAGGTACTGTGAGCTTCTTGGTGCGTTTTGCGACTTCAAAGATTCAAAGCTAAAGATAACTTTTGTTCCAGATTCAAATCTTTCGATCTTTATTTGAGATGGTCTAGGCCCGAATCTTTTTCATTGCATCTGCGCTAGCCGTCTACTGCTCAAACTTTAAGACCTTGTAAAACCCTACGACGAGCTTCCAGGCGAAGCTTTCGACTCTAACCAAAGAAGCCCGACATCATTCATGACTTTACCTTCCAGTGCAAAAATTCGAAACATAGAGAGCTCTTCTTGTTCGGACTGTGGGTATGTTCCTGAATCCTGCGGGTTTGGGTCAAGCCACAAGCAGAGCTTATGATCCAAGCCGACCTTTCTCTTCCTGGGTGACCACTTAAGAACAGAAGCGGTGCACATCTTTGAGAGCACGGCTGAACAAGAAGCTTGAACGCGCTCCCAAACTCCAGTCTGTTCATGTGCTTAGGCTCTTTTCGCAGGGTATGTGGTCTAGGGGGGTTAGTGTCTTTCGAAGTTTTTGGGTTCAGGGTTGTCGGTCTGGAGTTTGGGGCTTCAGGATATTGGGGTTCAGGGCTTGGGATTGAGGGCCTCAGGATTTCGGGTTTCTAGGGGGTTCAGGGCCGTGTGGGGCGAGGGATTTAGGGAGTTACTTGGAGGATCATAGGACTTAGTAAGTAAGGTTATAAGTACCTTAATTGGGGTTATAAGTATAGTTACCCTAATTATAACCCTAGTTACTAAGTCCCATGATCCTTTAAGTAGAGTTCCTCTTGCCAGGGTGATGTTTGCTTCCATCCTCCACAGCTCCGAGTTTGGTCGAACTTGGCAGCACGGCGGCAAGTTGATTCTTCGTGCAACACTTTCAGGGCTACGAGATTTGGCCTACATTTTTTTTTGGGGGTGTGGGTGCTGCGCGCTCAAAGGCTTAAAGCCTAATCCTGTAGGGCTCGGTAAGGGGTTTGTGCTCCGAGTGTGCAGGGTTGTTCTGTGGCCAGTGGCGTGAGGGCTGAGAGTTGTGCTTGCTGAACCTCCTTGTTAGGCTCATCATATGATGTAACATGAAACGAAGCTGACACTGAAGAAGAAGTGGAAAAGTGAGACTACTGGAAGGCTCGGGGTGTTGTTTGGGGACCTTGTCTTGCGATTTCCCCACAATGAAGGACGTTGGTGTTTGGTCCAGGTTCTTTGGGCGAGTGACCATTTTGAGCTCAAAAATGTCTCGGCAGCCCTGACCCCTAATAGGACAGAGGTTTGTGTAGGGAACTTGCTGGTAGAACTTAGCACAGTGCCCCGGACCGGCTCACAAGACTTCGTCAGATGCTTTTTCTTCTCGTGCTGAGTTTGTTCAAACCACAAGCCCTGAGGGTGAGGCTTAGCATTCACGAAGCCGTTTGCCGGCGACCCTCCGCTGCTTTAGGTGTTCCTGTCGGCTCGACCGCATGCTTACAAGGCACCTCCTCGTGCTGCACTTTGCGACGAAGGGTTTAGGTTTTAGTAGGGGGGTTTTGGGTCAAGGGCTTGCAAGCATTTTCCAACGATGGCGCAAGGTTTCAGCTACAGGACGGTTGAGGTCTCGGTGTTGAGGAGAGGTTGCTTCTTGTTTGGACTGCACGGTGCTTCAAGAGGCCAGGTTCCGTCATTCTGGAATTCACCAGAGTTTATTGTGAATTAAGCACCCTGCTAGCTTACGAAGTTCTAATGTACCATAGTAATAGCAGATATTGAGCTTAGAAAAGACAATCCTGAACAACGCTGAAATTGTCAGGATTTACTACAGAGGTCTGAAGAACGAGTAAAGGGCATGCCCTCAGATAGTCCCTAATACAGCTAGATAGTTATATATACTGTACCCTTAAAATTAAGTCCCAGGTGCAAGATCTGAACCCTGAACCCTAGGTCCTATAGAGCCTTCAGACGTGAATGTTGAGAGCCCCATGCCGAAACCAAGTACGACCGTAACCCCCCGTACCCCTGGTTATGCAAACCCTGCAAAAACGGTCGGCCATAACCCTTTACATAGCCAGAGCGCACCGAGTACCCTTTAAAGGCCGCGAAAAATGTGTGTGTGTGTATATATATATATATACACACACATATATATGGGGGCTCCCAGGGGCCTGAAACCTAATTTCCCTCTCGTGGATCCTTGCCTCCCTTTTGAAAGTATGAACGTCGAACCAAACCCCAAACACTGAGCTCTAAAGCTTTTGCCGGAGCCATGGGTAAAGTGATCTCCTCGGGCTCCTGCGGCACGGTTTAGGGTTTAGGGCCCATAGGGCTTTTAGGGGATCTAGGGTTCAGGGCTTTTAGGGTTTAGTGGGGTTTAGGTGTACAATGTTGGGTGTATACTTCTCTGAGTATTCGGCTAACTACTTAGTTTGGATCATCACATCTCTCAAAAGCCCCGATAACAGCTTTGTCAAGATGTGTAGAAATCCTGACACGTAGAATAAGCCACATAGAAGCCGCATCAACTGTCAACCCCTACAGGAATCCGTCTAGGATTAAGTATCGAGCTCTGTGAAACCACTGTGAACACTTTATAGAAGCAGATGATCAATCCCTGGAGTCCTGGAAGTGCCTAGGAGATCCTGATAGAACTCCTCTCGTAGGATTACCTGGAGAGCAAGTCGTATCAGCTCTTCCGGCGCCTCCGGAAGAGCGGGAAAATGCACCTTGGAGTCTAGGGTTATAGGGTTCAGGGTTTCGGGTCTTTGGTATTTCTGAGTGCACCAAATGTTCCTATACCCTTAAACGCCCAAACACCATATATATATATATATATATATATATATATGTACACACACATGTGTATATATATATATATATATATGTGTTTAGATGTATATATGTGTGTTTATATATGTACACCTATAAGGGTAACCTAAATCCTATAAGGGTCCCGATAAGGGTTCCTACAAGTCCCACTATTGGGCCGCCTGGCTAAACACACACATGCATCGGCCGTGACGTCATGAAACCCTAAACTCTAAACCAAGCACCCCCTGCCCACTGTTTGGGGACGGATTCGCCTGGGAACTCGTTTGTTGCGCCGTCGTTCAGCACTCGCGGTTTGTTGAGAACAGTGGCGATGAGACTCACTGTGTTGATGATCGTCAGCTTGGGCTGGTTAAAAAGATGCTGATTGTGTTTATGCTCACCACTTGAGCAGTTGTAGTTGCCTTTGATGGCGGTGTTTATCATGATCGTTCGCCGGTGAGACTTAAGCTTAAGCACGCATTGATGCCCGAACCCTAAATACATGCGGAAACCCTAGAACCCAAACTCTTCACCGCAGTTTTTGGCCAACAGGGGCGAGAACTAGTGCCACCCACGGGGATATTGAAGAACCGCACCAGCGACAACGGCGTGCATCATTGCACGAGCTCCCCCCGCCTCTGAAGGGATTTGACCTTGGGGCTCACAGTTTTGCATCAATATACGGGCCTCATAATTACCAATACTTTTTTGGGGGGTCCTGAATATATTTGTGGTACAATATACCCCCCAAACCCGATAAACATTCTTAAGGCCCCCATGGTAGCCTTGGACACGTCGGACCCCAAGGTCTTCTTGGGCCTCTCGCGGGGAAGATTCCAATAGACCTTCATCAGTGCCCTCTCGAATCCAGAAGGGCTTCGGTTCGGGCTCCCAACCCCCGAGCCTTCCAAACATGGGCAACAAAAAGCAATCAATGAATGCATATATGCATATATATATATATAATGTATATATATATATATATATATATGTATAGTCTACACGCACATACACATTCTCCACCCTAAACCCTGAGCGATTTTGGGCCATGGAGCCACCGCCTTTGGAGCAGAAGGGTGTTATGGAGCCCGCGCCAAAGGTGGCTTGGAGTCTTTCCTCTCTTTGCAGTTTCGGTCTTCTGGTTTAGAGCTTGGGGTTTATATACCCTAAGACTCAAAATAGCCCAAAAGCCTTATATAGTATGGTCTTTGGGCCCAAAGGCCCTTAAATATGAGTTCTTGGAGCCTAAGGGATAGGGTTTAGGGTTGGGCCCTAAACCCTAAACCCCATTACAGGGCTTCGTGGAGATTTGCTGGAAGTCTGTTTCCAGGCGCCCGGGCCGGTCAAGAGTTCGATTCCCCCGCCATATTGTTTAAACAAACAGATTTAGACATCATGCGGAAACGGAACTTGCCAGGACTAGAAAAGGAGACGCCTTAACTGTGAATGTCTGCTGCGCGTCGAGGCTCCGCCAAGGGCTCCAGCAGAGGCTGCGTCGGCGTCAGCCGAGGCCCTCGGCTCGCTTGTGCTGCGTTTACTTCAGGGGTCTCGCTTAAAAGGCTGCTTTAATTAAAGCATCATACTCATCCTCACCAGGTCATCCTCGTCTCATCATCATCATCATCATTACCACTATCATGGCCGTCTTCCTCTTCCTCCTCGTCCTCCTCCCTCCCGCCCCACCTCTTCCTCCTCGTCTTCAACATCATCATCAGCAGCACCGTCACCACCATCATGATGATCATTACAGATATTCTCCAGATGTCTTTCCAAGCAAGCAGGGGTAACCTCACAGTGGTCCCTGTAGTTATTCGCAGTTTCCTCCGCCTTCGTCTGGCTTCGCCACGTTCAGCTGGGCAAAGGCGCCACCGACTGGTCGAGACAGTGAAGTTGGCCCAGCAGCTTTCAGATGCAAACGAGAAGGATTGCGACCTTCACCTCAGGAGGCACACGGAGCCTCTTGCGATTTGTGTGGGGGGTGCGCTCCTGCAGTTGTGTTCTGGATTTGCCTAGTTAAACGCCCAAGGTGCAGGCCTCTTTCCAGGGTTCGGGAGTGCCCGCCGGCGCCGGCAGGCGTCGTCGCGTGGTCTGATGCGAGCCGAGGCGTGGACTTATGGCAGGGATAGGTTTCCGGGCTCCACTGATGGGACGAGTGTTTCAGCTAACAACTGCTGCTCGATACGGCTGTCTGCCTACTTTGGAAGAATTCAGAGACGTGTCCAGGAGCGAGCAGAATTGTTAGTGTTGTCTGGTTCTGCGCAGATTCAATTCAATGCCCTGCTGCCCAGGTGTCGTTCGGTCTGGCTCCGATCGCGGGAAGCGTGCCGTGGCAGGCGCAACGGCGCAACTGCGGGATTCGAAAAAGAGTCCTGAAGAAGCAGATGCATGGATGTGTGGTGCTCACACGCAAGACGGGCGATTTGCCTGGACAGCAAGATTAATTATTATCGGACCGGAGGAGCGAGAAACAAAACGGTTTATTAAAAGGGTTATTGGGCCTCCGTTTAATCGGTTTGGGGCTTATGGGGTTGAGCGATTTATTTTAGGCTTTTCGGATTTTAGGATCTAATCTTTTAGGGTCTATAGTCTATAGGGCCTCGGGGTGTTGGGTTCGAGAGCGGAGCTTTATGGTCTGCCGTTGAAGAGCTGCCCTCTCCGTAATAAGAGGATGCAGGGTGCAGGAGGGTGTAGGAGGGATTTTAATCGGGTTTAAAGTTACCGGCCGAAGGCCTAAAGGTTCCCTACAGTATACATGTCATGCAAAGTATAGAGTATGGGATAAAGTACAATATAGCTTAGTCTCTCATCCCTTGCACTGATCTTCCGGGTGGGGCAGCACCTGCAAACTGTTGTTGGAAGGCGAAGGTGTCGACGATCATGGTGGAAAAGGACCGCGCGGCGGTGGCGCGCGAGGAAACGGTGCGCGGGCTTGGGGCTGTTTGGGCTCATGGGGCCTTGAGTGTGTACTGTACGGGTGAGGCTTTGATCCTGGGGCAAGGCTTGAGGATGTACTATAGGGGCCAAAATAATTTACCAATACTATCTTGAGGGTTCCTTATTATGAGCATCGCATAATGGGCCCCAAAACCCAATTCTAAGCATTAAGGCCTCTATACTAGGGCACTGGACTTGGAGCTTATAGAGATCAAGGGAGTCGAGTGATGTTGAAGCTGTTTTTGCCGTTTTCAACATGGGAACGTGACATGTCCGAGTGCAAAGTCTCTGAGGCCAACCCCCGTCAACCCAAAGCAACAGCAAGAGAAACGAATTCTGAGTTCTGCCATGCTTTCCACGGAAATCAGAAGCCCTCTAAATATTTGTTCCTTGATCCATGGGCACACAGGGCCATCCGGATATAATCTTCAAACCCTCAAACCCGACAAGATCAGGTGCTCGATCGATTTATGGCCCCATGGGTTGTCATGGGCCGGGACATCTACGCATGTGGGCGAGGCCGAAGTGACCGGGTTCTACCCGTAGTTTGCCGAAGAAACGACCAGTAGTTGGCCCCCAGATTCGAAACGAATATTGGAACTTGAGTAAACTTTTATCCTGCTTAGCGTACGGAGTGTCACATAGGATCGTGTTGTTTTTACTCTGTTGAAATTTCAGGTCACTGGAGATATGTTGGTTCTGAACCTTGCCAGTGACAGTGCAGGTTAAAACTGCAGGAGGGCCCACTTTGTTCCTGCTTAAAGCCCAAAGGTGCCGATATAGTAGAATGTAGGGTTTCCATATTCGGAACTACTATTATGACTTAGGAAAGTATCCCCCGTAACAGTACATAGGACCCTTTTGGGAAGTCCTTAGGGGGGAAGGACCCTCGGTTTAAGCATGGAGCGTTGGATCGTTTAGGCCATGGGCATCTTATACAGGCGAAATTAAAGTCGTATAACCCGTATCCGTGAATAATGCTGCGGCACAAGCCAGACAGCTGAGTCGAAGATTCTATTCGTAATGAAGCAGGCGAGCTTTATCCCCAAATCGCAAGAGTGGGAGATTCAGGGTGGGAGGCTCACAGGTTGTAGTCTTCTTGTTGTGTTCTCAGATCCTTTCTCAAATTGACATATGAGAGTTTCCGTAAATTAGGGGTACCTTGTTTTGGGGTCCTTCTAGTAAGGATCCAACTAATTATGTAGGTTGTTAGACTGGGGTCCCCTACTTTCGGAAACTTCCACAGGAAGGCTCGAGCAGGAGGGTGCCTGCAGGGCACGGAACGCTATGCTCCCAGGGACCTTACTATTGGGTCCTTAAGGGGTCCAGGGCCCTAACTATAAGAGCATTATTGGGTCCTTAAGTGGTCATAGGGCTTAGGGTCCAGGGCCCAAACTATAAGAGCATTGGGGACACATTTTTCAATTGTTCTGCAAACATCTGAAAACTTTGCCACCCAGAGCCAGAGAGCAAACTCCAAGCCTACATTAAACCCTGAACCCTATAAAGCCAAGAAGCCCTGTAAACCCTTCTATGTTTCGATAGCCCATGATAGCCCCTTATAAACGATTGGAAATCTCTAGATAGCCCAAAGAACCCACGCCGTAACGCCAGCCAAACTCCCTTCTGCAGATCTACTAAATGCTGTCCTCGCGTACACCGAAGTGGGCGAGGGCGAAGCGTTGAAGGCCTTCAAGGGTTCCGATAAAAGGGGTACTACGGGGGCTTCCTTTGCAGATTCCCACACAGGTCTAGGGGTTTACGGTCGGGTCGTTTATGGGTTCTTTGGGCTCTATAGTCTCTTTAGTTTAGCATTGACAGCTGATTAGACCAAAAGAGAATAAAGCATGTACGAACTCATATGCTATATATCTTTATACAGATTTTACGCCTATATTCTTCATGACGACACTTTGACGTTACGTAAGCTCATTGGGCCCATCCGGACCCATGCCCATGGCTTTAGCTTGTCATGAGCTTGCTTGGGCAGCAGAACTCCGAGCATTTCAGGCCGGCCTGCTACGGTTTATATTTATGCGACCTACGGCTTGGGGTGTAGTGTTTAGACCTGTCTAAGCTACCAAGTAAGTACGGGGCTTTCCTTCCATCTGCCATGCGAAAGAAATTTCAACATGTGTCAGGTTTCAAGGCTTTAAGATGTTCTACATTTCTTGGATGGGGTCAGCTTTGGGGTTGACGATTTTCTAGGTGGTGTATGATAGACTTTGGAGTTTGAGGCCTATGCGAAGTTCCGGGTGTTAGCGTTTAGCGCACAACCCCAAAGCGTGCCGCCTCACGGGCTGTCAGCTTTCATGTTCATGGTGTACCTTGTCGGGTACGTTTGGACCACGGTTTGGAATTGGAACGTCAAGGGGCGATGCCACGAAGACCGTGTGTTTTCATACTCCGTCACCTCACCAAGACTCATCGAGTCTCGAGCACAGATGCACGTAGCACCGCGAGCCGAATACACAACGACGTGTGTTGTGACTGAAGCTCGGGCTCAAAAGTTCTTGGTGGCACCTGTGTCTACGAAAGTAAGTGTGCCGGCAGCATGGAGGTAGCCTTCCTTGCCCCATCCACCAATGCCGTGCAGACCGTGGCCGCACCAAAGCAAGCCAGCCAGCCGGCAGGGCAGCAGTCGGGCCCCAGCTTCGGAGTGAAGATGGCCGCTGTGGCTTCAGGCACAGCTGCAGCTGTTGGTTTGGCCTCCAGCCGCAGACGCTCCAAGACCGCAGCGCGCTACACCACACAGACGATCCTGCCCTCCCTCGCCTGGATCAAGACGGGCGTGAAGGCATCCGAGCTGCAGCCGAAGCAGCTGAAAGCCCTGACTTTGGCTGGCAACGATGTGCTGATCGGCAAGACGGAGGCTGGGGCGCTCTTCTGCGTCGGGAACTTGTGCCCCCACATCGGCACGCCCATGAGCGAAGGGGCCGATGTCATCGGTGATGTGATCGTCTGCCCTTTGCACGGCTCCTCCTTCAAGGTGGGAGTTTCAGAAAATTAGGGGTACCGTATTTTGGGGTCCTCATATTAAGCATCCCACTAAAAAGGGTACTATATTGGATCCCTTATTTGGGAGCCCTAGATAGTAGGATTCTTCTTATCCCTTTAAAGGAACCCTTATAGTACACTTATTATAGCAAGGAAACCCCCACATGGACCCCTGAACCCTAAACCCTTATAGATCCCTTGGGAACCCCCATAGTACCCTTTAAAGGAACCCCCAAAAATTAGGGCTCCCCCCTCCCCCCGGATTTTTTCGGAAACGTCCCAGGTGACAACTGGTGAGCTTCTCGACTGGTGCGTCTCCCCGCCTGTCATCGGCCCCTTGACCGGCTTGATCGTGGAGAAGAAGAACCTCCTGGTGGGGGCTTCCGAAAATAGGGGACCATAAGGGTGCCTTTAAGGGATCTATAGGGGCTTAGGGTTTAAGGGTCCGTGTGGGAGTGGAGGTTTCCGAATATAGGGGACCCTGATATAGTACCCTAAATAGTAGGATCCTTATCAGAAGGACCCCAAAGTAAGGTACCCCTACATAATTTGCGGAAACTCCCAGGTCTTCGAGGTGCGTCAGGGCGGCTTGCTAGGAACCGGCGATGTCGAGGTGCTCGTGGACACCAATGCCAAGAAGCTCGATACAGTTTTGTATCATTGTCAGTTTGCCTAACAGTCATGGCTCTTACATATAGACCCTGAGCCCTAACAATCAGAGTAAGCAACTGCGGAAGCTGCTGAAATCGAGACCCAGACCGAGGAAGGCGTATGAGGCCTGGTACTGGAAGGGCCTGCTTGATGCACAGGGCAAAGATGACGGAACCTACTACTGAGAAGATCTGAGCACCGGATGCTGCCATGAGCCCATGGGCCCATGCAAGCCGATTTCTATGTGCTTTTTCCGTGTTTGAATAGCAGACCTGCTGGGCTCGACCTTGTATCCAGCTGCACATTTAGTCATGAACTGTGTCGTCTCTTGCTGACCGCCGAGCTGCAGCGTCCCTGTCCACGTGGCCACCCACAAGTCTTGGGAGTGGCGATCGCGTGGCCACACGACGAGCCCATGAATTTTTGCGAGAAAATGAAATCCTGAAATGGCCTCTTCGGTTTCCTCACTTGCGCCTGCGTGTCCGTCCGTTCGTCAGTGTTTGTCTGTCTTTGTGTACGTATGTCCGTACACACATCAGCATGCAAGTATATGTGTGTGTTTTTCTGTTGCTTTACGTATTTCTGTATGTCTGTTTCATGGACGTGTAACGTATGCATGCATGTATGTCTGTTTGTTTGCATGTCTGTCCGGATGCATGTATGTGTGTGTATGTGTGTATGTGTGTGTATGTATGTATGTATGTATGTATGTATGTATGCATGTATGTATGTATGTGTCCATGTACAGGCATGTGCCACATATGTACGGACAAACACACATGATTACATAAACGCAAATTATATATATATATATATATATATATATATATATATACGCATCTATGTATGTATGCATGCAAAAACTGCATGAGTGCATGCATGTGCGTACGTATCAGGGAAGCCGTGTGTAGTCAATGTAGTTTTCACGCGAATCTGTGGAATTTGAGGGTGTGCTTGGCCGGACCTTCCGGTGGGTCCCTTAATTAAGGAATATACCTTAAATCATATTAGGGATCCTACTATGATTTAAGGTGTATTCCTTAACTAAGGGATTTTGGAAGGTCTGGGTATATCGCATCTCCGGTATAGATGAGCGCTCCGGCGAGTCACCGACCTGAACGCGAAACAGCCTCGAGTCGCTCCGAATGTTTGGGCCCGTGTTCGGGAACTCGTTCATGTTCGGCAACTCATTCAAAAGCTACCAGGATCAGGAAAGCATCTTGCTTAAAAATGCCTAGGTATGGCGAACGAAGTTTCTCAACGGGACTGCAAACCCAGGAATGGCAATGTATGATCCCATCAAGCTTATTGCACATAGGATGAGGATGTGGCGGAGGGTGCAGAGATATAGAATTGTTTTGCGCATGTACACATGCTTTTTTAACGACAGGCCCGTTAGCTGATCCACACCGTCAGTTGTTATAAGGATTACTGGTAACTTGTAGGCCGCTCAGAGGCTGGAGAACTTGTCACATAGTTTTGGAATTTGAAGAACTACTAATAATATGCCTCTCCCTTCCGTGTCTGTTGTTGTATATTCTTGCTTTACTCTACTCCTACAGGGACAAGCCGGTTTAGTTCACCCAACTTGTTATTGTTCTTGAAAAGACCTGAAAGTCAATGTTTTAGAAATGCGACAATCGGCCCTAGAAATGCGACAATTTCGGGCCCTCGGGGCGATGCTTTCTGGTATTTTAATATTTTCCCCCGAACCTGATCATAAGCTTTAAGCGTGCAGGCGTACATGCGAGAAACCCTCGTTTTTTTCCTTAGACAAAGCGATAGATCCCTTTAAGGCCCCATCGCCTCCCCATACTCGCCTTCGGAGTTCCGCCAACGTAGAATTATTGCTCATAGTTGTAGGAAATGCGCCCATGACGGTTACCTTCAGGCCGGAGTATATACTATACAGCACAGGTACATGGACCCTTAGGGCAACCGGAAACCGTTAGCAGCTCTGCGAGGTGTTTGGCTTTCAAGATCCCGCCAGCCTCAAGTGGCATTCGCGATGCTGTGATGACGAGGAGGCCATACTGTGCTGCAAGTTGCAGTGCAGGAGTTCGGCATGCAAGTTTCTGCCCGGACCTGCTGGTCAGGCAAAACAGTCGCACAGCAAGCATCATGATGGCAAGGCAGCCTTCTCTAAGCCTAAACAGCAACGTCAAGCCACACGAGCTCCGCATGTAAGCTATTGCGAAAGCAGGCTTGTGAACAGAGTGCCACACGACACCAACAATTGCGTGGACACTCTTAGACTGAATCTGCCGACGAAGGCTATGAGTCTAACGCAAGCGTAAAATACCAACATTTGGACACGACCGAGTCGCACCGGCATCCCCTGTGCCTAGAAGATACTGACAACTCGACTTTCTGGCTTCTGCTTTGAACAGAAATTGAAGCCCTCAACTCTAAACCCTAAAGCTTACCAGCCATGGTTATACAGTCCTTAACATTAGGGGCTCGGAAGAATCTGTATTGAAGCTCTTACAGATTCCCAGTGAACCCTGTAAAGCCCCATCCAACTTGCAGAAACCATTCACAAAAAAGCTGGGGGCAGGATGACGACTCCGTTGGTGCACCCCTTGTGCTTCGAGTGGGGCACGAGAAGCTCGGTGGAGGTATTTTTGAATAAGTGGCTAAGAACGTCATAGAGAAACCCGAAACAACCTGAGTAAATTTGGATAGGGTTACTGTACCACCCAACCGTTTCAAAATACACATGTAGAGCACTGAGTAAGCATGGGTTAGATAACCCTCAACTACGGAATCTCAATAACGAGCCCTTTTATTTGACGATAGTACATTCAACGGACGTTGGATTCAGAAGGCTCTGGCCAGCATATCCGGAATCTTTTCTGCGGGTACGGTCCCCGCAAATTTTAGGCTAGGTTTGTACAGGGCTGAGTGCTCAGGATTTAGAGTTTTGCAGTTGATCCCAGGCCGAACGGGAGGATTCTTCAAGAGTCGAGCATTCTGGACCGGTCCCCTGAAATAGTCGCCGTGATATCCAGGGCATGACGCTTTCAGTGCTTTTGCCAGTTTTTCATTCCAGGCCCTAGCCCAAACCACTGCAGGCCTTGAGCTTTCCCTGAACTTTGGTGATCGACGGATTGTTGGCGTGCGGTTTAGGATGCCAAAACAGCTTTTTCCAAATGAACAGCTGGGAAGGCCTCGTGACATTCAGACCTGCCCGAGCCTACAGTTTTTTACACCTAATATATGACACTTTTGTCCATAGGCCCTGAATTCCCACAATTGGGGATAAGGATCCAGGCCCTCCTCCGGAAAAGCCCAGTGACACAACTTGAAACACGATCGTAAGACATGGTGCGACCATCCGCAGAAGAACTTAAGATGGGAAGCATGGAAGCTGAGTAGTCGAGTACTTCCACGTGTGCGGAGTTTTCTAAGCTAAAGTTTGGGCAAAACCGAGGCTGGCGGTTCTTTCTGCACTGCTGTCGGCTACCTGCCACTGCAAGAGATTAGGAACTGGGATTCAGTAGTAAATTAAGGGCTTAGGTTCAGAGGTGAGCCCAGTCACTTGACTTTCAGATGAGTTTTTCGGCGCCACAAGGGGTCATAGTGTATACTTAAGAAACCTGGCGAACTGAGCCAAAGATGTTGCTCTTATAATAATCATGATAATGATACTAACTAGCAGGACTATCAGCAATAATAGTAGGAAGACTAATTAGCAATACTAACAATGATAGCCCTAAGCCCTAAGCCTAAACCCTAAACCCTAGCCATAGTCTGGCATGCTCAAACCTCAGCGGCCTGGCCTGCAGTGGTCCCCGCATCACTTCATGCCAGAGCTCCCGGCAGGTCTTGCATGCGTCGTGCGTGTAAGTATCTATGTATGTAATTAAGTATGTAAGTGTGTTTGCGTGCGAATAAGTAAAGTACAGTGAAGTAAAGCAAGTAAAAGTTAAGTAAGTATGCATGTATTTATGCGCCTGTCTGTCCATCTGTCCGTTGTCCGTCTGTCCGTCTGTCCATCGTTCCGTATGGTGGTACGTGTGAATGTATGTCCTTGCGTTCTTGCAGTATGTAGCCGTATGCACGTAGGAATGTATGAATTTTTCATGTATGTATACTTGTATCTGTTTGTATGTGTCTACTTGCAGCACTTGCATACGTATTTCGTCTTATGTGTCTTGCTGTTTTCGGAACCGCCGCGAAATTCCACAGTACCTCCACGGCAGCCCACCCTAAGTCGTTGAACGTGAGCAGTCCGTCCCCATGTCTTTTCTGCTTAAGCCGTGTGTGTGGAGGCCCCGGGGCAAACTTCTTCTCGATCGCCTTTTTGCCAACATGTCTGTTGGCACCGAGATGCACAACATATGTCACCCCTATAGCCAAAAAATCATCCAAAATCCTAAACCGCATCATAGGCTTGTCCGAGAGCGAGAGCATAGAACTCACTATGATGACTGATATGCAACCTCCGAAACCGGAGCTCCGCCCAGATTGCTGGTGGGATGCCGGCTGTGGATCCAGGGCTGCTTCTTGCCAGTGCCGATCTCAGCCTAATCGGCTTGAGGGATGTCGTGACTCGGGCAAACACTTCAAACATATTCTTAGAAGTAGTGATGGAGGCAGTGGCCGTGGTTTAAAAGGGCCGCAGCTGCAGATGGAGAAGGACTGGTAGTCGCAGCAGTGATAGTAGTAGTTTTAGTAGCAGTAGTAGTAGTAGTAGTAGTAGTAGTAGTAGTAGTAGTAGTAGTCGACACAGCAAGAAACTGTACTGTACTTCGCCTTGCTCTCAACTGGTAATGAGCCCGGTTCAGGCCATTCAGGCCTCAGCTTGCAGATAACGCCGGGACAAACGCGAGCACGAGAAGTTTACCCTTAGGCTCTAAGGACTCATAGTTTAAGGCTTTTGGGCCCAAAGACCATACTATAGAAGGCTTTAAGGCTATTTTTAGCCTTAGGGTTAGATCCTGAAAGCCTGAGGCAGTTCTGCCTAATTAACGCCCAAAAGTACAGCACGGTTGTCAAGGTGCCAATCTCGGTCCCTTTACTGGCACGACGTATACGCTGCCTCTTGGATGCATTGTTTCGACCCTCGCTGTGCCCGCTTGACGAACACCGAACAGCCTGCGGAGAGGTTGCAGATCTGATCCGAGATAGTATCAATGTGCATATTCCGGTCTTTTCTCTTACTGGTTTTGCGGTCCTTGCCCTTGCTACATTTACCATTGACACCATCGTCATTACGATGGTGATGACTACGATAACCTGCGGTTTCCAGGCTTCTTTCAGGGGCGCAAAAAAGGCCCCTCTGCTTACACCGTGGGTGACGGTTACATACTGTTTCTTAGTCTACAAACTTTAAATGGTTCTGGCTTCAGGGTAGAACCCATAACCCAGCAATATCCTTTCCCTTTGTCTTACTGGGTTTCCGGGGGTTTAAAGGATGTCAAAACGTATGGTACGTCGCGAAGAGGATGGCAAACTCTGAAGCCGGCGTTATGCCATGAACTTGGCTTCTCGAAGTGTTCCAAAGGCCGACGCCCTTAAAACATGAACATCCTCAACCCTAGAATCTCCTATAATTAGATACTTGTAATAGCCTTTATAGCAACCCTAAGAGAAAGATGGGGAGACCCTATCCATGTCACCAAGTGTCCCTGCATTTTCGAACACTGCACTAGAACCTTCGTCCTCAGAATTTGGTTTCACGGTTGAGAGCATAAAACATGTCGAAGGAGGCCAGAATGCCTGTAGCTACAAAAGAGACGCTGCAGTGCCATCTTCTCGAGCAAGTATGAGGTTAGAAGGTGTCTTTATCAAGGAAGAAGCTGCAAAAGTACACGCCCTAACAAAGGTGTCAAGGCTCTCTGGCCGGTAGCTTTATCAAGGAAGAAGCTTGACAAGTACACACCCCAACAGCAGTCTAGGAGTGTCCTGGCCACATCGGTACTTACGATGAGCGTCCCCGTGCCTTGCCTCTATTTGAGGTGTCTCCCATTTGTCCAGGTTGTAATCAGGGCTTCGGCGGTAAATCCTCCCCCATAGTAAGGGGGGGTGCGAAGCGATGTTCATTGCAGGGTTTCTGGTTTTCACAAAGACGTTTCAAGAATGTGGGGTCAGGTAAGCGCCGGATTGGCATATCATTCTTACCATCTGTCGGTCGCATTGTCTTGGGTGCCCCTTGTGCGCCAGCTCCGGTTACATTCGTTCAAATCATGCGCGGGGTTGTCTGTCAGTTGCGTCTGCCCTGGACACCTCCGCGCCTTCAGAGTATGGATCCGGCTATCAACACCGCGTGGGGAACGCGGCATATCCTCTAATATGACTTGCCTGAGACATTCACAGCTTTTGGCGTGGATACATGTCTGCACTGGTGCAGATCCCGCTTGTTCCGCGAGCGCTCCGTCAGAGGGTGTACTGGTCGGAGGCTGGTTGACCTACGAAGGTATTCTACGTCAAATGACATCCCCGTCCATGTAGTCGTAACGTCCCCTCATCAAAGTTCACACCTGAACTCCTAAACCTTAGCCCCTAAACCAGACCCTAAACTCAAGACCCCTAAGGCCCAGACCTAGAAAAAAATGAAACCAAACCGTACTGATATGACTCCAGGAAGTCAAGGAGTTATTGAAGCTCCCAGCAAAGTTCTGAAGAGAAATCCACTCTTTGGAATCTTAGGCTCGAAGCCTCAAGTCTACGGCCTAAGGTTCGGGCTCGCGGATGTTTTGTTTGGTTCAGGGTTTGGCATTTGAGAAGAAAGGGTTGGAAGGTCTACGATGGTTTGAGCATCCAATACATCCCATCTTGGAGGCCTTAACCACCCAAACTTCTACACCCGAAGGTTCAACCTCAGCTCGATAAGCCGCAAGCGTTATGAACGCCTGCAGCACGACAACACACACTACTTACTAGCGCAACACGCAACCCTATATGGGGGTTTCTTGAAAGCAGGGGTACGTCATGATTTCGGGGTCCTTTGCTATTACGGGTCCGTGTTCTGATATCCTGCAGACTGTATGAGGTAAACGCCGTAAACCGCAGAGCAGCGACACAACGCACAAACAGTCAAAAATAGATGTTGGGTAGTTCTCTTGATTAGGGTCCCTATCTAGGCTCCCATAATAGTATCAGTGCGGCATCCGTATATATAAGAAGAGCCCTAAAAGGGACCCCAATGTAGAGAACTACCCATATACTTATTAGACCGTCCGATCGAGGCTCTTCTACAGAGGCATCCGGAGGTTCGTCAGCGCAAGGGCTTCCGGGCCACTCGGGATGCAACACTTCTTACCCAAAGGCCCGATGTATTATACACTATGTTTTTTTGTGTGTGGCTGTGTAGTGTAAGCTATTTGGATGTTGGGGATTTAGTTTTCGAAAGTCAGTATCCTTTAGGATTCATTTTGGAGCTTGCAGACCGGGAGGTATTGCCGGTCCCTACGGGTCCATGTACCCAAAAAGTATATACTTTGGCCCACCGTACCCAAATAGGGGCTACTCTAAGGCGACATGGACCCTCAGGGACTGCGTCTACCTAGGTTTTCGTTTCGTTATGGTTAGTTTTTGTCCATGAACCCTAAACCTGAATCTAAGCTGTGTGCCCTTAATGTTCATGAAGATGCGAAACATTGCCTTTCAGCAGCAGAGCGACAGCCCCAGCATCCCAAAAGCACCAACAAAATGGCCACCAAATACCAAGCTCCTCACGAGCTGCAACCTCAATGTGTAATCTGGCTCCCTCGGCTAGAACGATGGGATTGATCCAACACTCCTTTGAGAGTCATCCAACCCCATGTCGAAGGACAAAACACTCGAGGTTGAGGCCTCATGCTTCAATCTTGCAGTGCCAATAGTGCAAATTACACCCAGATTCGAAGATGTAGAATTCTTGGAGAAGCCGACACGGCCATAAACTTGATTTCAACAAATGAGTCTTTAAAACTCAATGCATCCCATCATAGCCTCAGCCGCTCAACACCCTGAATCATGCGAAGCTTCTAGGGCTGAGTGTTTAGGCTGCTGCGGCGGCTGCTGCGACGGCAGCGGCGGGACAGGCTTCCACAGGGTGTAAGGTTTTATCTGGCTTTACGGTCTAAGGCTCTGGGGGTTTAAGGTTTTGGGGTCCACGGTTTAGGGTTCCGGATTATCGGCTGTTAAGTTTCTGGGTTTAGGGAAGATAAATGGAAAGGGTTTTCTTGGGTTGGAGCCGTCGTCGAGCATCTGAGAATCGGCGGCGTGCGAGAGTCCGGTTGCAAGGCCAGGTGTAGGGCTAAACCCTATAAGCCTTACCTTAACCCAGAATAACTTACCTTTCTAGGGTTCCTTATCATGAGTTCCTCATGTAAGTCCTAAAAAAATTGTAGCTTAGTGCGGGTTGATGTAGACCTTAAGTGTTTTGGAACTCTGGGTTTAGGCTTCAGCCCTGTTGGGTTTAGAGCTCTGGGGTTAGGGCCTTGGTGCTTTCTGGGGTGCAAGCCCCCAAGAACCGGAGCCTCTAGTTTTGTGTTCATTCGAACTTGGTCCTTAACTTTCAATCGAAAGCCCAAATTCGCCGAGAATTCTCATTCTCACCCCCAGCCTGCCCAGCTTCCTCAGATAGCATTTATGACGCTGTCGCTGACGCCCAGCATCGCCTTCGCAAATATGCTGCCTGGGGTCACGGTGTCACAGCTGCATAAGGTCTGAAACCTGCATCAAGCCAAGCTTGAGCCACGAAAACCCCAGTCCCGTGCATAACATCTATACGACTCTGGATGAGTTTGGCCTGTTAATTCCCGTGGGTTCTTGGCTTCCCACGAGGCGTTGGACCGTATGACTCTGGAGTTCGTGAAGCTGGACCAGAATAGAATAATTACCGGCAGCCCCCCTGCATGTAAGGTTAGCGACTTCATGCAGCCCATGCGACTCAGACACGTTTTATGTCACTTTTTCGACAGGGTCCGGAGCCAGGTTGCCTTGGAAGGCTGCGGATTCGACTAAGGGTGGCAGTCAGTCAGTGTGTGTGTGTGTGTGTGTGTAGCGCATGTATATACATGTATAAGTATATGTAAATGCATGTATCTATGCACAGACGCAAATAAACCGATAAATATAAATATATGTACATATACATACGCATAACAAAAGATTTGTGTGTATATATAAGTATATACATATGTGTACATGTACGTGTACATACCTGTATTCATAGAGGAAGCATTAAGGTCCATATGCGCTGATGCTCGCTTCATGGTTCATACTAATGGAAGCTAAGGGTTCTAACTATGATAGAGCCCCAGGGTCGGGTCAGATTCAGCAGGGGCCCTATTCTTAACTGACGGAGAGCTCGATGAGGTTTCGTCCTCAGCGAGTTCGAAACATAGCGGAGGTAGAAACATAGCGGTGTAGGCAGCCCAACATGAAGCCCTCGCCGCGAGGGCCCCCGCCTGGACATCTTCAATCGCCCTCCCGGAAGCCGAAACCGAAATCTGTGTGCAGACCTTTTTGCTGCAGCATAAGAAATATACATCATAAAAAGCCATGATCATCATAATCTGGGTGTCAGCGCCGAGCCGCGCGAGCCAGGCAGAACCCGTTCATGGTGGTGCATCTCATCGGTCACTCGCTGAATCTGCCGTGGCTTGAGCAGCATATTGGGATCTTCAGGAAGCTCCCACTCCCCTCTGCAAGCACTTATGCAGGGAAGCAGGGGAGAGAGAGCGAGAGACTTATGTATAGTATATGCGTGTGTGTATATATATATATATATATTTACAACCGTAATATATATGTCTATATATATATATTCTTCCAGCATATAGTGCACACAGATGTTCTACCTACATGTGTGTATATATGTATATACACACATATATATATATATGTTTATTTATATACATATGTAGATCCGAGCCATGACCCTCAACCTTAAACCAAGTTCAGTTTTGAGGATTGCGTGTACTTGGATGGCGTCGGGATTGGCTAAGTTCTCGTGACGTCCCACATTTCGCGTGCTGTTTCAAGCCAGGGTCGCTCCTCGTCAGGCCCTGCTTTCGCCTAAGGCGGTCTTAACCCAAGCAAGGATATATTGGTCAAACCCAAAAGCACTTGAGCCGCTTGAAACGCCAAGGCGAAAAGACCGAAGCCCAGCCGCAAACCCTCAAAACACAACTAGGTCTCAGCAATCTTTTGCACTGCAGTCACCAAGCAGGCTGCCGCAGGATGCGCAATTTCCCTTCATGCTTCAGCCCGGTGCCGTCAACCCTAATATCTAAGCTTCTGAGGTCCTGAACCCTTAACTGCTGCACCCAGAGGCTTTCGCAAGGCAAATCCTGAAACCCTTACCCGTACCCCTGAACCCACCAGGAACACCCCTAAACTGCAAAAGCTGTAAGCTAAGCACTGTCAATCCTCCATCCCTGAAGCTCTAAACTGTGAACCCTAAACACCCAAGAACCTCGCCTGGCATCGAACGAGTTGTGAGGGCGTGAACCCTTAAGCTTGTCCGAGTGTGAGCGCCGAACCCCTAAACCTGAAACCGGGAGACCTCGTCTGGCGGAGTCCGAGTTGCGGGAGCGTAACCCCGAAATATCCCGAAATCGTCAAGCCCCAGGCTCTGAGGGTCCATGTACCCAAATAGTATGTATTTTGGTGGGCCCAATTTACCTACATAGGGAGCACTTTAAGGCCAATCAATATACTATTTGGGTACATGGACCCTTAAAACATAAACCCCCTAAACCCTTATGGTACTGTTATAGAACCCTTGTAGGACCCCTTAAAGGAAAAGGAGCCCTACTTGAGTACATGGGGGGGCGCCTTAGGGCCATACTGTGAGGCTGATGAATTTGACGCTGGGCAGGCTAGCGGGCAGAAGTGTGGCCGACTCCTGGCCGGAGATAAGTTGTGTGTTTTTGTCGGTTTAGGATTTAGGGTTTGGGAATAGCATCCATATACAAGCCGGTGCAACAGGAATAACATCCCAGGGTCTCGTAGGTTTTCAGTTTGAATTAATTAGTGGGGTTGGCATTGTTTTGTGTTTGTTTGTTGGGTTTCGTCGTGCTGTAAACGTCGGTTTCCGTAAACTCTGGGGACACTGAATGGTCGTCCTTCACGAATCTGCCAGTAGATGAAGCTTGTAAGGCTTTCGTTGTGTGAGGATTTCGGCGATTTTGATGTATGCAATCAGTCTATGGGAAAATAAGGCTTGCGTCGACCTACGTGTCCATCGACCTCAGACGTTTTCCCTGGAAGTTCTTTATGTGTTGTCCTGATTCTTCGTCTTGCGTAACAAAAAGAGATTCAGAGGTCACAGAAAAAATGTCGGCAACCCTAAACCCGGTAACCCTCACCCCAATGTATCTCCGGTGCCGCATAGTCTCCCCAAAAGGCTTTCACAATACGGTCATGGGGACCGAACACCTTAATATCTGAGCCTCCCTGGGTCCTCCGGGATAAACCTTTAGGGTTCAGGGTTGAGGGTTTAGGGGTTTAGGGTTTCAGAGGGGCTCTTTGCTGTAACCGGGCTGCTGGACAACGAGGCCTGCTGCAAAAAAGGGGTTTAGGGTTTAGGCTTTCTGTAAGGGTTCTTTTGAGCAGCTGATCCTGCTCAGAGCCAAGGATATGAGCACCTGCCACTATTCCACAGCGCTGCAGCAGGGCCCAAAACTTCGGTTTAGGGTTGAGGGTTTTAGGGTTTTTGGGCTTTTGGGGTGTCGGCTTTTGGGGGTTGAGGGGTTCAGCGTTTCGGGTTTAGGAGAACCTGTGCAGCAAACACACGAGGAAACATAACAAGAACTGGGGGTTAGAGCACATGTACACATACGTTTAGGGACTAGATGCAGCGAGTTACTATGTGTTCACGGGTTACTCGGTCATGCACTATGCTGAAAGCCTTCATTTGGACAAGAGCTATGGTTCAGAGTAACCCGGGAGCTTTCAATGACATGATGTAGGGTTCAAAGAGGGAAGTGTGGTGTGTTTCGTCGAGCTCAATTCTTCGCCCACGTCTAAGGAAGACTAGGAATCATGCCTCGAACCGTGGTGCTAGTCATAGTCTAGCTCTTCAGCATGCTGTGCGCTTTTGTGTTCGGGTGGCGTGTTTTTTATGTTCAGTTTCGTGGAGCCTTGCTTTCCCTGTCCCAAGACGGTGCCGGGTTAACGGTATGCAGACTTCGGGCTCTTGTTTAACATATAGGAACCTGATTGAGAAACCTTGGGTTATTGTTAGTAAATGAAGGACTCTTGTATGAACCCTAACATAGGATTCTTAACCATGTTCCCTCACTACCAGCCACTAACCAGAAACAGTGCAGTAGGGTTGCTGGAGGATCCGGATGTTGGATATCTGGCATAACCCAGGAAAACCCTTGACCCGGTAACATTGAACACTAAACCCTCCGTCCATCGATGCCTACGTTTATAGATGGTTCTGGTGATTAATTAAAAGGTATAGCATCTCAGTCATCCTCTCGGCGGCGACGAAGCAGCTCAGCTTTGACGATGTGGTCAAAAAGAGGGATTACGTATTCATTAGGTTGTTGGAACTCGTAGAGTTCAGGCAACCAAGTACACCTTGACCAGGACAGTGTGCCATGAAAAACTGCAAACCACAATAAGGATTTCTCATGCTGGTCATAGTAACGGTCTTGGGTCCACCTGCGAATGAAGGCTTATGGGGCCGTGTGGATTTCGCTACGGCTTCATCTGTGTAGAAGGTTTAGAGGACCGGTGACCGGTGTTCGTCTAACCCACGGGGTTCTTATTTAGAATCCCATAAGGTAATCCTTTTTGGGGTTCATATTGAGAGTATTTTTTTGAATTGTATAAGGTAATCCCAATAAGTTCCCTTTTGGGGTCATATTTAGAATCCTCTACGGTAATCCCCAAACGGAACTACTGTGGGGCCTATGGGGAGAGGTTTTTCGGACCCGAGCCTGGAACTCTGGGTCGGCTTTGCCACTTCATGGTTGAAGGCAGGTAGGAGGCTAAGAAAAGAGCCTAAATAGTTACCAATGCTAGGGTTCCTTTGAAAGGTTCCTCTAAAGGGATCTATAAGGCTTACTAAAACGGCTATTATAAGGATTCTAATATAGGGGCTTAAATGGTTACCAATTCTATTCGAGTGGATCTTCATTGTGGTTACAGTATAATGGGCTCCAAAACACTGTGTTACTGGGGCTTCAGGGTTACTGCCATGTGTGGCTTGTGGTTGCAAGTTACAAGTCGCATCAACCCCTCAACCCCGAAGCCCTTTAAACATTTCGATCTCAGCCCCTCAACTCAAGACTTTATGAAAGCTAAAACGGCCATAGGTTTAAGCGTACGTGATCTCAGACGACAATGTCGCATTAGACAGAGAATCTGAGCTGGACTTTTGGTCCAAAAGACCCCAATACCAGAGTCCGAAAGCCAAATCCATCGTCGTAAATCCTCGATTGCTAAACTCGCATGCAAGATCTTGCATATCCCGTAGGCAGCTTGCAGTCAAGAATCCTGAAACCATATAAACTCTGAATCCTGAAAACCCCGTAGAAACCTTGACATGTTCGAGATGTGAATAAACGCTCCTCGCCGGGCTAGCTGCAAGAGAGTCTTACCGAAAGACACCACAAACATCGCCAGCAGCAGATTCAACCACATCTGCCGAAGACAGGATACAAACCCTGAGCACTCGAAATCTCCTTGGATGCCAGATGGGGAAGCCCTATCCTTACACAGACTCAATGTCCAGAACGCAAAGCGTTTCTGGTTTGCTGCTGGATTTGTATCCCTAAAGCCTCCCTAAACCCCCAAATCGGGAAAGCCCTTACAACTCTCCACGAAATTCTTTCTTTCAGCCCACACCTCAAGACAAGAAGAGCTGTAAGAGCCCGAAGACCTAGCCCTAAACCCTAAAATTCCTCGCCTGGAGTGTCCGAGTGTGAGCCCCGAAAGCCTATAAGCCACAAAATCCCTCTGAGCCCAGGGAAGCCTACTTCCGCTGGCCTCTGCTCATCCTCGGTGGCCTCTGCCTGAAGAAGGGGCTCGCCGACCTCGAGGTGCTCACACGGAAGGGGGGGGGGCGGGTTGGAGTTTAGGATATCTAGGGTTTTTAGTTTTGGATGTTTAGGGTTTAGGGTTTCGCGTTTAGAGTTTAGGCTTTTTGTGGTTTTGGGTTGGGTTTTGGCTTTGAGCGGTTGTGGGAAGAGGTTTATGAAGTTTGGGGCTTAGGATCTATATGTTTTAGCAAATGTGAGGGTTTGCTTCCATCCCTGCAATCGGCTTGAGACCGCATTCTGTCGAAGACGTCTAACCCCTACACCCTAACCTAACTGCATCCTCAGCCCTAGAAACCTGAAACCTTCAGCCCTTTGAGCCTTAGAGACGGCACCTGTTTGTAGAATCCAGAAAGTTGGACTCATCAGTGTCCTCATGCTTTTGAGGTAAAGTCTAGGGGATCCCAGCACCATTCAGCCTAAATCCAAACTTCCAACTTTCTGGGGTTCACTATACAAACCCCAAGTCGTGAGCTCTGGCAACCTTGGGGCCGATCGACAAGCGCTTTAGGGTTGTAATATAGGGGCGTTAATAGTTGCCCATATTATTTGTTTATTTTTTTTGGGGGGGGTCCTTATCAAAACCGTAGTATAATGAGCCCCAAACCCTATTCTAATTCTTAAGGCACCGATAGTAGGGTTGTATATGGGGTTGAGGGCCGAGGGGTCTAGGGCTCACGGGTTCAAGAATCAGGGCCGTTAGGGTTTAGGGTGCCAGTGGGGCAGGGATAGGCCAGAAGGAAGCCGGACATTACGAGTTTGAGGCCTGCTAAAGCGAAGGGCTGTGTGTGGCTGGGAGAGATCGAGTATAGATTCCCTGAACATTTTAGGAATTCTATTCCTGCCAGAGGGAGCGCGACCCTCTGCAAAGCCCTCCTGGCTTCAAAAGCTCCCGTTTCACACTTGACTATCCCGCGTCGCAACAAGCGACCCGTAGCACGACAGTCCACCACAGAAACAGAAACAGAATCCCATCCCTGAGTTCGAAGCATGGTTTATGATCCAGAACACTATTCTAGCTATAGTTTGGGGTCCAGGGTGCACGTTTTCTGGGGCTCGCGAAGTACTTGTAGGCGAAATCCTGACGAAAGCTTGGGATTTCGAGTGGGCCTGCAACCGATTTCTACGGCCAATACAGGCAGCTTTTGAAACTCGTGTATGGGAGGCTTCATGACTGTTAACTGGCTCTTTTTTACAGCTATTGCTGCTGTCGTTCTTGTTCACATTGTGCATTATTCATATCATGCGCTGTACATACCTGGCCCGAAAAACCGAAACATTGCAGCATCGGCCAGGAAGTGTCGAAATTCGTCGAAACGCTGGCCCCGCGCAACCCCACTACACAAGTGTGGACGCAGAAGCACAAGATCTGCAGCTTTGTTGCACGTTGGGGCTTCTTCTTGTAGTAAGGTACCACAAGCTTAACACGGAAGCACAGATTCAACAGAGAGCACTCGGAGCCTCACTAGGTCCTTTTCGTCCTCTTCTGGGATCAGGGGCTTTTGAGGCTTTCAAGGTGGTTTTGGGTCCAGCAACTGCACTACAAATGGCTGCTAGTCTAGTTACGCCTCAGGCTACTTACGACGGACTTGCAACTCTGAACACCCCGCAACTCAGCCTAAGCAAAGCGCCCTCATGCTGCCACGGGATGAGAAGCGGAAGGGACCCCAAAGCAGCCCTAATCGTCGAGCCCAACAAGAACCTTGCTGACGCCTGATGCAACTTGTCTGAGTCCAAAGCATTCCGCCCAAGAACAATCGGCCCCCGGGCCTAACCCCACTACCTAGCCATAGCAACAATCACAGTGATGCATATGTGTCACCAGACTCCGTTTTGATGTTCAACGCTTTCATGAAAGAGCCGCCATACAACTATCAACCTGAGGCGTTGGTCTCTTCGTCTGCCAGGCATCTTTGTATCCCACGATCCAGTCACCTCATCTGCATTTTACACGCCTTTTCGACCCGGTTTCGCATGGCAATGATTAGATGTCCTTCAAGGTTTCAGCATTTTGAAGGATGTAATACCGTTGTTTGGGTGGTGTTCCAGCAACACCAGATGTTCGGGGCCTATGCGAGAACACTTACCTTTGAACATCGGCAATCTGCTGTGGTTCATCCGTTTCTGAAGGTGTGACAACTAATCCCGCTCTGTAGGGCTTTAACTCATGACGCGATGACAAACACTCTACAGAGAGTCGCAGATGAGACTGCACCCATTAACGTCAGCATCTCCGGTTCTGATGGGAGCTAAGGAAGCCCTCTCGTGTTGGCAGTGTAAGACCGCATGTCTCAAGCCTCTGTGAGTCTAAGCCCTACGGCTGCTCGACAGCCCAAGCACAGTTGAGCTCCTCCTTCATCTCAACACCACGACAGACATACCGCGCAACTTGCCTCCAGGCCTGCTAGCCTTACGCTTTAATGTACACCGAACTCCGCCAGACAGAAGCACCGTAGTCCATACTAGGAACATATGCATAGAGATAGGTCGGTAGATTTGTAGTTAGAAGTATGCATACAGACTGGTATAGACATGCATGCACACACACACATACATATTCATATATATATATATATATGTATATGTATATAGATACTATTTGTTTATTGACATACATCCATTCATACAGACAGGCAGACAGGCAGGCAGGCAGACAGACAGACAGACGGACAGACATGTAGTGGGTAGTATGCATTTGCACATTTGTATGCGTGATTTAGTGCTTACGCTCATATATGCCTGTTTCTTGAAATTTGTGACCTGCCAGCTCAAGTTACAACAACATCGTCAACTCACCGTGTGGAATTTCTTTAGGCCCTAAACTCTATAGCAGCCCCAACTCAACCGTAAAATCTGGTAGAGGTTTCCTTCTTGGGGTCCTTAAAAAAACCGCTCCTTGCCTAGTTTAAACTCAACGGATCCTGCACCATTCAATCCGCGAACTCTGCCGAGGTCCCTGGGATACATGGATGTCCTTTCCATGGCGTCCGTGCAAAGCATCTGGACCCTCATGGTGCCTGATCTGCAGTTGCGGCTATATCATAGGCCGGTGTTTTGTGGCGGGCATGGTTCAGCTGGTACGCAAGGCTTCGGGGGAAGAAGGCCGGCTTTTGAAAGTCGTTTGCGGCTCGCAGTGGTCAGGGTTTCAACGGTGGCCTATCGTTGCAAGGACGTTTTCCTGACGAGCGGCATCGCGTTCCTCTCTCTCAAGGACAACCTCCGCATGGCATGCAAAAGAGTTTTAGAGCCAAAGCCCTAACACTCTGAGCCTTACAACCTTACACTGAAAAGCCCCAAAGCTTGAATCCGCGCTTCTCTTGAACCTTCTACATACCCAAGGATATCTCCGATGTTAGCCTCGAAACCTGCAAACCTAACTCTTTCAATCCTCAGCCCCACAAGCTCAACCTGAAGCTTCTGAAAGTTCCAGCGTCCAGACCCTACACAACACCCTGCAGGGCCCCTGAACTCTACACCCTGTAGGGCCCCTGAACTCTATAAGCCAAAGCCATAAGGTTCGGGCTTGGGCCTTAAACCCCAGCAGTGCGTTGTTCGAGACTTGCAGCTCGCTTTGAAGGAGAGTGCTCACGTGGTGAAGTCTGAGGAGTTCATGGCACGCAAAGAGCGCAACTCGGAGCCGTTTTATCATACAGGGCTTCAGGAAGTAAACATCCAAGCGGTCGACTTATAGTAATGGAATAGACAGGTACCTAGACCCGTTTATTGGCTTAGTTTCCCGCCCCCCCGAAAAGAAACTTGAGGAGGCAGGCAGGATGAAGCCAAATTTCTGCATCGTCAGGCCGCTTTGGCCATTGATTGTCTCCGCTATACCGGACGGGTACCAGACACATGCACAAGAACAACAACTAGTTGAACACGCTCAGTGACTCATGCTCCCCCTGCTGAATAGGTGCACTCACCAAATCGAAAGCTGTCTCAGTGTGAAAGCTTTCATCTACATGCCCCGAATGTGCATATAACCCCTTCGTGAAGCCTGCTGTCCCTATGGAGGGCTTACGTACCAGCATCTCCCAGCCGTGCTGTAAGTAGTGCAGAACCAGAATCAACATTCAACCCCGCTCTTTTGGAAGCTGCATGCCTACGACATGGGGCGCGGACCTAGCTCCGAGTCGAGAGTCGATAGGATATGTTGCAATTGACCGAAACGCTAAACCCCTTGGCCGGTAAGCGTAAACAATTGGGCCAAGGTGTTGAGCACCTCCATGAGGTTGTGGACAGCACCGTCGATGCTCATGCTCGCAGGCATTGGAGATCGACTTAAGTATTTTGAGCTGGGGGCTTTGTTCGGGGTTTCCTGGCTTTCGAAACCTTGTGGTTGCAACGGTTCTGTTCGGGTAGGAGTTACTGCTAGGATATTTGGGATTTAGGATTTGGTGTTTCGCGTGTTCGGCTCGGGAGTTTAGCCCGGGGTTGTGGGATTCGCGCAAGGAATTCGGGGTTTTGGGGTTCGCGTTTTTTGGGGGTCACGTGAGGCGCTCTTCCGACTTCCGGACAGTTTTCAACCAAACCAGCCCAACGCGACCCGATTACCCCCTGTAGCGAAATCCCAAACCCTACTTTGAGTCCAGACCCGAAGCCGATCGGCCCAAACCCTACACTTAAACTTTGTCCTTTTTTTTGTGGTAATTACAGTACATAACTATTCTATTCTACATATTGAGGCCCTGCTTTCACCCCCTCACTCAGCCTTCCCCCCCAAGCCCGAAATCCTCCCACAGGCTACTATAAAAGTCTGAATGGTCAGTCAGACCATGAGTTGGAGTTCCTATAAACTATAAAGACCATAGTACCCTGCACCCCACAACCCCATTTCAACTGGTGAGGCCCCGTGGTTTGCAATCCTGCATATAGTAACCTTGCAGAGACCCTTAGAGAACGCGTACTAGAAACCCTATATCGTCGCAATTAAGGCCTGGCCCTTATTGAAAACAGAACCTGTTGGCGGAACCCTATTATAAACCTGCCGGTAAGGCTCCTACACCTGAACCCTATCTTTGTCATAGTTCGGTAACATGTTAGAGATAAGGGTACTCAAACTTAACAAGCAGTAGGAATTCAATCACATCATGGTATCCACACCATGGAACTACCCAGAGGCTCCGAAGTAGTTCCTTTTTCAGGCTAGCTTTTAGGATTCTAAATATGAACCCTAAAAAGCAAGTACTATGGAGCCTTATGGTAGTCTGTGGCTACCTTATAGGATTCTAAATATGAACCCTAAAAAGGAGCTACTATGAACCCTAAAACAGGAACTACTATGGAGCCTAAAAAAGGAGCTACTATGCAGCCTCAGGGTAGTCATAGTCCTTCAAACCCCGGGAGCCCCGGGCTGAGCTGCAACCGTCTTGGCAGTCGGTATAGGCCTTACCTGTAGTCTCCATTGTAGTTCCTTTTTGGGGCTCGTATATATATATATATATATATATATATAGAATCCTATAGGGTAACTCGAAAAAGGAACTACTTTGGGGCCTTTGGGTAGCGTCTTTCGCTTTTAAGCTTTCTCAAAAGGGGAAAAGGAGGGACCCTTAATGGGGACCCCTACCCTCTAATGGGTTATATAATGGGTATATAAAAGCTATAATATGTGTATATACCTCGGGGTCCTTACTGGGGGTCCCTCCTTTTACCCTTGGACTTTCGGTTTTGAGGGTAAAGGATTTGTTTAGGTTCAGGTTCATCCCAAACCTAAATAGGTCTAACGAGGTTAAGGGTTGTACTGTCGCTGTCTGCGCGTGTGGTAAGGTTTAGTTGAACATACAAGGTTGAAGGTTTCTTTGTGAAAATTGGGTTCCTTTGTTGTTGGGCCACGTCCACTAATGTGTATAAACCCGATTGTCCAAGCTGCCAGGTAAAGCCCGCAGTGCTGCGACAGTGCCAAGCTGAATTGGGATGGTCAGCTTGCCGCTGTACTGCCTGCATCTGAGGCAGATCCTAGCCCTCGGGCTCAAAATACCCCCAAGTAGGTAATAGATATATAGAACGAAAGCCTTAAGCTGGGCAGCATTTCTACACAGTGAGCCCGCGGGGTAGCATTCACCCAGACCCCTAAACCCGCAAACCCTAAACCCTGAGCCAATATTTGAGCTCCACTACAGAGGGGGCGCATCCTCTGAGAAGTGAGCACGCGCCTCAAAAGGTCGCTGTCATTCCGTGATCGCCTCCACAGGCACGCCGTCCAGCAAAAGTGCCAAGCAGGTTCACTAGGATCTCGTGCGGCCCCAGCGTGTCCAGGGCCAGGGTGTGTTTTAAGGAGTTTGCTGTCGTAAGGAGCTGATACTAGGTCGCATAGCAGAACCCTTATTCTCGGAAATACGTCTATGTACTGTAGGGTTACGTTATGAATAATCAAGGGAAAGGCCATCCTTATAGTGTCTCATCAGGGACTGCTTCGGGCCCTAATTAGTAGAAGATGCAGTCCTCCGGATGTGGTGTTGGAAATTGAAGAATGCGCAGCAGATCCAAGACTCTGGTGGCACTGTTTTCTTTGGCAGTCAGTCCCGAAGGCTGGACTTGGGGCCAGTGGCAGTTAGGAACAGTTGTATTAGTAACAGGCAGTAGCAGCAAATTAGCGGTAGCAGTAGCAGTATTGTAGCCGTCGCAATCGTGGTGTTGCTGTTGTTTTTGTTGTTGCTGTTGATGCTGTTGCTGCTGCTCGTGCTGCTGCTGCTGCTGCTGCTGCTGCTGCTGCTGCTGCTGCTGCTGCTGCTGTTGCTGTTGGTGTTGTTGGGGTAGCAGTTGCTGTTGCGGTTGTGGTTGTAGTCGTGTTGCCGGTTGTGGTTGTCGTTGTGGTTGCGGCTGTGGTTGTTGTAGTAGTTGTGGTTGTGTTTGTTGTTGCCATCGTCGTAGTGGTAGCCAAAGTCGCTTTTGCAGTCGTAGTCTTAGTAGTCTTAGAAATCGTTGTTGCCATTCTTTGTATTGGTAATTCAGATGACGATTAATACTAGGAGTAGTAGGAAGAAGAGAGCAGCAAAAGTAGCAGCAGCGGCAGCAGCGGTCCTTGTCGTAGGAGACGAACTTTGTCGTAAAGTTTGAACCTGAAACTCTTCACTTTGAAAGTTTCCCCAGCCGGAAGCGACTACAGGTCTTGTTGTGGTACAGCAACGAGTCTGCAGCTGTCAAAGTTCGAAAAATCAAATTGAGGGGTGTTCAAAGGTATGTTCGATTGGTAGCGGTGGCAGTAGACCTGCCAGGTGTCAATTGCCCGAGCAATTGACTTGACACAAGTAAAGCGACATCCCCGATTGGCCGCCGAGCTACAGACCTACCAAATAGTCTGCAAACCCTACAGCCCAAGAACCGACTTTCGCGTGTTCGGCCTCGTTGATGACTGGGAAAGCAAGAGGAAAGAATCCGCGCTCAAGCAAGACCGGATATCACATGGCAAGAACAGCCCCTCGGATTCGTGGATACCCATTGATGCACGGCGTCGCCTTTGCTGTGGGCGACCGGCCCCCAAAAGACATCAGCACAAGCTGATGCTCAACAGGGTTCACATCCTTATATGTGGACACTGCTCTATCGATTTTATATTAGCGCCAGAGATGCTTTAATGTCTAGTCACTTCAGCGGCTGGGTGCTCCCAAGCTGCTTGAGCCCTGCCTTCATTGGCAGCAGTACGACGATAATTCCAGAGCTTGAAGCAGGTAGGATCGACATGATTACCATCATTTCTGACTGATTTCTGGTGGCCTGTAGTCAGTTTTTGCAAGCTGGCCGAATACATCACGTGTGCAGGAGGCATGGTCATGTTCAATGCCATACAAATCCCATATTCAGTCGTACACCCCCGCTCCACACCGAAATTTGAAATTCATGATCAGCTGGGCAGTTGGAAAAGTACGATTGTTCTAGGGCCTGTGATGGGCATCTTGCGGTAAACAGACATGACTTAGTAATTTAGGGTTTTGCGCTTTGAGTTTAGGGGTTTAGGGTTTAGGGAGTTGGAAGGCTTTTGGGGTCTGATCGTCTGGTTTTCTTTCTGATCTCTTTAGCATGGAAGGCAGACAACATGAAGACAAAACCTTGAACATGGAGCACATCCTGTTTCAGACGAGCTGCTACAGTGAAGATGTACGTATCGTATTAGATCATCCAACAAATACGGAAATGTATAGAAATGGGCTCGCCGGAATCATAGTTCCGCGCTCCTTTCTCTTAGCACAGAATCCGAGATGCCTAACTTCGAAAAGCACCACTATAGTTGACTGCTTTCTGTAATCGGTCAGGGTGGGACTTGCGAGCTTGGGCTTTGTATGAATGAGATTCATGTAGGAACGTGATTAAGAAATCCTCGGCCTATAACCCCCAAAACAGTAGGATTCATACAAGGCACCCTACTCAAGCCCCAAGGTTTCTTAATCAGGTTCCTACATTAGATTGGGCTCGTGCAGCCAAGGGAGCACAAGCCACATCAGCAGGAATCGCCATCTTGTTGGAGATGCAAAAGATCCCAGAGGGTCCATATACAATACCATTATGGAATCAGGCCCCAAAACCATAATAGGGATGGTTTTCTGGGACCTACTTCCATAATGGTAGTGTATATGGACCCTCTGGGGATTGCTTCAGCATTCGACTGAGGCCGACGATGCAGCGTGAAGAGGCGTAAAGCAGATCCAGAAAGTCGAAACACAACCCTGAAGCCTAAACCCTAACCCTAAACCCTAACCCTCAAACCCCTAAACCCTTAAATTCCTAAACCCTAACCCTAAACCCTAACTGTTAACTCTTAAACCCCTAAACCCTTAAATTCCCAAACCCTAAACCCTGAACCCCTGTCTACAGCGTGTTTGAAGCCTCTGAGTGCTTCGTGATCTGCTCAGAACACGTTCCGAGCTTTTGCCGTGGACCAGGAAGATGATCAGTGAAGAGTACCCAGAGGCCCCATAGTAGTTGATTTTTGGGACAACCTTGTAGGATTCTATGTATGAACCTCAACAAGGAACTATTTTGGGGCCTCGGGGCAACTATACCGGTACCTACCGCCTTCTGTGAAAGCCTCGTTTGATACCGACCTGTTGCCGAGTATCCGTGACAGGGAGTCGCCCTTAACCCTTGAACCCTCAAACTCCAGAAACCTTACCTGAACCTCTAACTACACTCCCTAAAGGAGTCGGCCTTTCTCCAGAATCACCGGATGTATGCGTTGTTAAGGCCTTTTTTGCCACTGAGCTGCCGTTACGACTCTTCAGGCTAGCAGGAGGACACGAGGTCACCTTGGGGCCAACGCGGCTGGGCTGAGCTGTATGACAGTTCAAAGCCTTCGGGGGCTGAGCTGTATGAAAGTGGGAAGCTGGCTTCCTTCGAAGACAAGTAGGTGTTGGCCAGGATGCGATGTTCGAGCTGCCACTACGTTTCTGAACGGCCACCCTTCGCTGCAAGCAGTAGTCCCGATTAATTTAGTTTCCTAAACCCTAAGCCCTAAACCCCTAAGCCCTATAAACCCTAAGCCCTAAACCCCTAAGCCCTATAAACCCTAAACCCTAAACCACATAGGCTTGAAGTAGGAATGGATGAAACCACAACTTGCATCACAATCCTGCGGCCGACCTACAAAGGCAAGAGAAGTACAATAGAACACGCAGAAGAGTTTAGGGTTTAGGGTTTAGGGTTTAGGGTTCTAAGACAACAGAAAGAACACAAGATAGACACCCTAGGGCCCAGGGTTTAATTCACCAGTGCGTTTGATTTCCAAAAAACCCTTGCCAGGTTTCGGTGTTTGGGGGATAATCCGCAGGCGCCACCCCTGAAGTTACACGCCGGTAACAAAGTGTGCCCATAAAAAGCGTCTTCAAAATTTGATGCCAAGGTTCTATAAATCTATAACCTTAAACCCCTAAGCCCTCCTGGCTGCCAAGACATGTGCAATATGCGAAGCATGTCCATCGCCAGAGATGTTGCTTTTACATTGGCCTTCTTATTCAGGAACTATTTTCTAGGGTACTCGTAGCCCCGAATCGGTAGTGGCGTGGAAGCTCGTTTCTGGCCGTAGCTGTCGGCGAAGCGTTTGGTTTCAGAAGAGAGGAATACTGGGTTCCTGCTACAGAATCTACGTTGCCCAAACTTAATTACCCTTATCGGGAATCCTGCTGAATGTATAAACTACTAGGAACCTACTTTCCAGTTGGTAAACTTGCATTAAGCTCCGTTGCAAGAACCCAAACCAAGATCAGCGCAAACCATGGGGAGGGGAGGTCGGAGCACCGCAAGCCGGGCTCCAAGGGTCCAAGTCCCCGTAGGTGTGATTGCACACAAGTGATGGCGAGCAAAAAAAGCCACAGTCTGCATGTGCTTAACTTGTTATCCGTCTTTGAAGGATTAGGACTCTTTCCGACCGCGTAGGATTGAAGTGTTTAGGGGGTTGAGGGGTTATGGGTTTGAGTGTGATTGGTACCTGCCACAGATAGTTTTTGTAGTATAACCTGGTCTGTTGAACTAAACTTGCAAACCCTGAATCTGTCGAGGCTGTTCCAACTAAGGATTGAAGTATCTCCTGTAGGACCCTTGGCTCGAAGGATGACTCCAAACCCGAGGACAAACAGAAGAATCCTGAAGCACGCTGTGTGGGAGCCTCCCACGTCACAGGGCTGCTAACAACGGCCCCCAGTAGGCGAATCCTCCAGCTGCCTCCCCGCCGCCTCCCCACAGTTCGGAAGACATCGTGTTTGCAATAAGTATACCTACTTCGTGTTGAGACCTCTGAAGCCTGTGTTTTTGCAACTCAGTATGAGATCATACTGTGGTGTTCCCACTCGGGCTGTCGCGGTTTGGGTTATAGGTGCGATGCAGGTTCAGAACCATATTATGGGCTCGTTTAACCTACTTTGCTGTAGGTTCTGATGTGCAGCCGTAGGGTTTAGTATGTGAGATTTAGGCACGAGGCCGCACAATCACCCCCTTGGCACGAAACTGAGGCATTGCATGCCAACTTTGCTGGCGGGGAAGCTGAAAAGCTCCGGCACTGCCTTTATGTTCGGTGTCGCCACGGCCTCGGACGAAATCGTATAGGGCGGAGTGCGACGAAACTTTGGGGGTGGGGTTCAGTTGATGTGTGATGGTTCAGAGTTTGGATTGCCAGGGTATAAAGTCCGAAGAAATGCCTAAAGTTGAGGGTCTGCGGCTGGAGGGTTTGGATTCGGAGTTTAAGGATGTGGGTGCGACGTAGATGTCGGAACACATAACTACTAATAGCATCCTGTTACAGTCCTTATGACAATCATATTACATAATACGGAAGCCTAAATCATGACCGGTAGCATTGCTCAGGGTTTCTTATGAAAAAAAACTACCAGTGTACACCCCCCCCCAACCTTGACAACGGCCGAAGGATCCGCCTGTGCCATCGGCCAGAAACTTGCCATCGACCCGCATCCTGTAATGTAGAAGTCTGAAGAAATACCAATATGGGAGTTTCCAAAAATAGGGGACCCTAACATCGCACCCTAGATAGTAGGATCCTTCTTATAAGGACCCAAAACTAAGGTACCCCTAATTTTCGGAAACTCCCATATGATTCCTGCGGGTTCTGTAATCCATAGCATGGATCAGGCTAATCTACCCCAATGTCATAGCCGCATGCGTTCTACGATGGCCCCCCTGGTTGATTTACGGTATTTAACATGACGTCCGTGACCGACCGCCTGGAGGACGTTGAGGGTTTGGGACGAGTGGTGTCGAAGATGAGTGTTTTTGTTTGGCTTCGTATGTAGGGTTGGGGTATAGAGTTTAGGGTTTCGGTTTTAGGGTTAGGACCATGAGGTTACAATTGGGCGTGGCAGTTGATTTTTTTTATGTTGCAACAGTTCGTTCTGCATGTCCCTCCTGAACATTCTAAAGCCCGAACCCAACTCCCTTTGGGCAGCTGTGGGCCAGGGAATTTCATGGTTTGGTCGTTTGGTCTCTTCCAATCCTAACCTGACATGCCAACGCCCTTCAGCCCTTTAAGGAACCCGATTGTAGATCCCTTATCGACCCCCTTTAAGAGATCCCTATTATAGATCCCTTATAGACCCCCTTTAAGGAACCCTTTAAAGCGAGTCCTAAACCCAAACCCCTGAATCCGGCACCTCCTGAACTGGAGCTCCCCAAAGCTCTCAATCCCCAGCTTCAAATTTGCAGAGCCGATCTCTGAAGATGAGAGGAGGTCTTCTGAATGTGATGACATCGGACATTTTCGACGTCACCACTCTCATTGTACAGGTGACATGCTATTGTTGAGGGATCTAGTGACCTTCCGAACCCATGCAGGGCTCTCGAAATGATCTAAATCTCCGTAGACAAAGGGCGCGCTACAAGTAGCAGTCACCTCCGGAGTTTGAGCCTACCTATACACCGAGTTCCTATGCAGGCTCAACCCAACAGCCCCGTGCTGTATCAAAAGCGGAACATGTGCAGCAAACGTGATTGTGGTACCCCCAGCTAACTATTTGCAATGACTAGTGCAGCTTTTGACCGGCTTTCTTCAGCTCAGGTCCTGCTCTACCCGCGCAACACCTTGGCTGGGAGTGTCTTCCAAGTCGTCCTTTGCTACGGATGTCCCTTCGTCCGTGGATAAGCGCTGTAGGATTTTATGGTGAGATTTGGAAGCCTGGCCGCCAAACCCAAGTTAAACCCGAAACTCCTAGGGACTTCGAAAGCAAAAGCTCCGCACCCTGCACCAACAGACAGATGAATGGACCCTCAATCCTACACCTGTGTACTTAACATAGGAGCCTTGATAATTTTCTATACTATTGGTGGGGGTTCCTTAGTATGGTGGTAGTGTAATATGTGCCCCCCCCCCTTTCTAATTATTAAGGCTCCTATATTTGCAGCCCTAACCCATTTCAGCCGTGGTTTTTCACACCAGGCTTGCAAGCGTCAATGGCGAACCCTAAGCCCTGTTGAGTCATCCATCTTCTTCAGCTCTTATCCAGGTTGGTATCCCATCAATAGCACTTACAAGCGGCGCATACAAGTTTTCCGCACACCCTGATGGAAGCTTTTAGAGATACCGGCTTGTGGTTACCACCCTTAACCCGACAGTTCAACTCAAAAGACCTCCAAACCCTAAACCCTAAAGTTTAATTCAGAAATATGAAAGCAGGCTTGGGGTTCCAACATACAATTCCAAAACCAAAGAAACATGTAGGCTTGGGGCTTCTACTTTTGGCATGGTGGCCCTATAAGTTATAACCCCTAAACCCTAAAACTCAAAACCCCCCCAAAGCCCAAAGCCCAAAACTCCCAAACCGTAATCCCTAAACCCTAAACCCTCAAAATTACATGCTATATTCCCTAAACCCCAAAACTCAAAGCAAAAACAAAATCAAGAACCAGGTTTGGGGCTCCTACCTTTGGTTTTCAACGCCACCTTCCTGGCGATCGCCGCGCTGCTCATTTGGAGCTACGTGGCCGCGCGGTTCCTTGGTCTCGACTCGAAGGGGCCTGAAAGGGTTTAGTATTTATAGGGCCTACCTATAGTCTCCATTGTAGTTCCTTTTTTTGGTTAACCACATTATCTCTATTATAGGGTCCTAACCATAAAATTGGAAAACCAAAAAAAGGAACTACAATGGAGACTATAGGTAGGGTTTAGGTTTCTGGTTCAGGCGCTGCCCTTGCCGGCATACAATCTCAGTCCGTGCTCAAAAAGGGTTTGGGGTTGAGAAGGTCCTGCAGTTGAGGAGTGTTCGGTGGAACACAATCTAAGCCCATGCTGAAAAAGGGTCGGTGTAGGGTTTGGGGTTTAGGGGGGGTTAGGGTCTGGGGTCTACACGGTATCGATTTAAGATAGTTGTATTTTCCTTATTACGTAATATAGAGACCTAGTCATAGATAATCTTGAGGACTATTGCAATCGACACATGGTTTAGGACCTTTCAAGGGAAGTTGAAGAGCAGAACCGCTCCAGGTGGAGGGGTCTCGAAGTAAATTTTCGGCTTTAGGTGATGTTTAGTGTGATAAGGTTTTGTTTGGGTCGCTGTTCTTGATCCGGGTGTTGCCGGTCCAGCCCTAAACCCTAAACCCTATTGTTTTGCGATGTGATACACAAAGCCGAGCATGTCAGTCTGTGAAGCGAGACCCTTATATAAGGGTACTTAGAAATAATTTTAAACTTTGGGTTATTATAATCCCTAAGAAACAGCTAAAATCACAATTTGTGCTAGGGTTCTAAGTTCAGTATTCCAGAGTTCTGCGCCCCAAGTCCAGAGCCAGCGAGTCATTCACAAGGAATTCTGCTTGAAGTAGACCTGAAGCTTATCCAGTGCTTCTCCTTATGGTTTCAGGTGTAATCCTCGCTTAAGTGGGTGTACAAGATGGACTCTGACTCTGTCAGACTGTCAGACCCTCAACCCAAAACCCTTCCTTTTCAGTCGGGTTTCTCAGGAAAGAGAGCCACAGCAGCGTTTGTGCCGTTTGCCTGCAGCTGTGCGAGGGACCGGGGCTTGGGGTTTAGAGGTTAGCGTTTGACGCTTGAGCTTAGGGTTTGGGTTTCGGGTGTAGGGGTATTCGGACAGATCTGCGGTTAGAGAAGGCTTCAAGCAACGAGGGATTCTTTTGGAGGATCCCACTCTATGCTCGGTTCAGGATTGAACAGGGCTTGCCGATGTAAGAGCGGACAGTGTCTCAGAATCTTTTGAGGTCCGGCTTGAGGGGTGTGCGTGTGGCAGGACTGTGCCCAAAAACATGGTGGATGTGCTTGGGGGCTGTCCGCCTATATGGGGGGTGCACAGTCCCAAACCCCTATTGCCCTAAGCCCTGTAAATAGCTTTAATCGTCAGCCTGATATACCCTTCATAAAGCCTTAAATAACTTGTACGGAAACCCCAGCGACATGCTCTTTATTTGATCAGCGACTGCAATGCACTTTGTGCTGAATCCCTTCAGCCAATCTTCAACTCTAACCGACATGAAGTGGTTAGCGGCCTTCATGATTGGAATAGGAATTGTTTGCATGCTATCATAATTAGTCTTTACAGGTGCGAGCAGGCACATTCTCTGATCGACTATTCAGACTCGTATGTTTCATTCACTCGGCTGCCAGAGCCAGCACAACTAAAGCAGGCCAAGGTGATTCCGCAAGGGTTGAGGCGCTTTCATCAATGTTTTTTTTGAGATCATGCTGCCACAATAGCTGCGTGCCATTCGGGTTTTGTATGATCCTAGTCGGTAAACTGCAAGGTAAGCCTGTTTGGGGGCAAGGAGTACATCAAATCGGATACGCAAAACTCTCGAAACGCACGCCTTGTGCATGCCATGGTCAAACGACAGCAATCACAACATCAACGAAAGCGAAAGCACTACTGTCTTTGACCAGGGATTCCGTTTCTGGGTGCAAGTTGTTTGGCCAAGCTGCCACGCACGGAAGGCAGTTTTAGGATCCTGTGAAAGTCCTATTGCAGTCCGTCTTGTTGGGCTTAAATCGTCCTGATTAAACCGTATCAAATTGCCCGCACGATAGCTGAGGATGTTTGGCGGCCAGTGGGGGAAGACAAGATCAAGTCGTTTGTGCAATATCGCCAACTGTACAGTGCTCCTTGGCTTAGGTTTGGGAGCCAGTCGGTTGGTTGACAGATCTTCCAGGAATATTGAACCCAGGACGTACTGGTTTTGTGGTAGTATGGTTGTGTTTGATATTGTCTTCGGACTCCGTGTATGTTTCGAAGAAGCATCTTTGGAAGATCGGCGTCACCTAGGGCTGAGAGTCAATGGTTTTAGAGTTTAGGGTTTTGGGTAGGAGTGCAGGGTTGCATGTGGGGTTCATTTCGGTAAGACCGGTCTCGGCCCAGGCCGTGACTCAACAACACGTCGCTCTTCTCATGCCAGGTAGGATTTCGGCCCGAACAACCCCCCCCCCCCCCCCCCGCCCGCATTTAGTCCCTGTGCAGGTGTGACAGTTCACGAAGCATCTGAAATCCCCAATCGCGCTAAACTACCTATCCAGTGTCCTGCACTATCACTCTGAAGCGTTGCTGTACATAGATCCGCATTAACTCATTGGTAGGCACTCGTTCTACGGTTTCGGCACCAAGGTTCTACAATAACGGTTCCACTCCGGGATCCCTATTTCGCTGAAGTCGCCAAAGGTTTCGTAAGGTTCTACCACGACTTCTGCGGAAGCACGCCTCGGTAGTCAAGTCATTCAAGGGAGAGAAGCAACAACGGAGGAGAATTGATTCTCTAAGCATCCCCTCCCGATTTGAGAAAACAGGCAGTCAACTGCTCCCAGCTTCAGCGTCCGCTTTAGAGCCTCTGGGTCGGTCTCCTTTGGAATCAGGCTTGTCGCGGTTCGAAAGGTGTGATTCATGTAAGAGGAGTTTTGAGCTTCCTTGCGGGTTCTTCCCAATGTAAACCGAAGCCTCTGAGCCCAATTCAGGAGTGCGCCACACTCTTCTTTGGCGATAACGGACAGGGAGACCTAATGTGTGCAGAGCGTCTCACTGGCATGAACAACACCGAGTGCCCGGAAGATGCTCGTGCTGCACAATCTGAGGGTAATGCAGAGGCAGGAACATTTAGTATTACTCTGCCGTGTAGGGTCCCGTAGTTTCTATGTGTGGCTGTATACTCAAACATCTTGTTCTGATTTTTAAGGCATCTCTGTCAGAAAACAAAGAATACGTCTTCAGTCATAAGTTTCTAATAAAAGAGTCCCTGAACCTACACCTAAATGTTGGCTGCACTCCCGTTGGGCGCCATGAAATTCCGTTGCTGCAGGTTTGGGGTCTTCAGCGGCAGCGCTTAATTTCTCTATACAGTGACTATACCACTACAGTTGGACACAAATAGCCACCGCAACATTATTCCACAAGCTTACATAGGTACAGGTGGCTGTGGGGGGTAAGTTTACGGTTGCTTTGGTCCTGCAGTTGGTGGGTCTCGGTTTTTAGGCATCATGATTCAGGGGAAGTGCCATTTTTACATGGCAGATCTTGGGTCCCAAACCCAAACGTTCTGTGCTGAAACTAGGGAACAATAGCCCGAAACACTTCATGGTGCGAGGGCCTCTTAACGGCTAGATTCGGCTAGATTCTCAGGTATTCCCACCCCTTCGGTGTTTGGGGTGGCAGTAGTAAGACATGGTGCACTGTCGCAGGCCCAGCTTGCTGAACTTGAAGACCTGATACACGAGCTTGAATATTTCCCAACGCTATTCTGTATCGCCAAAAACTGATTCCGAATAGCAACGCCGATATATGCATATATATATATATACATATATATATATATATATATAACTGCCTCCCCAACTGCTACTGCATTTGGTGGTTGTGTTCCGCTGGTCCGATCCGAGGACGCCGGTGTTGGTGGAGCCTCTCATCTTCGTTTGTGGTCTGAGGGGGCAAAAAATATGGGGGCTTAATTAATTAACAACACTATTTTGGTGGGTTCCTCACTACAATATATTACAAGGGGCGCCAAAACCCTATTCTAATTATTAGGTCCCTTTATTATAACATTGATGCACTGAGGTGGGGCATGTACGTTAGTTGAAACAGCCTGGACGACTTAAGTTGAACGCTGAAGCGGTTCGGTTTGGTTTTCGGAACTGGCTGTATGTGCATCGCAGAGAGGTTTAGAGGCGCTAGATTTTCTTATGAGGAGGTCCCCTAGGACCCAGAGTAGGCCCTTCTTCCTTTTTTGAGGGTGTAGGTTCCCTTATAACACCCTTCAAACCAAAAAGGGCACCCTTTCTGTTCCTAGGTTACTCTGAGGTCAAGTCCCTTTGAGCATTCAACACCGGCTGTCTTTTTTGTCTGCTTTCGGGCCTGGGAACCTTAAACCCTAAACCCATTTCGCAATTCGCGAAGACTGTCTCGAGTGTACCATGGCTCTGAGGTCGTCACCGCGGCTTTCATCCACCAGGCGCGGTTGGTATTCCCCGAAGGGTCCAAAGGACCCAGTAATTTAGGTCCTCAAGTTTCGGATAGTAGTTATGTGGGTTACCATTTGAAAGGATTATTAGGTACCCGGGTACTTAATTAGGGTTCAGGGCCCAGGCTTGGGGGCGGATGGCTCGGGCTTCGGGTTATTGATACCAGGCCCAGAATGCGAGTTGGAACCTCGAGTGAACCTCCTATGCTAACAGTTTACTACTATTTGCTTAAGAACCCCCAAAAAATAAAAAATATATTCCTTATGGGGGGTAATATAGGGATTATTATTTTTATTTTTTGGGGGTTTCTTAAGCAAATAGTAGTTTAACAGGTGAAACACACGAGCCCCGAAGTTGCACAATCCAGCCCCCGGTAAAGATTACGGCCAAGTGAGCGGCGACCGGATTTAGTACCAAGAGTTCAGGGTTTTTGGCAGACAGTGACCCTTGTTGAACAGCCTGCTTGAACAAGTGCGCCAAAAGATGTAAACGATGTAAACACGCGCACATCACTCAGCAAACAACCTGATAATCTCTTTGCGACCCTAAAGTGTCACATGCCCTCGCAGAAACCGTTCAGGGTTTGGATGTGTCGTGTAGTTTTTGGTGATGCCGGGTCGGCGCGTTTGGAAATCTTTGCAACCCGGAACGACTGGGTCGGCTCGACATGGGGGTTTCCGAAATTAGGGGTACCTTATTTTGGGGTCCTTATAATAAGGATCCTACTATTTAGGGTACTATATTAGGGTCCCTTATTTTTTTGGAAACTCCCAAATAGGTCGCCAATGAGCAAGACCAGCTGTCTGAGCTTTTCGAACAGCTGGACGAGACATCGAACCTGGAACAGGCCTTTAAAAGGTGGTAAGGGCCGAGGGCTTCAGTTTAGGATGTTTAGGGTTTAGGGTTTAGGTGAGACTCCGTAAGACTTCAGAGTTTCCGGCTTACTTGGGCGACACTTGTTGCAGGGAAGTCCTGTACAGCAGCCTCAAGGTGTAAGCATCACTCATCGTCAACCCAACTTCGAAGGTTTCTTCAAAGGCCACAGTTTAGGGTTTTAGCCAAATCGCTGCTCGATCAGTTTTTCGGGTAATCCCCACATAACAGACGACAGAAAAGCAAATGCCTGAACTTTGGTTTCCTACGAGCCTGGGGAGAGTCTCAAGGAAGCACCGGTTTTTATCATCGTCCTGCATCTTGCATTCATAAACAAAAACGAGAAATTTTAGAGTTCGGGTTTTGGGATAAGCCTTATACATGCCAAGCGCATGCTGGCACGGTACTTCAGTATAATATGCAGGGCCGCACGCATTTGGGGGTTAGGGTCTTTGAGGCTTACGTCATGTTTCCGGCTTTCGGCTGCGAGGGTGGGATTGGGAGGTTTGAGCCTTCCTCCTTTTCCGAAGCTGTTTAGCCTACCTGTCCTGAATCTGAGCCCCGATGCCCGACACCCGGCTAAAAACTGTAAACACCCTGAGCCCTATGCACTAAACCTAAGGCCCTAAGCTGTACCATGAACTCCAAACCCTGACCTCGCAGAAGCTTTTGCAGTCATCCGTTAGCGTGATTGCTCTTACTCCTGTTAGTAAAGGGCCTAAGTGTTTACGCATACTAGTTGGGGGGTTCCTTATAATCATGGTATAATGGGCCCTAAAACCCTATTCTAATTATGAAGGCCCCTTTATTAATGCTTTTGGCTGCCGGTTCATGCGAAGTTATTACATTGTGGATCTACGAGGCTTCTTCTTCCGGGCTTGCGCAGTGGGGTTCTCCTGCTGCCCAGCCTGAACCATCCTCCAGCCCATTGCTGAAGGAATATGAGAAGCGAGGAATCTACTTTTTCCGCCGCCTGGACAGCGATACGTAATCCTAGGCTGAGCGCCATGTGCCACCGCAAGCACGTCACCGAAACCTTAAACCTTCAATTCCCGGAAGCCCATAAACCCTAAAGGTATGCGCCTTAACTCCTAAACCTTCACCTCGCCAGGCTTGTCGCAGTTGTGAGTGCTGAAACCTGGACCCAGAAGCCTAAGCCCTAAACCGAAGCCTTAAACGTAAATGGAGCCCTCCATGACCGAATACCCTCGAGTTGCAGCCTAGAGCAGAAGTGCAATGGCTCCCATAATATGTAGGACTCATCGAATGCTGTAACTCTACTTAAATACATGGGCTTGGGGTCGAGTTTCGGGTTTCGGGTTTAGTTAGGTTAAGGGCACACTCCGTGAAGAGAAAAGCGCCGAAATTGGAAGCCTTTAGCCCCCAGAGCTCAACACCCTATTCAACCATATGGGCGGTTGTCAAAGTTATGGTCCCTTTTGGGGTACCCTTAAGAATAGGTGCCGTATTATAATAGAGACCCGAAAAGGGACCAACATTTTGACAACTATCGGCTCGGACCTAAAGAACCCCTAAACCCAAGGTCCCAGAGTGTCTAAGAAGGTTTCGGACCCTCACCTGCTGGGCCGTCGTCGAATCATTTAATCTCTTTTCTTCGGCTTCGCGAATGGCGCCCCATGCCGCAAAATCAGTGCCTAAAAGCGCTACATCCTAAAGCCTAAAACATGCGCAACAAAAAGTTGTTTTGATGAACAGCAGTCATAAAGTCCTTAATTAAAGAGCAGTCTCTAGAATCTAAAATGCAACATTCGGGCTTTAGCTCGAAGACCCTAGATGCAGACCCGCATCGTCCGTTCGGCGATCTGTTGATACTATACCCTTGAAGGACAGGAACCCAGGAACCCCCAAAACCGTGCCAAGGTACCTATGTCGGCGCGGCCATCCATGCATTTAATCTGGGTCTGGTCTCCGAAGAGGTAGGGTTCGGGACTGCAGACCTTATCGGGTTCAGGTTTTAGGATTACCGGCGGAGGGGCATAGGGCCCTTCTACGAACTGGAATAGGGTTCGCGCAGCGGGTGGAGGCTATAAGTTTGTCTATACGGCTTAGTAAGAGGGACTATAGGCTGAATATAGGAGCCTTAAAGACTACAACAGCGTTTTGGGGTGCCTCGTTAATTTGTCCAGGGATTGGGGCCCATCAGACTCGGGCTTGTTCGTCATGAGGGATTATAGGTACTTATTTGGTAAGGGTTGCAGGAGTTGGTATCAATAAGGCCTTAAGGTTGAGGGGTGCGCCAAACACGTTTCTTAAACTTTAACTTCCTTTATATGAGCAGCTTGTAAAGGTTTTTGCAAGTCGTGGTGCAAAGAGCCGTTTTCCACAATTCCAGGCCCGGTTTTCCACAACTTTCGGCTCTGAACAAGCACTGTTTTCCGCAAGTTTGGGGTCTGCACCGAGCAGCTTTTTCCACAGCTTTGGGTGCTGAACGGATGCGTTTTTCCACAGGATTCGGGTCCAGACCAAAAGATTCCGCAGACTTAGTCTCCAATCGGACATTTGTTTGCAGGAAAACCTGCGAAAATATTTGCAGAAAGTCTGCCGTCTTTGCAGAAAAACTTGCGGACACATTGGTGGAAAGTCTGTCGTGTTTGCGGAAAGACTTGCGCAAACATTTGTGGAAACTCTGGTCGTGTTTGCGGAAAACGTTGTGGAAACACATGCCGATATTTTCCACAAACACGACGTCGTGTTTGTGGAAAAACTTGCGGAAACATTTGTGGAAACTCTGGTCGTGCTTGCGGAAAAACCTGCGGAAAAATTTGCGGTCTGCGGAAAAATGTGCGGAAAAAGATTTTGGAAAACATGTCCGTGTCATGCCAAAACGTGTTGAAGTTTAGAATTTTACGGCTTCGGCATGTTTTCCGCAAACTTTTCCGCAAACACGACATGTGTTTCCACAACGTTTTCCGCAAACAAGACCAGAGTTTCCGCAAATGTTTCCGCAAGTTTTTGCACAAACACGGCCAGAATTTCCACAAATTTTCCACAAGTTTTTTCCGCTAATACGACAGGGTTTCCAAAAATGTTTCCGCAAACTTTTCCGCAAACACGACAGAGTTTCCACAAATGTTGCCGCTCTCGTGCGTTGCTCCTTGTCAAGCCCCAAAGATGCGGAAAAGCCTTCTTGCGAGGCTCCTTGTCAACCCCCAAAGATGTGTAGAAACTCTCTTGGGATGCTCCTTGTCACACCCCAAACGTGTGGAAAACCCTCTTGCAAGGCTTTTTGTCAAGCCCCAAAGATGTGGAAAAACCCTTGTGTGATGCTCCTTGTCAAGCCCCAAACGTGTGGAAAAACTCTCTTGGGATGCTCCATGTCAAGCCCCAAGAATGTGGAAAAACCCTCTGTCGAGCTGGTCTTATCCCAAGATACCTCATGCAACTGGCTTTAGCGTTCTGCGAGTTTAGAGTGGGTGACCTAACGTGTTTCGCGCACCCCCCAACCTTAAGGGCTTAGCACAAATACCCGTACAAGTACTAGTATTGCTGCGACTACGCAAGAACAAGAAGTACTTTGCGCTCTGTCTGGCTGGCTTGTGCACAGGTTATTCTGCCACTGCCAACAGCTGTGGCATGTTGTTAAGACGGGGCGTGGAGCCGTAGGAGCAGAAGGAACCCAAACTGTAAAATGACAATGGACAGGTTCAGGCCGAACTCGTAGCAATGCTGGTGCTGAAAAGCAATGACAATTTTCCTCCCAGGATCCTAAACACCCAAGGGCCGTACTGTCGAACAACTAGCTCCCGGCCCACAGGGACTCTATCGCGTTGGCACCGAAGCAGTACAGGAGACTTGCTGCATTTCCGCCGGCCTTAGCATGGTTCAGGGCATGATGTCAAAGTGGCTGCAATAGTAGCCGCCGAAATAGTTTACCAAAGCCATTCGTTAGGGCTCCCGAGTAGGATTATACTAGAGTTTACCCCCCCAAGAACCCGATTCTCATCTGTAATGCCCCTAGATTAGAAACCATCTGTAATCCTGACGTGCAATATGAGCTGAAGACGAACAAGTTGGAGCATGATCATCCTCATGGCCCCAATGTAGAACCAGGGAAACCCGGCTCCAATCATCCTAACGCCATGTTCCAGCTTCCTGGCCTCAGCTGTAACCCTAACCCTGAGCTCATAGGGGCCCTTAGGGGGGTAGGGGGAGGGTGGTAGGGGGCCTCAATGCCCATAGTAAGGACCTAATATGAGGCCCATTTAAGGAAATATAGTCCCCTACCCCCCCACGCCCCCCTATAAGGGACCCTATGATGAACCACTGAAGCAGAGCCATAGTTGCTATATGGTCAATTCAGGCCAGAGGCTTGCTTTAAGAAGGTCGGCATGACGATTGAAGTTTAAAAAAAGGGACCCTAATGCCTGAAACAATTCCCAGACCCCCCGGAGGATCTAGAAAGTAGATCCCCTAATTTGGGGCCCTATACTACCAAGGGTACTTTTTAGGAACCCGCCATTAAGGGATCTACTTTTTGGATCCTCCCGAAATTCTGGGTTTAGGGCTTTCTAGGATTGGTCTCCTTGCTTGAGTGGTGCAGGGTGCGGGGGTGATTGGGCTCTCTTGGCGAAAGGCAAGAATGATATCTGGCCCCAGGATGCTAGCAAGAATGACCAACAACCCCGAAGCCCTGAGACATAGGACCCTGCATAATTACTAATCAATAAACAGGTACACCATTGCCATAATGTACCCCGAGACCTTACTCTGACTTCAAAGGGCCTTATCTTAGCGCAAGCCGCAGCTGTCCACCGTGAGCTGATCGGCTTGAAGATGAACCTGTAGGCCATCCTATAAGCCTAAACCAATGACATTGAACCCTTCATAGTCCTACCTAGTAGTAGCGTAGGTAACCTTTAATCAACCACCATGTAGTCCCAATGTACTCCCAAAGGTTAACCTTTAAGTTTTCGCGAACCCTGAGTCAACCCTGCCTATGCCCTTGGCCCTAAACTCTGTAAAGTCTTACCAGGACATGGTACGCTTGCGTATCCGATACTTGGGTAGGGCAGAGCGGCGACCGTGGAAAGGCTGGGGGTGTTAGGGTTTTAGGCTATGTTTGGGGTTTCGGGTGGTTTAGAGGGTTTGGGGGTTTTGAGGGTTTAGGGTGCAGGCTGATGGCTTTTGAGTGTGCTTTCGGCTTTATGGTTTAAGGTCTCGGGGGGCCGAGTTCGAGGTTTAGTTCAGAACTTACAACCCTGAACCCTAAACACACAAACCCTAAGCCCAAAACCCTAGTCCTAACTCGCCATATCTTAGGGGCATTAGTGCCTGCCATTTATACTCTGAAACCCTAAACCGCAAACTGTTTAGGGCTTGGGGCTTTCAGCTTCTGGGGTTTCCTGGTTTAGTTTATTCGGTTCAGGGTTTGGGGCAGTGTACGGGGCTTCCAGATATCTGGGCTGGGCTTTGGCATCCAAGGCGTAGCCGTTGGGGCCTTTTGCTTGTTTGGGTTTAGGGTTTATAGGGTTTAGGGTTTAGGGTTGCTGGTGAGCTGCACCCACCTTCGTTGTGCAGTGTCTCGTGATCGAAGGATAGCTGTGCAACTATGATTTCGTGTTGGCCTGCATTTAGGGTTGGGGCTTCGGTTGTGGGCTCCAATGCCAGAACTGGGTATGATTTCGTCTCACTGAAGGATCTCAACCCGAACGCCCTCAGATACGTAGGCACTGAATCCTGTAAATGGCAAAACATCCCAATATGCCAACTCGTCTGCAGATGTGGTAAACGAGATGAACACGGACGTGGATCGCTTCGTCCTTAGCACACTTGGTGAAGGTTGAGGGTGTGCAGCATGAGGTGCCCAGGTTTTGCTCAGAGCCCAGTACCCCACAAGTAAAGACTATGCCTTGAATCTGAATGCCTGGCCAAGCGATGCAATGCAGTTTGTGTAGAGAGTGATCTGTCGACATGGAACTCAGTCATGCAGGGAGCATGAAGACAGGGGATTTGCGCAGGACGGGGATGAGAGTTTTGGGTACCCTTGAGCTTCGGCTTGTATGGCATGCCAGTGCTAAGCTCCCTCACTCCTGGAAGCCCGAAACAAAAGCCCATGAACCGTCCTGAACCTTAGATTCACGTCAACAAACAAGTAACTAGACTAAAAAAGGCTGTGCTGGAGGCATAGACGACCCTAAGCCACGACAACAGCAAATCAGCAGACCAGGTGCTAACTCCCTTCTACCACCTCGTCTCCAAATCGACCTTTGTTCTGCAAGTCATAGGGTGTGGGGGGGGGGGGGGAAATGGTGCAAACGAAGCCATAAGCCACTCATATAGGGGCCTTCATAATTACCTCTGCTGTTTTGGGGCTTCCTTATTTTCATTTGATCAGAATGGGCCCCCCCAAACCCTAGTCTAATTATCAAGGCCTCTATATCAAACCCTAAAGAAGGGAGGGTTGAGGATGTTTGTGGGCGGCGGGCTAAGGGCTTCAATGAGACTTTCTCTTTCAGTGTTGACAGTCAAAGACTTCTTATGGGTTGCAGGCTTATTTGGTGGAGAAACTAGAAGCTGAGCCTTTAATCAAGCCGCAGCGCATGCAGTTTCCGAGGTCTCAGAGCCTGTAGCCCGACAGAACGCCGAAAGACAGACCGGGCATACTGCTGAAGGCCCGCACACAGAGAACAAATCTGCGCCACCATCGAATCATCCGCATTATGGCTTCTCACAGCCCCGCACGCTCGTCCTGACCAGTTGTTGCTGTTTTTGCTTTTCTTGAATAAGCCACTTCCCCTGCACTCCCTCAGCTCGCGGACCAAGTAGTTACTCTATGACTCTATACATCTTCAACACCGCTTTTTTCAGAAGTTCGAATGACAGTTTTTCTTTGATCCAAACTCAAGCCCGCAACTCGAAGCTGAAATCCTGAGCCGAGTCCCTAAGCTCTACTGGCTTCTCGTTAAGGAGTCAAGGGCTTTTGTGCAGGTTGCCACTGTAAGGAAACCATATTCTTTATTATCGATCCCCATTATTCTGGTAACTCAAATTAAGTTATTTAACAAGAGCCAGTAAGCCCTAAAGTTCACGAAAGCTTGTCCGAGGAGAAGGTGCCGAGCTCGGCAGCAACGAAGCTCGGCGAAGCGATCGAATCGAAGGTCTTGTCGATGAGGGCTTGGCTTAGGGCTGCAATTGTTCAGATTGTAGACTGTCTATAACGGTGTTTCTTCCAAGCGGTTTTGGTTTAGGGGCTTTAGGGTAGAAGGTTGCTTTCGTCTGGGGCTTTAGGCTGTGAGAAGGGTTTCAGTTTCAGGCTCCTACATGAAACTCCTAAACCCTGTAAACCCTAAACCCCGGTATCCCGAGCCTCCATCTTCCAATCCGACCAGCCGGGTCCCTGCAATAGGAAGGATCCGTCGTTGCAGCCCTAGAAGCCCATTCTACCTGCACAGCAATTAGGTGACTGTTTTAGGCATTCTCTCTCTCTCTCTCTCTCTCTCTCTCTCTTTCTCTCCCTCTCTCTCTCTGTATATATAAACATATATACGTATAGAGACAGATGTAAGCTGATTTAAGTATGTATATGTGCATCCATAAGCGTAAATTCAAAATAATATATATATATATATATATATATATATATATATATACATACATATACATACGCATAATGCCATTACAAGACAGGTGAACACACGCACACACACACACACACACACACATACATACATATGTATATATATATATACACATGTATATATATATATATATATATATATATATTTATCTATGTGTGTATGCACATGTTTGCATGTATCTATGTGCACACACCCGTTTATGACGCGTCTACCCATTCCAGGTGTAGGCCAGGTGTTCATACCGCCGATCGAACCCCAAGCCCTAAGCCCCAAACTCTATAAGCCCTATAAACCCTAGACAAACAAACCTCTGCGGACCTTTTTCGAAATCGACCGCCCAGGAACCTCGATCTCGAGAGAGCCAAGGCGGCTCAAGCCGCGAAGGCGGCACAGGCCCCGGGCTGATTTGGTTTGTATTATGGCATGCATACATAGGTATATATATATATATATATATATATATGGTTTAGAAGCCCGGATCCGGAAGAACATAGATTTTAAGCCTCCTTATCATGGTTCGCTTCTATGAGTCTTGAGAAAGGTAGGTTCTTCAGGGTCCAGGTACGGCTTATATTGGGTTTAGGAGGGGCTTATCAGGGTTGTTTTATGGGTTTCTTGTGTTTTTGGCAAGGTTTACATCGGGTTTCAATGGGGTTAAATATTTGCTTACAAGGGGTTTGTTTAGGGTTTCAGGGGGTTTCGGGTCCTGGGTTTTGAGTTCAAGGGGTTTAGAACGGATATATGAGGTCTTTTGTCAGGGTTCTTTGGGGTTCAGGGTATCTCATGATATTTCTACCGTTGTAGCCAACCCCAAAACCCTAAAGTAAAAGCCAGAAAGTTGGAATATGATTATCCTAACCCTTCTATGGTAAATTATAGGGTATCCTACCCTGAAACCATATTCCAACTTTCTGGAGTTCCCTGTAAACCATAATCCCGAAACCCTGACCCTCACCTTAAGACCCGAGCCTGATCTGTGAAGGACATATAGTAGAGGCCAAAAAGTTGGAACATTAGACTCCTCATGCCCTAAAGGTAAAGTATAAGGGATCCTAGCACTAATCCTCCTAAAGCCATGTTCCAACTTTCTGGCTTCTACTGTAAGTGAAGGCATGGTATTCAGGAACCAAAAGAGCCAGGTAGGCAAAGGGGAGTTTCCGAAAATGTGTACCCGAATATAGCAACCTAACTAGTAGGATGATGATCATAAGGACAGCGAAATTAGGTACCCCGAATTTTCGGCAACTCCCCTATAGGGCTTTGGGATGCTTTGGGGGTGACGGCGAAGGTAGGAATAACAAGAGAATCAACGCAGGCCAAAGCCTTGGAAGAGCCGCCTCCGCAGGCGGCAACCCACAAAATCCAAGGGTTTCAGGACACTTCTTCGGCTTTAGGGCTGTTGAGGGTGTACGGTTATTGAATATGTAGGGGTGGGTGTTCAGAAGTTTGTGGGGTTTGCAGCTTAAGAGCAGGAGGGCAGATTTCAAGTTTTTAGCAAAGTTATGTTGCTGGTGTTTTCTGGTTGTTGTTGTTACTCCTGCCAAGATTCCACGTCTGCGGAGTTCATGGTGCTCGGCTGCTGGTGTGATCATGGCTTTGTTCCCTCTTACACCTGCTGCAAAAGCTCTTTCTCGCGATTATTGACATGTCGGTTCTGAGGCGTTCGGCTGTTCAACCGCGCATCTTTCATAACATACTGACATTCCTAGAACAAAAGCATCGCTACACGGAGAGCTTGCAATCACTAAACCCTGCGTGAATCTCCTGTTGACCGTGCCCTGCAACCTTGAGCACGATGTCCTGAAAGTCGGGGTCGCGTGTTTTTGAAGCTTTCATGATCCAGCGTTTTGCTTGCAGAATTTGAGGGCCTGCAAAATGGAGCACAATCTTTGATTAAGGCCTTCCGATTTCCCCTGAACTCTAAACCGAACTCTGGAACATTGCGCTCTTCGGTTTGCCGTGCTTCTAGGGTTTAAGATGCTGAACACGAAAGCCTCTAAACACGAATGCCCAAAGCCTGAACCGCGCATGGCAGGCCAAGCCATCTCATCCGGTGGAGGATATGTGGCAGAGCTGCAGTCAGCTCAAGTTACGCTTCAGGAGGCAAAGTTTAGTCGGAGTATCGTCATCGGGATATTACCGGGGCAGAAATGCTTACCAACAATATTTTCTTGGAGGTTCCTTATTATCATTGTAGTATAATGGGCCCCAAGGCCTTATTCTAATTATTCAGACCCATAGGAATAGGCCCCTGTCCCAGATGACTCTGCCTTGCAGGGCTTCTTTTGGTGTGGACGCGGACATGCTTGTAAGAAGTCCATCAAACTTTGACATTTATGGCTAGGGGACCCGAATATAGTCCCCGAAATAGTAGGATCCTTTTTTACTTTTTTGAGGACCCCAAAATGAGGTAATTATTCTAATTTTCGGAAGCTCCCTTCTGGGGCGCGATGCAAGCAACCGCCTCAAGTCCTAAACCCTGGACAACAATTTCTTGAGGCTGCCTGCGATCGAGGAAAAGAGGGTCGAAGAGACGAAAAGTTTGGAGGACCCTGGTTTCAGACGGTTTTTCGGGGTATAGTATTTAGGGTCCTCGGAGGCTTTGCGTTTTAGGGGGTTTGCAGCAAAGCTTGCAATTTGTTTACAGTTCATTAGTGGCTCGCCTGCTCTAGAAGAGACAGACGTGTTAGGGTCCCTGCTTCAAGGAATACCTATTATGCAGGGTCCTGGTTTTTTGGCTGAGAAGGAATACCTTTTCTGAATTTGAATGAGTTCGGACGCTTTGCGGTGAGGACTTCAGGAGTTGTGGTTGGGCTATCGAGTTTAGGTTAGAGTTTAGAGGCCGGAACTAGAACCCGTTTTGGGGATCAGGGTTAACTACGCCTTATTAAAATTCCTTACATATTCCTTTGTCATACAGGAAGCTCGAAAACTTGTTCGTTTGTTTTTTGGGGCTCCTTTTGTTGAGGTCATGTGTTTTGCTTAAGTTTTTTGAGGCTCGGCGGTATGCTTAGTAGCTGAGTGGATACACTTTATACACTTTTTGGCATAACATTACCCACTATAATCCCGAAAGTGTAAACCTTTCGGGGCTTATGAACTCAGCAACTAAGTATGCTTTCAATGATGTGAATGCTTGAGTGTTTATGCTACAATGCTTCTTCCATGCCAGGAGGGTAAGTCCGATTCGGATCGAAGCGAAGATGCCAAGTCCGACGACGGAAAGTCCCTTTGGCACTGTTCTTTAAGTAATTTTAAGTAGAGTTTAGGATTGGTATGGTATCTTCTGCCGGTGCTCTTGAGTTTTTGCTTTGGGTTCAGGGACGCCTTCTTGCCTTGCCCTTCGCTGCATCAGGCTTCAATATGCAAGGGCCCATCTCACCACCTACTGCTACTACGACTACTACGACTACTACTACTACTACTACTACTGCTGCTCCTGCTACTCCTGCAACGTCTTCAGAACCACTACGACTACGACTGCCACTGCGACGACGATGACTACTGCTACTGTACGACCACTACAAATGCAACCTATAGTACAAGTACTGCTTCTTATTAGCAACTAACCGTCGAATTAGTTGCAGCAAGAACAACCTTTGAACTTTGCCAAGGTCAGAGGACGGGCGTATGTCACACACGCGATCGGAAGAAGAGGCCAAGGAGCCACAATTCGATGGTAGAGTGTTTCAGGGTTTAGGTTTGGGGTTTTAGGGTTTACGGGTCAGCGTTGGGTACCAGGCTCAGAGCAATATCCGCAAGACAAACTGCAAACCCTGCCAAACCCCGAACCCTAAGCCCGAACAAAACCTAAGCACCTAAGGCTGGGCCCCAAACCCCAAGCCCCTAATACTAGGCCCAACCCTAAACCCTAAGAGTAGAGTACAATAATCCCTACATGTGTGCCCACCGGTTAGTGTTTAGTTCCCCTAGGATACTGGACAAGCAGGAAACTGTAATAGTACGGCGCGAACAGCCGTACCTCCTGTTCTGCGGAGTTCAAAGTCGTCTTCATACCTCGCCTGGTATTGCCGGGTGTGAGCATCAAAATTAGTACGGCACCCTTCCAAAAGGACCTTATTGCAAGAAAAGTGCCCGTAGAATCACAAGGAAGGACCGAGACGACCATAATTTTGGAGAGCTTTAGTTCCCCTAGGATAACTGGACAAGTAGGAAACCGTAATAGTACGGCAACCCTTTGAACTACCCAGAGGCCCCAAAGTAGTTCCTTGTTGGGGTTACCTTATAGGATTCTACATACGACCCCCAAAAAGGAACTTCTTTGGGGCCTTTGGGTACCCCTAAACGATTTAGTCTAGGACCCTAATACAATACCCTAAATAGTAGGATCCTTATTATAAGGACACCAAAATAAGGTACCCCTAATTTTCGGAAACTCCCTTATGAACTAAAGGGAACTCCAGAAAGTTGGAATATGGCTTTAGGGTAGGATACCTTATAATTTGCCATAAAGGCTAAATAGTAGGATCCTTATTATAAGGACACCAAAATAAGGTACCCCTAATTTTCGGAAACTCCCTTATGAACTAAAGGGAACTCCAGAAAGTTGGAATATGGCTTTAGGGTAGGATACCTTATAATTTGCCATAAAGGGTTTAGGATAATCATATTCCAACTTTCTGGCTTTTACTTTAACCTTAAACGATTTAGTCGAGGAGGGCGAGAGCAAAGACGACCTTGCGAAGCGACTCCGGAGTCGGCCCCTTCGGCTGGAGCGAGGATTTCGGGTTTATGGCTTCGGCTCATATCGAATACCCGGGAGGGAGAGAGAGATAGACAGAGAGAGAGAGAGAGAGAGAGGGAGGGAGGGGCAGCTTATGTATGGTGCCGCGTCGCCGCGTCGCAGGCCCCCCCCCCCCCCCCCCCCCCCCCCCCAAGCCAGGCAGGCTCTCGTCCCAGCAATAAGGCACATGTCATCCGCGTAACTCCCCCCCCAAGCCAGGCCTTGGCAAAAGGAGGGGGCGGGAGGGATAACCCACAAGAAAGGGAGCCACAGGGGCGGGGTGGGGAAGGATAAGCCCTTCCCCTTCACCTCCCCTCGACATACAAATGAGAATGATGGGGATGATGTTGCGCACAATGATGTGCTATGCCCAGTGTGACTGTTGGCGGCACCTTTGCTCCTATGTTGCTCTGGGCTTCGGCTGTTGCTCTGGGCTTCGGCAAAGCATGTTCTTTTGCTTGGCTTGTGATGTTCTTGCGAAAACTGTATCGATCTTTGTCATTGCAAGCCCAGTCTCGGTTAGGTTCGCTAAAAGTAAGCTTGAGCACGTTTTGGAATGATTCTCATTCGGGGCTCTTGAGCAAGGACCGGAGGAGAGTGCGGATGGGGATCATGACCACCATCTTCGTCATCATCATTACCATCATATTCATCACTATCATTGGCTTTGGAGCTCAAGGCAGGTCGGACTTCAGTGGAAGTGTATCACATCCTAAGGTCCAAACTCTTAGCAACCGGACACCCAAGCAGCAATGGCCATGGAAGGGGGAACGCAACCACAGGGGGTAGGGGCAGCGGGGAACCCCCACCACAGGGAACCACAGGGGGGGAGGGGGGATACCATGGGGTGGGGGGGGGGAGGGGGGGCCTAGCAGCGCTGCACCATGTATGGGCTTCTTCGGCTGTCTTTTTGCTTGTACTTGGGCGTGTGGGCATGAAGTTTAGGGTAGGTTTTTGGCTTGAGGGCCTTGTTTTTGTGCTTAGGGGCTTGGGGTCTGTCTGCGGGTTTGTAGAGTTTAGGGTTTATGGGTTAATTAATGAGTTTGGGGTTTAGGGGTTTGGGGTTTAGCCAGAAAGAATTTGCAAGTGCTGTTCCTGGGGTTCCCCCATAGTAGTGTTTATAGGGATTGATTGCGATTGTTTTCTGTCGGGCTTTCAGATTATCGCATGGCTTGCATTTTGCGTTCATGGTTCTGAGATTATTTTGGTATGTTGGGTGTTTTGCCAACGTACGAAGAGATCTGTATTGTTTAGATTGCTGTCATCCGTTTCTCAAGAAGATGTTGACTGCTGTTTTCGTTCTAAGGGATACAAACTGGCATTCGGTTTGGAGTTCCTGTAAGCATGTTAAAACTGTAGGGTATAGGGGCGCGGAGTCGAGGCGGCAGAGCTTTAGAGTGTATAGGTGGTTAGGACTCCGTCTCTGGGCAGAAGAAACCTTCACCTCGTGTGCTGCCGCAAGCCTAGGTTTGATGCCACACGCTGTGCCAAGCGCAGCGGGAGTCAGAAGAGCAAGGCAGGATCTCAACTTCTGCTCTGTTGAGGGTTTAGAGGTTAAGGGTTTATGGTACAGTAGTGTTGATAGTTTCGCAGCACACGTAATAGTCACCATGAGTAGAGTGATGTCCAAGCGGCAGCAGAAGTCGTAGGACTGGTCGTCGTCCTTGATGACACTGCTCGTTGTCGCAGTACCAAGGGGGTCATACCCTACCCCCATGTTGTTGATGGCACTTAGTTTCCATGGTAGGGCTTGTAAGATAGAGAAATGTAGGTACTGAAAAAGGGGGGTAGGGTATGACCCTCGCAGTAGGTTTTAACCGAAGAAGTAGCGGTAACCCTGCTCATCATTTCACACCGCGTGAAAAGTGAGGACCTGAATAGTTCGATGCGGTTTCTGGATTCTGAGGGCTTTAGTATGACATATACCAAAGGAACCCAAGAGGAACACTGCTAACTACTCTTGGGTGAGTCGCACTTTGGGATTCGGGCTTCATCCTTGTCGAGGGTTCAGGGGTAGGGCTTACACAGGCATCCTGGACAACGAAAGGCAGTAACAGGTGGTGTAGGGTGAAGAGGTTTTCGGATCTTCCAGTGCCGAAGCCCCAGGCATCACCTGTCATGAAGCCTTCCATGCGCCTTCTTTGCAAGATGGTCGTCTATGTAGGACTCAGGGCGTAGCATGCATCCAAAGTTCAGGATGTAGGGTGAACAGCGGTTTAGGACTTCAAGGTGTGAGTTAGGACAATGGGACTTGCTCAGAAATCTGGCACCGGCTGCCTGTACCAGGTCTTGATGCTGGCTTAGGTCTTGATGCTGGCTTCGGGTGTTCTTGACCTTTCAAGTTCTTACGGGTTTCCACAACCTCAGCAAAAAAATCGCACACGACCCAAACCCCGTAACCTCTAAACCCTGCAAGCCCCATACAACTTGTAAATTCTGCCCGGCCTGGAGCACAAGACATGAACCCTTCTGAAACTCTCAACCCCAAACCCTAAAGCGAAGCAGGTTGAATCTAGCAAACCCCAGTCTTCAGGGTAGGGGGGCGAATAAACCTCGCCTCTATCACTCTTGGGACGAATGCGCCAATCTGTTGTGGGTGTAGGGTCTCTCAGAGGTGGGGTCCAAGGTGCATGTTTCGAGCTTACATCAAACAAACTAACTAGCACACAGGCAAGCACACAGCTAAATAGATTAATATGCATACATACATATATATATATATATGTATATATATATATATATATATATATATATGGTCACCCCCCCCCCCTTCACAGACCATCCCCTTTAAAACACCGCCCCCACCGGCGACTTCGTGCTTTTCCAGAGTATCGTGTTTGAGCCCTGATTTCGTTTGTCCAGAACGACACTAGAGCCAAAACCAAAAAAACCAAAGTCTCACGGAGAATGCCGGAGCAGTTTTGTTGTTTTTGGATTTTTGGATTTGTGTTTGTTTTTGTATTTTTTTTTTTTTTTGGTTTTTTGGTTTCGCTATGTAAAAACCAAAAATCCAAAACACCAACAAACCAAACAAACAAAATGCCACAAAAACAAAACTGTCCGTGCATTCGCCGTGAAACTTTGTTTTTTTTGGTTTTGGGTGCATCCTTGTGTCAGTCACGGCCTTGCCCCTGCGCATAGACTGTTTGGAAAGTCCTGCAAGGCAAACCCCCCCGTTTCGGCTCGAGAACTGGGGCAGTTCTAATACGAAAGTCAAGAGTAGGATTACTACAAATATTCATGCGAATACACATCAACATCTGCATATGAGTTTTAATGCTAATACTTTCACTACTACGAATGCCAATATTAATGTTATTATGACTATTCATATAAGTGTTGATACAACTGTGAAATTAATTCACATTCTCTGATGATAATAATACTATCACCAATACCAATACTGACATTGATAATTTGTTGAATAATGAAGATAATACCAGCATTAATACTAATATTGACGTTTATATTAATGCTAATACGAATATGCATAATACTAATACGAATATGAACATTAATACTCCTACGACTACCAAGAGTCATACATATTGATATTAATGCAATACGAACAGACACCTGCGTATATTAATGCACATAAATATACATACCACTATCTCAAAGTGCAAATATGTCAATGCATTCGTGTACTAGCGTAATATATTCGTATGTATCATATACCCATATACCAAGGTAACAATATACTTCTTTTTAACGTACGAACATACTATACTGATATGCTAATTTACTAAGATACGAATACTAAAACTATGCAAGTATACTGACATATAGCAATAGTATACCAACATATGGATATACCTATTTAAATTACTAGATAATATACGACCTAATGTAGTGGCATACCAGGGTACTAATATACTTATATGTTAATACTCGAAGTTAGTAAAACACCAAATATACTAATGTACTCATGCACGAGCGTACGCATGTATTTTTATACTAAGAGCATACAAACATACAGGTATACAAATATGTTACTGTTGGAATAAATTAATGTGTTGGTATATTAAGCTGTTAATATGCGAATCTATCAGTACACTAACATATCAAAACTAATTCCAGTATTGATACGAATACTAGCACGTCTGCGAATATTATACTGATATTAAATCCAACATTAAGACTGATTCAATCTAACATCGACATTGGCACTGGCATTAGCACTAATTATCACTAAATATGCTAGTATACTAATATACGATTACTGTCAGTATACTGACATGTTCACATGCTATTATGCCAACATACTGATATACCTATGAGCTATTAGTAATATACGAACATAGTAAATCTAGCAATGGACGACTGTAATGTACATATAGACTAATACGTTAACATACGAATATCATAATACACCAATATACTAATGTGCTCATGCACTAATGTACTAACATATTCACATACTAATATACAAGTATGCAAATATACCATTGTTCGAATACATTAATGTATTGACATATTAAGCTGTTAATGTACGAACCAGTCAGTATACTCACATCTCAAAACTAATTCTAATACTGATACAAATACTAACACGAGTACTATTCCTGATACTAACACGAGTACTAGTACTGACATTGAAATTGACAGTGGCACTAACACCAACACGAACAAAATCACCAATTCATACTTACTATTAGTGATATGTATACTTTTACCCAGTACAAATACTAATACTAATGCTAATACTAATGCTTATACTAAACACCAATATCAATACTAGTACTAAACCAGTACCCATCCCGTAATATCAATACTACCACAAAACTATTACTAACATGAACAGTGATACTAGGGTTAGGACTACTACAAACAATAATAGCAGTACTAAGAACTAAGAACAAGACATTTTAATCCTAACACAAAAACTAGTGCTAATACTAGCTACGAATACTACTACTAATACCCATTCTAATTTTAACGCTACGCGGCCCGCCTCGGCTGTTTAGCGGCAGGGCGAGGGGGCAGTCGATGTTGTAGACATGCTAGGGCCTCTCAACCCCAACCTTTACACGGTTGGTTGTTGACACCCAACTGGGATGGAGGGGGAGGAGGGGGGGAGGCAGAAAAGTCAGGTAAAATGAAGGGAAGCCGGACAAGGGTGGCAAACGAACGCAAAAAACGGGTGTCCCCAAACATTTTGGCCTGCAGGAAGGAGGATTAGGTGGAGGGTGTCTGAGGGAACCATCAAGACGCCTGCGCCTCTGGCCTCGGCGGATACCAATACTATTCCTACTACTACTGCTACTACTATTGTTACTTTTAATACTATAAGACTAATACTAGTACTCATACTAGGTACTAATACTAACACTCATACTATTACTAATACCAATGCTAATGCTACCACTACAACTACTGTGCTACTACTGCTACAACTACTACTACTACTACTACTACTACTGCTACTACGACTAGTAACTGCTACTACTACTACTACTACTACTACTACTACTACTACTGCTACTACTACTACTACTACTATTACCACTACTACTACTATTAATGTTAGTACACATAGTTCATACTAATACTGCTAGTAATACTAATACGAATACAAATTAATACTAAACTGATACTCGTCCTAATATCAATACCACCACAGCACTAATACTGATTTTAACACTGATACTAGAATTATGATTACTACAAACAGTAATAGTGGTACGAAGAGATTAAGATTAGGACTAGGATCGTTGCATGCATATGTAGAAATTTCCAAAAATTGCCAACCATCTAAAAGACCATTTGGGAATTGAGTTTGGGAGAAGTGATTGTCGCCTATCCGTTGACAGATCCTGCCTGGGGACGGACACCACCACCTTTCCCCTTCCCCACGACGGTCTGTCATGGGGGGGGGTGAACATATATATATATATATATATATACATATAGAGAGATATACATACATGCATACATAGGACATAGGCATACAAATACCCTACTCGACCAGATTTAGCTTCTCTTGCCTTGTTATTTTCGGTACTGAGGCTCAGCCACTGCCCAAGCCGCTTGGATTGGTGGATCGGAAAACAGGTGTTGTTAGCGGCTTGAAGTAGTAGGTGCCGCTAAGTCTGGCTAGACACTTACAAGCTACTATTGACGTCTCCCTGGGGAGCTTTTGTGTTAGCTTTGCATCGCACCACTACCAGGCTTGCCAAGACGCTTGAGTCTATAGCCCGAACCCTCTTAAACCCTACACTCTGAAATCGTAGACACTGAAAGACCACAAACCGTGGCTCCGAAGTATCTCAGGTTCCGGCTCAGGAAACTCAACCCCTGAACCTGGCCATTTTCGGTGCTTTTAGCCTCACATTCTTCCTGTAATTTTTGTTATCTAAGACTCTAAGTAAGACCAGAGGTGCGCAAATCGTGCTCTTCAGATGTAGTTTGGCGCCTGTTATTGGGACTTCGAGGATGTACGTTGAAAGACTACAGTACAGGATGGCTCTTCGGTCCCGGGCGCTTCGCTTCAGGGATTCGGCCTGCTCCAAGGTGAAATCTGATGTTTGGTGTTTAGGCTTAGACTTCGGATACTCTGTACCCCTAGAATCATGGCAACTCTTACCTTACAGTATCTCCTCGTCGTGGAACACTGTTCGAATTATTCAGGGTCCTATTGCAACCCACACGGAATATACCTTCCACTTCCGAGTAGTACAGGACACTGTTCCAAATCCTGAGGTCCAGGACGCAGGTTCGTCCTACGAGGACGAGAAAGCTTTTTCTAACCCTCAAGAAACCCTAAGCCGGAGTCTATAGAGACTTTGAGGCAAAGGAAAAAGGCGCTCAGCAACAATCAAAGAAGAATCACGCCGTGCCGGCCATGGAGAGCAAGGCCTGGGCAGAGATGCTAGAATCCTGTATAAATTACAATGCTCCAGAAACTTCCGACATGCAAGAAACTCGACAGGAACGCTTCTAATACCAGTTATACACCCACCAAAAGGACCTTTAATACTCCACACAGCCCTGGGCCTCAAACCCTAAACCTTAAAACCGGCCGTGCCCGGACGCAGACGGAAATGAGCCCTAGTAGAAAGCACAAACCTCCACCCTAAACCTTATGTAAGCAACACCTCAGGTCTGGGCGACTTCTCGTTCACGACCACGGTCTCGCCTATCGGCCGCTGCTAGCAGCGGCCGAAGCCCGTGGCCGGCCGGGGCACAGGTTTTTAGAGGGTTTGGGGTTTAAGGCGATGTAGTACTCCTGACAGCAGAGTGCTGCCCGGAGCGAGTCAGCTGTCCTGGCGTGACGTTGCAAGCCAGTTGCAAAAGGGAGATGTAGTTATATGCTTGAAGTGGGGAGTGTGCCTGAAATTAATCGCCTTAGGTATTGGAGGAGTGCTTTTGAGTATTGCGGCTTCAGGATAGGTGTCTTAAGTTCTAGGGAGCCACAGCGACAGACGAGCACTTAGCAGTTTGATCTATGATATGAGGCGAATGAAACCGAACCTAGGGTTTCGTACTCTAGTGTTCACATTGCTTGGAGAATAGGCACTACATGCACAAGGTTTTCCCCATGCTAGGCTACTGGTAATGCCCGCGATGCATGAAGGTACCGAGGCCGCTAGCATTCGAGTATCTACATCTTCTGCCTTTGCTCGATATCCAAAGCCTGAAACCTGGAGCCTTCAGCCCAAAACCCTAACCTCAAGCATCACATCAGTCAGTTCTTTGAGGCGAAACCCTTATACGAATCAGGGCTCTAAACTGCATAGGTTCCGAGAATAGACCACGCCACCACGGCGGCTACCGATCGAGTTTCGGTGCACCTGGCCGGCTGCCCTCTACAGCACATTGGTCCACAGAAGCCGCGAGCCATGAATCGAGGACCTTAAAAACATTGGAGCTAAGTAAACAACAAACACCGAAAAGCTCCAAGCCTTAAGGCCCTAAGCCTCAGGTACTTGGAAGGGCAGGGGACTTAGTAAGTAGGTTATAAGTAGGGTTATAATTGGGGTAACTCCATTTAGGGTACTTATAACTCTACTTATAACCTACTTACTAAGTCCCCTGCCCTTCCAAGTAGGTGTAAGCCACGTACTCAACCCACGTAGAGTGTATAACGACTCTACGTCCCCACGTCAACTTTCACAGGAGGGTAGGGAGATCCAAACTGCAAATGCTACCAACCAGCCGCACTGTGTCACGAAAGGGAAAAAACCGCAGGAAACCCAAACCCTAAACTACTCTGGGCGAGGTTCTTACCTAAGAACCTCGCCTGGCTGTGTCCGAGTTGTGAGAGCGTAAACTACTCTTGGGCTTAAACTTCAGAGGTCAGGAGTAAGTGTCACACGGATCGAGAGACCTCGTTTGGCGCAGTCCGAGTTGTGAGAGCGTAAACTACTCTAATCGTTGAATGCTCAGAAAGAAGGGACCCTAAGCTGGATGTGCAGCATGCAGAGGATAGTCGCTGCACAGACTCCTGAATAAGCTACAACTCAGAACATTACCCCTAGAACCCTTCGAAAACCCTTCAGCAAGACTTCTTAAAACGCACGCATCCTTCAGTCAACAGAAAGTCTTGGCTACCGGCTCGGCGGGACGAGTGATGTGTGTTTTTTTCTATCTCGGCCTCAGAAGTATCAAGTCCCTCCAAACTTGCTCGGCGCTCTCGGCACAGCCTGCTGCGTAGGCATTCGGCCTTTGAGATGTCTAAGGTTTGATGTTGGTGCCGTGTTTGGTGCCTTTTAGCGGAAGTTAGAGGATTTTGTGAGGGTTTGTGAAGCTGTAGCCTGATTTTGGCTTCATCGAAGGAACACAGATCCCAGAATCATGGAATTTGGTGGCTCTGTAGGTTGCGTGCTGGCGATTTTCAAGACTGACTTTGCACTCAAAGAACTGCATTTGGTGTAGGTTGCTAGTGCGGCCTGAGCCAAGCTCGCGAAGGTACAAGTTATCCTATGGACTTCAAGTTCAGCCGGCCAAAGTATCGCAAAGCCTGAACAACTACTGTTTGTTTGACTGCTCTTATCTTGACCTGCTTCGAGCGAAATTGGATCGGGCTGTAGTGGCGCTATAGGTAATTATTGAGCATCCTATACTGAATCATTCTAATAGCCCTTGTCGTAACCCTTATAGATCCCTTTCAGGGAACTCCTAAGTGAGCCCCAACCATCGAGCCTCCGTGCGCGTGTGCTGTGAGCTGAGCAGCGGAGTGGAGTTGACAATGTCCATACTGTGATCTGGGGATAGAGCGGCTTTCCACAAGACAGATGCGCCTTCTCGTTGAAGTAAGACTCCCTAATGCAGAAAAGTTCACATGCTCGCGACGGGCAAATGCGCTGTGGGTATCTACATGCATGCATAACTAACTAACTAACTAACTAACTAACTAACTAACTAACTAACTAACTAACTAACTAACTAACTAACTAACTAACTAACTAACACACACACACACATCGACATATACTATATACTTAATACAAATACAGACAGCTAGCTATATACACATGTGCACTTGTACAAGTGTGCCTCTGTGTATTTGCCTCGGGATACAGACAGACGGAGAGAGGGAGAGACAGAGAGAGAGAGAGAGAGAGAGAGATAAACACTTATGTGTTTGTTCATCAGCCGTGCAATCATCTAAATTTTCACACACTCGAGAGAGAAACAGACATACCTAGAGCCTCGAAATAGATAATGGCTTTACTTCTTCCGGGAAGCAGGCTTTCAGGTTTACGGTAACGGGCTTGATGCAGGTAGGAGGGGGCTTCGTAAATAGTTTCAGGTTTCTAAACCCTTGTTCTCGATGAATCGCTTGATGGTGTGTGATTCTGGGATGCCGGCCCTACCCATAAATTAATTGGAAATGGTTCATCCAGATGTGAAGATCTTGTCGGACTTTTCCGGTGTGCACGAGGATCCTGTTTAAGGTCTTATGTACTACTTACAAGGCAACACATTGACATGAAGATGGAACTTCTAGGGTTTAGGGAGTTTAGGGTTTAGTGAAGCGAATTTGAGGTCTGTCAAACCCAGATCGGCGCGAGCGATCGTGTGGAAAGTCGATGTTTGACCGATCGCGTCGGATAGAGCTGAGGTGGGAGGGTCTCTCCTCATAGCCCCTTTACGATTTAGGTGGCCTCGCAAGTCTACCCCTGAAGCCAACTTCCCGCACGATCATGCACTCAGGGATCTGAAGACGATGTCACCCAGTAAGTCTTGGGTTTTGAGCTTAGGCTTTGGTGTTTTGTGTTTAGGCAGTTTGGGTTTTCGAGCATTGAGGTTTTAATTCTAGACTTCATCATGGCCGTCGCTCTTCGCGTCAGACATACATTTTCAAGTCCCTGCTCCTACGTCTCAGCGTAGCTTAGAACAAAGCTTTTCCGGGGTAGTTCTGTAGACACCTAACCTAGAGCTTAAAAGTCCCAGACCCACAGCCAAGCCTTGCTTCGCTCTCCCTGTATGGTCGTTCGTCCGGGATCGGGATCTACCGCCTTAGGTTTTGGGATTTTCTGAAGCCGTAGGCCCTAGATTCGCTTAACTTTGTCATCGCTTCGGCCCCCATGCGGCCCTAAATCCGAAATCTTTGGAAAGCAAAAAAGGGCGTCACGAATATACAGCCTCCGGTAACACAGCTACCTTGCGGGTCTGTGGACTGCAGGCCTTGGGATTTTGTTCAATGGGGTTTGGAATTTTCTGGTGTGGGATAAACCCCGAGCTACGATAGCAAATTTTCGGTCCAATAAATGACCGAAGGTAGCAGCGTATGGGACATATAAAGCATTACCCATAATAAGGAATATGCCATAATTCCCATAGTTTAGGGTCCTTAAGGTAATGCAGTTTTCTGGGACGTTCATGGTGGAAGACGTGGAGAGCCTCGCCTACGTACCTCTTAGCCGACGCGAAGTCACATCCCTGCAGCCTTGCCGAAGACGGGCCTGCGTTTGTCTTTGGGTAGTCGACCTCCTTATCCAGAGCTTACCCTAAGACTCAAAATAGCCCAAAAGCCTTGTATAGTATGGTCTTTGGGCCCAAAAGCCTTAAAGTATGAGTCCTCAGAGCCTAAGGGTTAGACTGTTCACTCTATGATACTGTATGGCACTGGACGGTATGATACAATAGTGAGACAATGTGTTTCTTTACTGTTGTATGTACTGTGCTTTATTCTACTACATCATGGTATGCTACGCTACACGGAGTTTTCGTGATGACTATAGTCTTTTAATAGTTCATGCTATCTCATATTTGGCGTGTTTCGTGTTGCTACTCTATAGTATCTCTGGTTTATTCGACGTACTGCTGTGTGTTGTCTTTCGATTGGTTCACTGGCTCAGATCGACTCGATTATGTTTTCTAGGTCGTACCACACTGCATATCAGGTTAGTATCCAAGAATGTGCCATGCATGCTGAGGATGGTTCTGAGTCCTTGTTTGTCTTTTAGTGTGTATGGCTATTCGGGAAGTAACTGGAACCAGGTATTTGCTTCGGGGCTTTGGTTGAGGGTGTGGATGAAAGCAGATGTTGTCATGAAGGGCTTCAGTGTCCAGGGATTAGAAGTGTTCAGCCCGGGATTCGAAAAACGACGCTATGCGCACAGGGCACACACACCGTCCGCTTGTTTTAAAGTTCATCCATTCATCCATGCATCTAGTATATGTGTTTGCAGCCATTACACACCTGCATACCAAGACCAACTCCCGCCAAAAAACGCCTGAGCCTTATTAGCACGCCGCCGGCTAAAGTCCACATGGCGGACTTGGAAGCCCTCAAACCCGTAATATAGGGCCCAGTGTACTATATTTCTAGTAGGGAACCGCCCCCAAGATTCAACACAGTATAGGTAATTTTTTGGCCCTACATGAAGCTGCAATGCCTGAAGGCAAGTTTGCACCCTCATCAGTCAACAATCCTCGGACAAACACTCTTTGTGAGCACCTCAAACAAAGAAACCTTGTTGTTTCTGATTTCTGGTAGGTAACCATGGGCGTAGTGTACGAGGCCATTCACATCCTATGCCGAATAGTACCCTAAACCCTAAACCATGCGCAAGATCCGTGATTGTTCCCTAAGGCCCACATGATGCCCCAGGGCCCCTAAACCCTAAAACCCGAATAAAACCCTAAAGCCCTAAACACTCAAACCCTAGACCCGAAACCCTCACCCTAAAACCCTACAATCCCAAACCGTAAGGTTTAGGGTTTAGGGTTTAGGGGTAAGAGCCTAAAGCCCCAGGGCAAACCTCCAGTCCGTGCCGGAGGGCTGGGCAGGTGAGAATCCGAGAGTCCCGCTTGAGCCGCCAGGCGAAGGTCCTTGCCTGTAGTGTACCGTACTTTTCATACTACTATACTACTCTAATTTTACCTTTCTCTGCTATCATCGTATATAATGCCATACTATGCCATAGTATGTCATACTGTACTATACTATACTATAGTATACTCTAGTATGGTATACTATACTATTCTTTCGGCAGTTGTATGTGTTGTGTCGGGGTTGTTCTGCAGATTTTTTGTAGCGTAAAGAGGAGCGGGCTTTTTTCGGGGAGGGTGGTTGTGTCTGTGCTTTGTTTTGGGGTGTTTGCAAGCGATTCATGGTACAGGTTGTAGCCTCAATCCTAAACCATCAACCCTAACCCTGTCGATGAATAGTCAGGTTTGTCGACACCGCCTTTGGGTTTAGGGCTCGCTTTGTGCTAGAACCTGCTTTGTCGCACGGTCCCTCTACGCAAACCTCAAACCGCAAACCTAAGCCAGTCGTAAGCCCCAAAGCGTATAGTATAGGATTTGTCTCCAGAGCCGGCCGAACAGGTTACGGCAGCCGTAAACCCTAAACCCTAAACCGGGAAAGAGTGTGAGTGTAGGGACGGGCGTTGTAGGCTTTTCGGGGCCTTTACAGTGGGTTTTGACCAAGTTTCAAGTAGGGGTCTGTTATATGGGTTCGCTAAGCGAGGTTATACCAGGGTTGGGGGTGGTTAGTTGGGGCCTGGTTTCTTGCGCGCATGTGCAAATACCAGGCAGCGGTGCAGAGTAATACACTGGTTTTGCGAACAAGAATCACCTCCCCTAGAGCCCCTACGTGCATCTAGTTTTGGTAATAGTAATCGTAATAGCCTGATCTACTTTCATGTGCTCAAAATTCCAAAGGTCACGATTTTGATGAGTGTTGATGGATGGTCTTGGATGCTTGGCGTGGCTCCATCGGGGCGTCGATTTTATGAGCTGCGCCACACTGTGTGTCACGCCCATTTAAATCGGCCGAGATCGCAGTTGTTGTCTGATCTGACCCTAAACACCCGACCCGCTGCAGACCCTATTCCCACCACGGCTTGTCTGAACTGCCCCTCATGGGGTTGCGAAATTTTCCTTGCAAGAATTTGTGCCGAAAGTGAGCTGGATGCATCCCAGGGCCGTCCTCTGCACCACTGTCCATCAAAATAGGGTTCAGGGTTTAGGGGCGAAAGCCCCAAATACTGAACTCACTGAACCCGACCCGAATTCCTAAACCCCTGAATCCTGAACATTATATGTAAGCCCTAACCCATTTTCGGGTGGTAGCCCTGGGCCCTTTGATGGCACTAGGAAGATGCTCCGCTCACTCGTGCACCGCCTCACTTGATGGATGCGTCCCAAAGCTGCAGACCCTAAAGCCTTAACCCTAACATGGAAGCTTGAAGAATTACCTATATATATATATATATATATACTTCGTAGCCTTTTCCTGATGTTGTAAGAAGTTGTTGAATGTACATTAAGGCCCCTAGACTACATTTTACTCTAGAATCCCTGAGTGTTGGATCTGCCGAAGTTGTTTCATCCAGGGTCAGCATCCATCCTAGCTCGTGCTGAGAGCTCTTGGCAGGCTTGGCATACACGATGGTGTAGGTGAGCCCTAAACCCTAAACCGTTAAATTTAGTTTTAAGGGTCGCTGAATCCTGGTACCCCAATCTTCTGTATGGCTGGGGCTGAGTTGCGTTTAGGGCTTAGGGTTTACTTAGAGCTTCAGTTGAACGTGGGGGAAACCAAAAGAGAACTACTTTGGAAGGCATCTGATTCACGGTTTAGGCATTAAGGCCCCGCTTTTGGCAAAGCAGAGACTTTACAGCAGTGTTGCTGACAGGTTCACATGAGGTACAGTCCTTCTGTGGGACTAAAATGGACTTGTTTCAGGAGGGACTTCAGTTTCGAATGATTTCGACATAGGACACCTTTTTTTGGCCCCTGTTAAGGTCCGACTTTCAGCCGTGTCTTTGTTGGGTGCTATGTTTAAGCTTTGCTATGTTGTGGATTGTTCCAAGAAGGCATCATAAGTAGCCATAGGCTCCATAGTAGTTCCTTTGTGGGATTACCTTACAGGATACTATATATGAACCACAAAGAGGAACTACTCTGGAGCCCTAGGGTAGCCAATATGACAGTCTGAAGATATCTGCACCACACTTACCTTTGGTTAGTAGGGAATGAAGGAATGGAGTACAATTATAACTACTACTACTACTACTACTACTACTACTACTACTACTACTACTACTACTACTACCATACTACTACCATACTACTACCATACTACTACCATATGACTACCATATTACTATCATATTACTATCATATTACTACCTTATTACTATCATATTACTATCATATTACTACCTTATTACCATCATATTACTGTCATATTACTACCATATAACTACAATTACTACCATGCTTCCATTCCCTACACGTAGTAACCAAAGATAAGCACAAGCAGCGAGGCTTTGTCTCGGGTGTTGGTCGGGGCTTCGGATCCTTTGGAGCTGTGAAGAATGGGCCTGGGGAGAGTTCTTAGATCTTAGGCTCTAAGGACTCATAAGGATCCTACTATTTAGGGTACTATATGAGGGTCCCCTATTTAAGCCTTAGGCTCTAGGGACTCATATTTTTAAGGTTTTTGGGCCCAAAGACCATACTATATATGGCTTTTGGGCTATTTTGAGCCTTAGGGTTAGACTTGGGGGCTACGACCCAGCGTGGATGTTGGGTCATGAGGGTTTGGGGCTTAGGGGTTTAGGGTTTAGGCACCATCTGGAGCGGCAGGAGGCCTGTATAGGAGTAATTAGGTGCTGTTTTGCAGGGCGCGAGGTCAGGAATCACCATTTTCTTGCTCGGGGTGCTTCAAAAACCCTGAATGCACAGGGGTGTCTGCATATGTATCTTATCAGCTTCCTGGGGCACCTTCTATTCATCGGGGTACAGAGCCCCTACCATACATAGAAAGGCAGCAGCCTCTTTGGGGGGCCGAACTCAGCAACTGCACGCTGCTTTTCGTCTGTATGTTTGGATGTGAGCCTGATTTCCTGTTTTGCCTGCCAAGCGAGCCTCATAGGTGGAAACCTCCGCGCCGGTTCAGACAAACTTCGCATGTTGGTGAAAGGAACCATCGAGACAAAAGCAATGCGCATGCAACCCGGGAAGTGACCTCTGAACTCCTAAGCCCTCAAATAAAACCCAAAACCCTACACCCTAAACCCCAAAAGCCGTAACCCCTAAGACCCTAAACACCCAAGCCGCCAATTTGTCATGGTCAGATTAAGGCTTCTAGATGCTAGATCGTGCTTTACCCTATGCGGGGGTTTAGGGTTTAGGGTTTACGGCCTCTGTAGTGGGGGGGTCTTAGGGTTCAAGGGCCCGAGACCCCTTAAGTACCCAATACTAAGGTCCCTGGAAGCATAGGGTTACGTGCCAAGAGAAGTTAAGATTTCAGCGGGGATGTGCTGGCCACAGTGGTCGTGATGCAGGTAGAGGAGCTGTCGTTGAGATTTAGTTCGTTATGTTCGCCGCAAATCCTACATAGTTTCTCTGCATGCAGCCTTTGCTGGTTTCCTTTCGGGGCCTACCCAAACACCTTAAACCGTAAACTCTTTCTCCTCCCTACGACGACAACACAAAAGCTAGATTCAGCCAAGACCGGAAATCTACTGTAAAAGCTGTGGGACGTAGGCAAGTCCGTCTGCCAGGTCCTCGACGCACACAGCACGCGCTACTTACTATCAGATGCACCCCGCCCCCCCCCAACCTCTAAAACCATGAGCCCCCCAAACCTTCAAACCCACAAACCCTCAAGCCCAGCACTCCCCTTGCGGAGTATTCTGGAGTCGTGCAGGCGTCCTCTTGGTCGGCAGCGGACCGCCCTGAGGTGGGGTTAGGATTTATGCGATCTCGGGCCCACGGTTTAGGATGTAGAGTTTACTGCGGCTGAGGGTCGAGCCGGATAGCAGGCAGGCTTTCAATTTTGGCTTTTGGTGAGTGCATGTAGGGCTCTTTGAATGTTGGTGGTGAGCGTGGTTTTGGATGTTATGATGGGATGGGGGGAGCAGTAACAAACGCCCTATGTCACATAGAGGTCTGGTACGATTATAGACCCTTGAAAACTAAGCTTCAGGGGTCGGAGTTTGATATAGAGGTCTGATTAATGAGTAACAGGTCTTCCGTATTGTCGCTGCACCGTACAGCTTTGCGCCATCATGAACCCTAGAGGCGGGGAGCGCATGGAATTCATTCCTCTGCTAGCGAGCTCTGCAGATTAAACTGAAGTTTAGAATTTAAGATCCTCCCCCTAACCCCTGAACCCTAAACCCTTAAGTCCCCTAAACCCCTAAACCCTAAAACCCTAAACCCTAAAATATTAGACTTCCAGGGCTTTGGGGGCTGAATGATTTGTGGGTTTAGATTTTGGAGAGGCTCGCACACCCGACAGCATTGAGTTGAAGCCCTGAAGCACAGGACCCAATGAACCTGAAGGAAGGGTTTAGGGTTTAGGGGTTTGGGGTTCAGGGTTTTCATTGTCTCAACTTTCGTGAGAAGGCGCAGCAATGTTGCCCTTGATCTTTTCCATAGCTTTGTGAGCAGCTTGGCTTTGCAAAGCGGATGCCGGCTTACTGCTCAGGCTGAAGTATCAGCGTATAATATAAGGACCTCACAAATTACCTATACTATTTTTGGTGTTCCTTATTAGACTTGTAACTTTATACAGCCCCAAAGCCCTATTCTAATTATTCAGGCCCTATATTACCATTCAGCTTCTTCGTAGTAGACTCGCAGAGCCTGATGCTACGATGGTTCCTCTGCGCGCTGCTTCTGAGATGCCGTGGGGTGTTGCTTCCGGGTCGGAGCGACGAGGCCGGTGCCCTGAGACTCTAAGTAGGGACCACCAATAGCACATAAGCATGAGCATTTTATCGGGATATCCCTACCTTATTGGGCTTCATTATAAGGGCCTTTATATGGGATATCTCTATCTTAAATTTTGCTTATGTGCTTTTGTGGCCCCAACTAAGGACTCATGTTGTTTCAGCCTTTGCCTGCTAGGGCTCATAGGGTCTACCTGGACCCTGCAGAACGTTACCATATTGGGGTTCCCTATATTATGACTTCTTCAAACAAGTCATTAAGAAGGTATAGGTCCTGCAGGGTCTAGGTAGGGTTTCGAACCCTAAACTTAAGATCCTACACTCGAAGGCTCTGAGGACAGAGTTCTGCTGTCATTAGTGATTACTAGACGCCCCCTCTTGAAGGACGCAACACTGGGATTCCTATTGTTCCAGTCATGTTGATCAAGTGTTAACCAAGCAGGGGGTATGCATTGCGTTATTGGCCTCAGTGCCATTGTCGGGCTGGGTCATCTAAATGTCGCGCGAGATCGGGGAAGAAGCTTTCTCCCCGTGGGATGTTTTTGAACATCGACAGTGCCAACCCAATAAACGGACCTACTCGAAGCTCGAAAAGGCACCTTGAACGTTTTGGCATGGCTTCAACCCAAAGGACCCTGAGATTCTCTTCTGTAGACAGCATCTGCTGCAGGGGCCTTGACAATTAGATGATCTTCGAGGGCATACTACCACAATTGTCTCGTCGGTTATACGGTCGAGGGATTCGGGACTTAGGGTTGCGGGATCACCAGCGGGTTAGGGTACAGTGTCTTCGCACAGAGGGTTTATACGGGTTCAGGAGCCTGGAGAATAGTTCCTCGCCGCCCAAGCTTCGCCACAGAGTGACGCCCTGAAGCTGGAAACTCTAGCACCCTCAAAGCCAATGGTGCCGTCAAATCACGGGACGATCAATTTGCATCCCGTCCGTGGAACTTTGGGGGTGCGCCAGGGGTGAGATAGGAGTTGATAAAGGGCGTCATAAGGTTAAAGATGCAAGCGCCGTACGTCCCAAACCCTCAACGCTGCAAGCACCATCTTCCAAACAGGGGCTTGGAGCGGGGCTGCGCCGATGTGCCGAGTTTTTGCGAGGCCTACATCAACGTGGTAGTGTTTGCTGGAGCTCTGCAACATTGGGGAGTTTGTGTTAACGGAGGCTTCTGCTGTTAGTAGGGGAAGATTGAAGTTGGGTTGTGAGTGAGACTGTGATGCCTCACGCATTTGAAGCCGTGCTTGGCGGGGAATTGACCTTTTTCACATGCCGATCTTCCCTCTTGTTTCAATCCTTTTGCTCTTGAATGCACAGGAAACTTTTATGCCATGAACTTCAAGCACTTAGCCCCACATCCCTAAGCATCAAACCACCCAACCTGGTCTGCTGCTTCTGTTCGAAATGCCAGGAATAGCTGAAGCTTCGAATACGGAAGCAGCCAAAGAATCCTTCAAGAATCAGTCCTTCACGAGTTACTTATAGTTTCCAAAAAGGGAAACCAGGTGACCAAAGACACGGAACTAGATTGGAGAGCATCGGCACCTACATCCTAAACTCCTAAACCCAATCCCTCGAGCAGACCAGGAAGCCTAATTATGAACCTTTATAGAACCCTGAAAGAGCTATGAAGGAGTCCTGTAGGAAGCTGCATATCCGTAGGGTCCTAAGTATTCCTATACCGCTTGGATACTTGCCCAAACCATAACAGCAATTCCTACAGTACTATAGAACTTCTACTTTCTGCCATCTGCATACATATATACACACATGTGTATATATATATATATATATAACATGTACATATATATATATATACATGTGTATCTATATATATATATATATATATGTATGTATATATACACATACTATAGATAATTAGGGCTCTGTTGGATATGATTGCCAACCCCAGGCCCTGTGTTGCAGAACCGTCTGTCTTCAGCGAGCCCGCAAGCGCCGGCGACTTTCCTCCGACTTGAGCAGTAGCCGTCCTCCTAGTTCTGGTTTTAGCCGTAGTTGTAGATCTAGTCGTAGTAGTAGTCGTCGTGGTAGTGGTAGTCGTGCCTTGTCTGTTGTTTTGTCAGACCTATTCTGATCGGGATTTGTGTGTCAATCTTGCCTTGCACTTGCCCTCAGAGGCCTTAGAGGCAATTTGCTCAGCGATGGGCTAAGCCCTAGACCCTGAAACCAGAACCCAGGCCAAGGCTATGTCGGAAAGGTTTTTTTGGAACCAAGTGATCCTTGAAATCACAGCACAGCGGGCTTCAACCCATTTTGCCCTGGATTTTGCAGCTGCGTGGGAAATCCAAGGATGTTTTCCACAAGCCGAGGCATGCCTTCCGTATCCACAGATACACCCGAAAGATGTTGGTTTCAGTTGCCTTGCCTTGCTTGCGGACCGTTTAGGTTGTGGGCTTGGCGTTTAAAGCCTGTTGTTTGCTGGTAAGGCCGTCGTTGAGGTAGTACTTACCCGTCTCATGCCTGTCGGGCGCTGGGCGTGTGACGTGTGACGTCTTGTGACGGTTGTGCGGAAGTGTGGGGAGTCGAACCGGGCTTCTCACTTTCCGACTTCGCTGTGTCGTTTGCAGGAAAATTTCCTTGGCCATTTTGGACATGTCCGAGTATACGTCAAAAGAGCCAAAAGCCCTTTGCGATAAGCCCGGGCCCTCCCTCAACTCAGACTTGGATGGATGGCGCTACTGCCGAGAACCCCGGCCGCAACGAAGTCAAAACCTTCCTGTCAGGTTGGAAGACGTATAGCATGAGGTTTACAACCCCTCAGTTTTCAGACTTGAAATTACATTGTTCGTCTATGACGATGGTTGTGGTGCTGTATATATGATATCTTGTTGGATGCTGCGCACATCCGTACACTGTCAGATGTTCAGCCAAATCCTGGGTGCCAAACCCCACACGGCCCTACACCAGACCTAAACACACATCCTACGAGGGTCCAAGCTTAAGGTACTGGCTACCTCGTAAATTGAGTCTTTGGGTGGCTCCCGGTTACGATTGTTGTTCTTCCTGCTTGCTCTATATAGTTCTCCTAGACCTTGATTCCTAAAACGGGTTTCAAGCTCCTGAAGCCTCATAACCCTGTACCCAAACCCCCTCAACCCTACATTCTACAGCCCCGAATGTGAGCGACAAACCTTCAATCCTGCACCTTGTAAGCCCTAAGCCCTCAACCCTTAACCCCAAACCCCTGTTTCACAGTTGATGGCAAAATGTCAGCACTTCGGACCTTCGGAAACGGGGCGCTTCTCAACATAAAAAAGACCCTGAACCCCTAAACCCTAAACCTGAATCTCCGACCTCAGCTTTCTCCTGGCCCTCGACGACGCAGCCCTGACGGCTGCCGAGGCCTACGGTCTTCAAGGCACAGAGCTTCAGGCTTTTAAGGGTTTAGGGTCGCTTCTTCCCTGCATGATCGACTCGAGTCCGTGTGAGAGGGAGAGAGAGAGAGAGAGAGAGAGAGAGAGAGAGAGAGAGAGAGAGAGAGAGAGAGAGAGAGAGAGAGGGTTCTTAACTTTCAGGAGATTGCACAAGTCCTGATGCAAAAAGGGGTTCTTATACCATTGCTTGTAGAAGATATGGTGATTTTGAAGTAAAGTCCCGTGCAAGTTTTGCAAGCACCTTGGGGTTGGGGTTTTTATACGTTCACCCTAAACCGGCTTCTGGTTTGCGGGTTTAGGGTTTAGCATAGACAGAAACCACATCCCACAGGAATCGAGGCAACCAAGCCTCCTTGGCTGGAGACGCTGCTGCAAACGCTGTCGAGCTGCGAAGCAAGGTTGGTTTGGGATTCGGGTCAGGACTCCGGGTGGGTAGTTAAATTGAGATTGGTTTTTCAGAGTGTAGCATGTTTATTTGTTTCGGGTTGGCGTTAAGCTTTGTGCCTGAAGTAGAGCGCAACCCTAAACCCCAGGCCCTTGAACTCACCCGTTGCCCCAACCTGCGAACATGTGCCGATCGGCTTTATCAGAGAACCCGAAGTCGCTAAAGAACCGTATTCCTGGTACCGGAGTCAAAATTCGGCGTCCGAACAAGTGTCAGACCCTACATAGTTCCGCCACACCCTAAAGCCCGAACCCCAAAATCAAGGCAATCTAGCATGAGAGGCGCCGCCACTGCTCTAGGCGCCCTTGTGCTCCAGAACCCGGTGAACTTTTCGCTGGTAATTCTGCAAGTCAGGGTCCATGTCTGGTTCCCCAGAGGAGGTCTACTCTGTTCAGCACTGTGTGGCCCATCATCTAAGCTTTATGCACTTTGATGCCTTCTAGAAGCGGTTCCCTCATTCGAGAATCCTGTGCAATGGGAAGAGGATGTTCTGGCCATTTTTAGTGCCTAGGATCAGGGCTCCTGATTTGGGGCTTCCCAAGTGAGCCAGTGGCTTCTGGACGAGTCGTCTGTGTTGTACTACTTTTAGACCTCGGCTCTGCAGCAAACAAGGCTACGGTCACTTGGCGTAAGCTAGGTTCAGCTAGGTCAGTCATTCCTTTTGGTGACGGGCTGGCTTCGGACTCCTTCCATAAGGCTCCAACTAAAGCTTGAAATACTACGATCTTCGGGCTCAACAGGCTCAACACAGGCTCCAACTTAGGAAAGCCCTGGGGTGGTCAGATGAATCAATGAAGCGCGCAGGTCTTGTCTCTATGGCCCTGTAAAGGCAGAGCGCTACTCCTTAAACCGGAGGTGCCAGCTCTGCCTGAGACCGCCTTCAGACATTCTCTACAGCGCGCCCAGTACCGCTTGACTTATCGAGTTTAAGTTGGATAAGTCCCAGGTACGAGAAGGATCACTAGAGGGCGATAGTGGGATCTCTGGACATCCGGAGGCTACTCGCCGCGCCCGGAAAGCCTGCGGGCCACCAAGCGATAGTTGGATTTTCTTGGTGCCATTTTGGAGGTTTCTACACATATGCTTGGGCTAATTAAGCCTTGGCGCCAACAACCTTATGCCGTTCACTTTAAGCCCTAGTGGAGTGCTTGTGCTGGTGTACCCAGACGGCTCATGCAGAACATCAGTGCTGGGCACGCCAGGCCAAGACCCCGCACGAATTCGTGTAAGTGCAGTTCTTCGAGTGCCGCGTCACATTGTACAGATACTACCTTGCGCTTTAAAGGGTGTAGCAAGTCCGAAACTCCCAGCACTGGGGGTTTATAGGTGCTGGTCTGAGCTGGCATGTGAGGTATCAAAGCCTTCCGCATGAAGCAGAAGAAGGCGGAGTTCCTCGGCACTCGCAAGTTGCAGGGTATCTCAGGCTCTATTTGATAAGAGTTTCGGGGCTTTGGGTGCAGGATTTAGGGCCAGGGAGTTCGTTCTGTAAGCTGCCTGCTTATGAGTGCTTCTAGAAAATCATGATCTGTAGTCAGTAGTGGGTTCTAAAGGTGTTGAGAGGGATACTGGGTTTTCAGGAAAAGCCAGAAAAAAGGCACGGCTGCAGGGCTGCATAGGTTTGGAGCATTTGGAGCCAGAGGTTCTGAGGCCGGTTTTGGCAGCCGCCCTTCTGAAGAGAACAGGCAGGCCCGTATAGACCCTAGTCCTTCGATAAAGCCGACATGAGGTATTTTTGGCTGAGCTGCGTCTTCTTTATATGGGGGCCCCTGAAAAGGCGCGTCAGGTATATACAATGTTTCAGAATGAGTGGTTCCGGGCATCTAGCAGCCCCTAGGTCCAGGTGCCCCCTAACCGTATAAACCCCAAACCCTCAAAACCCCAAACCCTAAACCGTGATTTCGTCTGGCGAGTTGCGAGAGCGTAAACCGTCATTTCATATCATGTCATTTCATCAAGCCAAATTCCACGTCACCGCCAAGCCCAGCAGCTCCCACGCACGAGGGTCTAGCGGGCAGGACCAAAAGGCTGATGACTATGCTATGTATGCTATGCTTTGCCATACTGTGCTATCCATTTACTTCACTGCACCAGATCATACTATACTGTGTTTTATTGTGCCGCAGCATCTGAGACCAACTAAAACAGCAAACTCGATTTCTGAGCCGTGCGTAGCCAACCCAAACTGTGCCCTACACCCTGTACGCTTTAAGCCCTGCGCCCTTAAAACTTGTACTGTATGAAGTCCCCCAAGTCTTAGCGTAAAAGCGGGCTGCACTTCAAGGCAGGTGGCCTGCTGCATCGAGGCCTTTGTGTGCGTACTAGTCGGATGTGATGGCCTCGAGGGTTTTGGGTCTGGGATGGGCTCTTTAGGCGGTTTAAAGTTTAGGGTTTAGGATGTATACGGGGTTTAGGGTTTAGGGTTCGGCTCCTTGTCAGGGTTTGGGATTTGGGTTTTTCGCTTTTCAGGGTCTCGAGAACCTCTCAAGGGTTTGTGTGTTTTTCGCGTCGCTGGCAGGCTTCTATCAATCCTCCCGGCTGGGTGACTGTAGCGCATTGTCTTGAATGGTTAGGAACCCTTCGGAACCTAAGTCGCAGAGCTGCGCTTCGGATTGTGGTCGGACCAACTCTGTCGGACCTTCCTTGGGCTTCTTCAATGCTTTGTCATCATGTTCACATGAGCTTCTCCTTGTTGCAGCTTAGAGATCCAAAGCCCACTCTCAAAACTTGCAGTTGTGCTCCTTTCGGTGTTTCAGGGTTTGGGTTTAGGCTGATGTCCGTTAAAACCATCATATTAATCATAATAATCATAAAAATAACAAAAATACTAATATAATAATGATAATAATAACAATAATTTTAGGGTTCCGGTTTAGGCACCGCAAGACACATTTGCGGCAGGTTTCTTGTGCCCTAAGACCACGGAGCCCAGCAAGGCGCTGGGCTCTAAGCCTTAGCCTTAGGCTCTAAGGACTCCTTTTTTAAGGCTTTTCTTACCTTGGTTAGTACGGAATGGAGGAATGGGGTACAACTATAATTACTATTACTACCATTCTTCCACTACTAACCAACGGTAAGTCTTGGGCCTAAAGACCATACTATATAAGGCTTTGGGGCTATTTTGAGCCTTAGGGTGAGCTTCGTAGACTTAGTTGCGTTTTTTGTGGTGTTAGCCCCAAATGACCCTGCATATCAACAGCTCTCTAGGAATATTGGAAACAGGAAAAAGTAGTCCCAAATGTGCTTAACTTTAGCTCCTTGAAAAGTCCGGACAGTGTAGGTCAGGGCAAGCTGCAAGCTTCCTGCAGGCCCTTCGCGACCACTTCGACCTTGAACGCGTTGCGCGTGTCGTGGACAGGGCAATCGAGGGTGTCGCATCTCAGTTGTAGGATTTTCGGAATTTTAGGGCCGCAGACATGCAGGTAGGTGAGGTTTAGCTGTTGCTGTGTAGGTCCAGGTTTTAGAAGACAGAGCAGGAGGGGTGAAGGTTGGAGGAACCTGAACTCACATGCCGCAAGTTCTTCAAGTCCCGACAGGGTGAGCTTTGGGCCTTGATATCCCAAAGGTCAAATCCAGCATATCCTAGGTCCGTGCCAAGAACACAGAAGCAGAAACAGCTAAACTCACAATGCTCTGTAGCTTTCGCCGGCCTCTCTCATTTGTTCTCTCTCTCTCTCTCTCTCTCGCGCTCGCTCTCTCTATCTTTCTCTCTCGCCGGTGTCCTGCCTTCCGAGGTCATGGACTTGAAACCCTGCGTACAGAGAAAGTCTTGTGATATGATAAGCCCAAACGCAGCGGAAATACTGGAAACACGACTGCCAACAATTGTGCTACGTCATAGCAAGCTATGAGAGAGTCATGGCACTTTTTCCACGACAGGTTTTTGGGCCTTATCGAATCGAGACTTCTTTGCACTCTAAATACGCAAGGCAAGCACTACAAGGATCAGGCTGGGGTTCTTCGCATGAAAGTCACCGCAATGAACCATCAACCCGCTGGCTGCAAACGTTATCATAACCAACGGGGCAAATCCGTTCGCTGCACAGGTCTTTAGGACATACCTCATAGTTTACTTCAGCAGTTTTACAAGTTTAGAGTTGCAATGAGGACACTAGCCCTTTCCATGTGAGATCCAGCAACCAGAGACGAGCAACCCTAAACCCTAAACCCTGAAACCCTAACCCCTGAACCCTAAAGCCTTATACCCCAAAACCCTGAATCCCTAAAACCCTATAGACCCCAAACCCTCAACAGAAACAAGCTGGAGGATCTCGGTGCTGGTAGAGGATGGCTCACTCGTGCGCTCCGAGCAGCGCTGGCGAAGCCGAGCGCTGCCCTCAGCGTGGCAGGTAATGTAGAAGCCTTAATCCCTTAATCCTTAAAGGGTTCTATCAGGAGCTATCGTAGTGTTCCAGAAGGTACGGCTTAGGGGTTTAGACTTTAGGGTTTAGGGTGTAGTGTAGGGGCCTTAATAATTTGACTAGGGTCTTGGGGTTCCCTGTTGTAAGTGTTGTAGAATATACCCCGCAAACCCCAAGACCCCTACATTATGGTTTAGGGCCCTAGGCCCTAAACCCCAGCTTAGGGTTCAGGATCCACTTGACATGTCGACATTTTACAAGACTTTCCGCCATGCGGGCCTGATTAGGGTCATCGTTGAGGTCGTCATCTATCTTGTCATCTGGATGTTCTCTTGCTTTCATCATGTCCCTTATCGCCGGATTGCTATCAGCTATCATCCTTCAGTGGCTTTCGTTGTAATGTTGCCGTCACTTGCTCATCGTCTTGCAGTCGTCTGATGGAGAAGCGCCAGACAAAGACCGAGCGGGAATCCTGAACTAAACCATGAAAGGCCTTAATAACCTGGACACTAAAAACTTGTTGAAGAATAGCCTTTTAATTTTACCTACTTTTGGGGGTTTAGGGGGCATGCGTCTCAACTCAGGATAGGAACATGTCAGTTTAAGATAAAAGTCGGTTTCAAAGGGCAAGCTGAGCTTTCAGTGTATTGTAGGGGCCCGAACAACTAGATTAATTCAAGTTTTGGGGCATATGGTTCTAATATTATGATATTATGCTATACTTATCTAACGGAGTATCATTACGAATCTCAGGTGTTGGGCTTGAGCTGGACGAGGCACAGGTCGCCAGCGCGAGGTGCGGCGCAAGCACTGGAGTGGGCAGGGTGGGAGGCTATGCCGTAGTTTCCCAAAGGGTCCAAGTATCATTATGGTATATACTTATAGGGTATTTTTGGGGTCGAAGTATATACCATAATGATACTTGGACCCTTTGGGTTGGGGGTAATCATTATAGGATTCATATACGACTTCGCAGAAGTTTATGAGGTGCAAAGTTGAAAGGCTGTCGGGCTGCAGGTAAGCTCGGACCCCACAACCGACAATTTTCTTCGAGTTGATCTTCAAAGAGGCTTGTAACCCTAAGCCGTAAACCCCAAAGCCCTAAACCTTTGAGACTTGCAGTCGAACCTTCACCGTCGGCCCCACAAAATTGCAGCGACAAGGTCTGCTCCCTGAACTAGACGATCTCTATGGCTGAGATCCTGAGCTTTAAATTAGGACCTAAATTGGCCTAAGTGATTACCCTTCCTATTCTGGGGCTTCTCTTGATTATTGCATAAAATACCTCAACACCTTCTTCTTAATCATTAAGCGCCAAGTTCATTCAGCGTCTCGACACAAGAGCCGCAGCTCCCAAAAGAACTGTTATGGAGGACATGTTGATTTTGAAGACATCAGTCAGTACATGCTGACGCCCTTGAACAAAATGCACTGACCTATTCTATGCTGACCGGCAGACCCCCTTCACCCCCAAACCCTGAACCCCCGAGCATCGTCGCAAAGACCAAGTTACCTCAGCTTTGCAACCCTGATCCTCCCCTTTAGGGTTTAGGGTTTAGGGGTCACTGCACTTGCAAAGTTTGCGCCCTGAGCTATCGTGAAGCTAGCCTTAAACCCTCTCATTAACTTTATTCCTTATATATCCAGTACAAAAGCCCTATGTAGGACCTATTCAGGTTTCGTTCCCTGGATAAGCCAAACCCTAAGGGTCCATGTACTCATGTAGTATATACATTGGCCTTAATGTAGTCCCTATATAGGTACTTTGGGGCCCATGTATCTCTATATGGGCACATGGACCCTTAGGGAAACACCGCAATCCGACTTCCAGGGCGGCTGTCCATGCTGAGGGGCTCAGCCAGGCCTTTGCGCTTTGAGCTTTAGTTTGGTTAGGGTTTAGGGGTTTAGGGTTTAGGGTTTACGATTTAGGGTTAAGGGGTCTTGGTTTCAGGGTTTAGGGGCTGTAGGTTAATTAGGTGTTGAGGGGTCTGGGTTTCAGGGTTTAGGGGACTTTAGGGTGAGAGTATGGGGGTTTGGAAGGTTTAAGGGCTTGTGCTTGTTCATCCAGCTGCAGGAGTGTCTTTCAGGGATACGCCGGTGCGTGGCCGGGGTCCCATAATCGGAGAGCAAAGCAGTCAAGCAAACGAGCCAATATTTGAAGGTCGCAAAGGACTTTTTCCAACGCGCTGGTAAGGCCGATAAAGCCCCTATTGAACCGAAAGGGCCCCTTATGTCAGAAACCCTTTCAACTTTCAGCCTTTCCAGAAGACAGGGGAAGATCGCACAAAGGCCAAAAAACTCTCTACCGCTAGAGGCCTAGCCAGAATTCTAAGTTCTGGTCCCTATAGACCTTAAAGCCTGAAAAGCAATCAGCCGACCTCGTCGAGCAGAGCAGAAAGCCTACAACCCCAAACCTCTGAGCCCTGAAACAAAAGATTCTTTAATCCTGGACCCTAAAACCCCAAATCCTTAAACCCTAAACCCCTTAAAGCCCTAAACCCCTATACTCCAAACCCCAACCCCAAATCCTTAAACCCTAAACCCCTTAAAGCCCTAAATCTCTATACTCCAAACCCCAACCCCAAATCCTTAAACCCTAAACCCCTTAAAGCCCTAAACCCCTATACTCCAAACCCCAAATCCTTAAACCCTAAACCCCTTAAAGCCCTAAACCCCTTAAAACCCTAAACCCCAAATCTTTAAACCCTAAACCCCAAAACCCCTAAGCCCTAAACCCAAAGAAAGACCGAAGGTCTCCTTCGAAGTCTGCGACCTCCGCTCTCCGCAGACCCTGGTGTCCCTCTTGGAGCCCCAGGCAGCGCCTAGATTTGCATATACTATAGGGGCCTTATTAACAATTATAGACTTATAGTTTTGTATTTATCTTTTATGCAACTGCATGTGCATAATATATATATATATATATATATATATATACATACATATAGCAATATGCAAGAAGGCGTACAACACACACACACACACACAGAGACACACACGACTGCATACACACATACATGCATACGCACATGCACGCATACATAAATACGCACATACATCCACGCATCCATCCATCCGTGCATGCATGCATGCATGCATGCATGCAAACATACATACACACACATAAACCCATAGATAGCGTCACACATACATACATAAAACAAGCATACATATTCACATGGACACATGCAAGCGAGATCAACCAAGCAAACAATCAAACAGACAAAAGCATGCGCATACATACATAGATACATACATACATGCATACATACATGCACACATGCACACATACACACAAACACACATACATACTTGCTCACTCACAAACTTACACGCACATGCATACATACAGAAATACCATCATACATACGTGTATACAGACATGGATACTTACTTGGGGCTAGTTACGGGCTTCTTCTTTCTAGAAGATCGGGGGTTCGGTCGTCCGCTTCACCGCTTCACTCCAAAACCCGCACACCGAAATAATCCCGGTGAGAACTTATAGTATCCCTAAACTCCTAAACCTTGAAATCCTTTCAGGTTAACAACCTAAACACGAAACCCTTACATGGACGAAGTTGCAAGCAACAGGACCTCTTAGTAGCGTTGCATCCTTGTGGTCGCCTGGGTGATCTCACGATCGAGGCGCGTCGGGGTTTCATGGGGCGGGGGCGGTACAGGGTTTAGGGTTTAGGGTGGTCTAGTCGATAAGGGACGTAAGATGATGAGGTTTAGGCTTCCCAAGTCATGGAGCGTTTGCGTCGTTCAGGGGTTTTGCGGCTTTGGGTTTTAGGCTTCAGGTGTTCCAGTGGGGTTCGCGACGAAGCCTGGCCGGGCTTTCCAGAGACTCTATTGACTTCTTGGCGATTCTTGGCAAGACCATCTATCTTCACTACAGAAGCCCACAAGCCCTAAGCGCTACGACCGAAGACGCAAACATAAAATCCGACTAGACTAAGCATCAGAGGCGCCAACTTGGGACCCCGAAAGACAGGTCTTGCAGGCAGTCTACGGGCTTCCATCGTTCTTGTTCGGCTTTTTCAGGTTTTCGTATGAGTTTAGCAGGTTTACGCTGTAGACTCGCGCCGGATGTTTCGCTGCAGAACACGCCCGGGTACTGGTTCATCCCCACCTAACCGAAACCCGAACTCGTTGGACAACATGCTCCAGCCCTCACCCGGGCCCACAAGGCCGTTTGTCTTTAAATCCGTAGAATGATTTATTACAATTAATATTACTGTTTAATTGTTTTATATTTACTATTGCTGTTATGATCATCATTATTACTACTGTAATATCTTGAGGGTGGCGCTTTGTAGCCACAGGACGAGGTGCCTCAAGACCGGAGCCCTTTCAAGCAAGCTTTCCCGAGCCGGAAACGACCGCACCACCTATGGGATAAGACTTAGGGTTTAGGGGTTTAGGGTTTAGGGTAGTTATCGCCCTAAAAATTGGAATCACCCTAAAAACCCTGAAGCAAGAAAACAAGAAGTCCTAATCTCTACCAAGGCAGTGAACCCAGCTTTTTTAGAGCAGAAGCCCAACGCTCAAATCCTGAACGCCAAAGCTCGGATCCCAAGGCCCAAACCCTACCTCTGGCCCAAACGAACCTGCCTTTTTGAGGAGTAACAATAATACGGAGCCCTAAGAAGGGCGGTTTTTTCCTGCAGGTAAGACCTATAGACCTTTACCTGGACCTCGAAAGTATGTAGAATGCTAATTGAATAGCCTGTTATCTGTTTGGTGTCTGGCCATTTTTTTGCTTCTTTGTGGGGAGTTCAGGTAGAACCCTAAACCCCTGAACCCATCTAAACCTGTAGTCCTGCAAAGCCCAACACTTCGAGGCGCTCCTGTCGCTTCCACCGGCACGTCGGCCGGGACTTTTCTTAGCTTCTCGACGACCTTCGTACTTGCCTGGCATTCCGGCATCTGTAGGGCATTAAGGGTTGTACAAGCAAGAGGGTTGTAAATTCCGCGAGGGATCTACAAGGGTCTTCCAAGTCGTCCAAGGCCTTGTCGATGGCTTAGATTCTGAAAGGGTCTTCTGCGGATGTTCAGGGTTTTACACGGGTCTTGCAGGCGATTGACTATGGGCGCTTGTATGTGAGACCATTCCCTGATGTGTTTGTATTTTTTGGTCTCATCTCACCGAAAACCTGTACTTGTGATGTTTGACGCCAGTAGCTTGCGTGCCTTGTCCTGAACCATGGTCCATGTTTACTTAGGGATTCTACATGACTTATCAGAATAAGGGAAGCATGGTTTTTGCTCAAAGTGACGCTTTTGCAGAGTTTTTGACGGGCAGTTTCCCTGGTACTCTAGACGGGTTAGCTAATATGTTTCGTGCGCTGTGGTGGAAGCGTAACATGAAAGTGTAGGTCCCTGAGCACGGGCCCCGGGAGCCATGAACGGAACAGCAACTTAAAGCCCCCCAACCAGTGTCAACCCAAAGAACAGTGCGAGTATTAATATGGTAGCCTTACTTTCTGCTACAAGGGCACTTCGAACCTTATACACGCACCCTCGTTCCCTGAACCTTAGCACCCTTTTTGAGGAGGTCCTACTGGGGATCCTTTGGGAAAGGTTTCCTGCTGCCTCCATGGCCGTTCCTGGTCTCCGGTGCCTCTGATTCCTTGGAGCTTCGGGTCTCTTTGAAGGGTTCCTATAAGGGTTCCTTTCCTTTGTCATAGTTGCGTAACATTTTATATTTTTATGGGTACTTATATCCAACAAGGAATAAAATTTACATTTTTAATCCTATCCCAACCATGAACTAGTTTCAGGGTTCTATGAGGGATCCTGTGCGGGATGTTTTAAGTGAACGGGGTTTACGGGTCAGGGTTCAGGATTTTAAGGGTCAGGGACGGTGCATGAAGGATCTTGCGTCGGATGTGTAAGAGGCTTTGGGTATGTACCTGAGCTTTGGGGTTTTGTTGTTGTTGTTGTTGTTGTTGTTAGTGGTGGTGGTGGTGGTGGTGGTGGTGGTGGTGGTGGCGGGGGTGGTGGTGGTGGTGGTGGTGGTGGTGGTGGTGGTGGTGGTGGTGGTGGTGGTGGTGGTGGTGGTGGTGGTGGTGGTGGTGGTGGTGGTGGTGGTGGTGGTGGTGGTGGTGGGGGTGGTGGTGGTGGTGGTGGTGGTGGGGGTGGTGGTGGTGGTGGTGGTGGTGGTGGTGGTGGTGGTGGTGGTGGTGGTGGTGGGGGTGGTGGTGGTGGTGGTGGTGGTGGTGGTGGTGGTGGTGGTGGTGGTGGTGGTGGTGGTGGTGGTGGTGGTGGTGGTGGTGGTGGTGGTGGTGGTGGTGGTGGTGGTGGTGGTGGTGGTGGTGGTGGTGGTGGTGGTGGGTGGTGGTGGTGGTGGTGGTGGTGGTGGTGGTGGTGGTGGTGGTGGTGGTGGTGGTGGTGGTGGTGGTGGTGGTGGTGGTGCTCCGACTGGTTGGAGTTTGAAGTTTGAGGGGCTTGGGGATTGAAGGTTCGGGGCAGTTGGCGCATGTGTTAACGGCCAGGGGTCAGAAGGGATTCCTTGCAGGTTTATCCGAATTTTCGTGTGCGTACCCATGCTCGTCCCAGAATGACCGTTCCGAGGTGCCCGACCCACGCCCGCCGTTGTCAGAGCTCGGCAAGGTTGACTGTGAGTTGTTTGAGCACTGAGGGTCGAAGCCTCAATGATCCCGCGAGCCCAAAACCGTAGCAGTGGAACGAGCTTCGAGTCTGAGAGTTCAGATTTCGGTGTGTAAATCAAGTTTTGGACGTGGCGGCTGAATCAGTCCGGTGTGCACTGGTCAATGAATATCAGAAGCCCCCAGATGTCGTGAGCTCATGTTTGGCAGGTCTGGCATTCGCAAACCTTGAATGCTCAAGGGCCCTACTGACAGCCCGAACGAAGCATCAGTGTGCCCTGAGCTCTAAACGCCAAACCCTGGTGTAAAGAAATCCTACCCTCATGGCAGTGCCAGACGTCAAACCTCGGTTGTCGAAAGCTTCTCACATGAGCCGTCACACCTGGAGTGCCCCCGTAGACCATAGGAGGTCCTAAGATACACCGTGAGTGTTACAAGCTCTGCCACGAGGATTGAGAAGTCATACATCCTGATCTTGGCTGGATTTGCTCAATCGTAGGAAGCTGTGTTGAGGAGGATTTATCGAATGTACGTGCTGGACTCAGAACAGCGAATTTGCACGCGAGGGTGCTTCCCATTACATGCGAAAGGTTTTCTGGTGTCCCAAGGCTGGCCCCCAACCCCGAAATCCAACCCATCCCGAAAATCCTAAGCCCAAACTCCACGACCTGATGAAGGCCCTTGGCTTGTCTCTGCCGCGACTGGCACTGCAACGCGCGAACCTCTGGGCTTCACGGCTGATCGAGTGTGTGTAGATTGCAGGGTGTAGGCGTTTATGGTTGATTACCTTAATTTGGGCTTCTTGCTTTCGTCAGAGGCTCCATAAGGGAAGTCCTACGGTAGTAGACGGCCAATCGTACACCAATGGTAGAGGCTACAGCGGCTACAGGCAGAAACGGCTTTGATGAGTGTTTACTTCGCGCATCTTGAGAGCTTCAGGATTGTCGGCTTGTCGCGGTTGGAAGCATTTCTTGAAGCCCATACCCGGACCTCGAGGTCTTCAGGGAAGACAGTTCATACCATGCTGCCTTTCTAGTACGGAGCCCTAGGCGTTTATAGGAGATGCCAGGAGCGACAAGGAGCGGGTCCACACATTTGAGCCCTATAGACCCTAAACCCCAAAACCCTAAACCCCATAGATCCCTTAAGGAACCCTTACAGTACCCTTTGAAGGAGCCCTAGACCCTAAGCCCAGGGCCCTGGAAGCCGTGCAGCGGGCTCTGGCGCAGCATGGTCACGTCTTGCCTTGCGCCGCCGCTTCTGCCGCAATTATCAGCAATTCCATGGATCTTTGCTACCTGAGGGAGTGCTGCAGAAGCGCGAATGATGGCCAATACCAGCCCTTAGGGTTCCTGACTTAGCCCTTATGAGGACCCGTCGAATGACCCTAGTAGCAAAAACCACCTTCAAAACCCTAAACCTCATAATCATGAACCCTATAAACCCTAAATCCTAGGTTAAAACCAAAAACCCGAGATCACATTCTGAGCCCTAGATCCCAGATCAAACCCTAAACTCCGAGATCAAATTCTTCAAAAGCGCTCGCGAGGACTCTTGGAGATGCTGGGCCGCCCTGTGGGCGGTGGGGACGCTTCTCCATCCCTGAGAGGCCTGGGCTCCTTTGTAAGCTGTTAAGGAAGCCTGATACGGCACCCACGATTAAGGGAACCCAGAAAGGAACCCTAGTTTAGAGAACTACCCATATAGATACTTTTGAGCCCCTCAGGGAGCCCGAAACTTACCTTTGGTTTGTAGGGGTTGAATGGGGTATAATTATAACTACTATTACTACCATTCTTCCATTCCCTGCTAACCAAAGGTAAGATTTTGAGCCCTTAAAGGGAGCGCGTAAAGGAACTCTTGCATATGTAGATATAGATCCCTTAACGGAGCCCTTAAGGGTTGCCTATAAGGCTATAAGAGGATTCCTTGGTGAATTTTCAGCTCTTCAAGGAAGCCTTACATGGGTGGTTGTCAAAATTATGGTCCCTTTTTGGGTCCCTAGTATACCCAGGAAGGGACCCTAGTTTAAAGGAGCTCTTAAGGATTGCCTACAAGGCTATAAGAGGATTCCTTCTATAGGTTCCTTTCGAATTTAGAAGGATTCCCTTTCAGGTTTTCTTTAAGGTTTCCATCAATGTCCAGTTTGCAGGGGTTATGTACGAGTTCAAGGTTTAGAGCATGGGTTGCGAAGGCTCTGCTCTCGAGCTCATTGGGTGCTGGAAGCATAAACCTATGAACATTTGAGGCGGTTTTTGCAGCTTTTGATTCTTGTGTGTGCTTATGTGCCCTGTTAAGTTGAGCTTGGCTTGGCTTTTGGGTTTAGAGTCTAGGGGTGAGAGTTAAGTACGAGGGGCTTATGAGTTAAAAGCCCCAAATCCCAAGCGGCTCTGAATGCTCTTGAACCCTCAAAACCCAACCGCTCAACCTAACTCCAAATAACCCACCTTTTAGGACTTGCTAAGGAAATCAAAATAGGATCCCCCAAAAAGGTAGGCTTCTTTTGGTCCAGGAAAGCCTTCAAGAATGAGTAAGGGCTAGAACGATCCGACAATGGACAATGAGCCAGAAAGTTCGATGCGGAGAGAAGATCACTGCTTTGATCCCTTATCTGTACATGAAAGGCATGAGGCGAAGATGATGATGAGGATGATCGGATTCCCTGCTTCTGTATCAACATAGAAACCCGCATAATGACGAATACCATACCTTACCATGGATACACGTAAAATAGTATACCCAGTGACCCCATTCTTACAACCCTAAGCCCCATTCTAATTGTTTTGAGTCCCTTTATACCCCGCACCCCCATTCTAATATCCCTAAGTCCCATTCTAATCGTCATGAGCCCCATAAACCCCCTATAGGAACCCTTAAAGGAGCCCTATAGAAGCCTTGTAGAAGCCCCTTTGGGTACCCTATAAACCCCCTTGTGTTACCAGGACTCGGCCGCGGGCCTTGGCGACAGAAGGCAGCTCGGGCCGCTGACCGCGAAGGCCAGAGTCGAGTTTGGAAGTTTCCGAAAAAATAGGGGGACTTTATGATCTTTGTCATAGTTGGGTAACATTTTACATTTCTATGGGTACTTAAACCCAATAAGGAATAAAAATTTTCAGTTTTTAATCCTATCCCAACCATGAACTAGTTATGGGGTCCTTCTAATATGGATCCTACTGTTGAGGGTACGAAGTTAAGGTCCCCTGTTTTCGGAAACTCCCGTCTCGATCCCTCAAGCCTTAAGCAATGATTTCCCGGGCTGACGTTCGTTTATGGGTCTGTATAGGCCGAAAGGAGTCTTTAGGTTCTCTTATGGGCTTCTATGAGTTGCCACGGCAAGCTAAAGCGAGGTTGTTTTTCTCCTTTCAGTGCTTCTCTAGTATCAGGCTTGTGACCTAAAGTTCCGGGAACAGTCCGTCATGTTCGCCGTAGGCTGAGGCATCATAGGCCGCTAGACCCCTAAACCCCACACCCGAAGCTTGTACACTCAACTGCTTGCTGAGGCTTGCCTGGCCCGTCTGAGGAGCCCCTTGGCTGGCTCGGGAGTCCGAACAATTGTGTCGTAGTCTTGAGCATATGAGGCCTTAGGGTTTCGGGTGTATGGGGTTCAGGATGAAAGAATTTACTAGTGTTACTTGCAAGTGTGTCGGGTTTATGGGTCCTACGTCCTCTTCGTTCTACCCTTCACGAGTTGAAGGCTTGGCCTTGCGGGTGCACCTACCCCGGTCCCGTACAGTTGCAAGTTCAAAACACATGCCATGCTTCTTCGACAAGAAAACCCGCCTCAACCCTAAACCCGTAGCATACTTGTCCCCATGCCCGAAACCTCGGTGATTCCCAAGCCGCAAGACCTTCAACATCGTATTCGACAACATCAATGTTTGCATGCACAGCTGTAGAGCAACAAGCCGACAACATGCATACTACCTATACCTACCTACATCTGTACTGACATCCATACATACATACACAGGCATACTTCTGTTCATACATACACACATAGATTCACGTGTACACACACATACATACGGACATATACATATGTATATGCGCACATACATATGCATACCGATTTATATATACATTTACATTCGCATCTACATATACATGCACACATGCATACATACATATTTACTTGTTTACATACGTACATTCATACACCCGCACATACGCACATGCACACATACATGCATGCATGTTTACATACATACATACATACATACATACATACAAACGTACATGCGCACATGCGTACATATTCATACATACATATGTATATATATATTTATATTTATATTTATATTTATATTTATATTTATATTTATTTATGCATACGTACATATGTATGTCTGTATGCATGCATGTATGTATGTCTGTATGTATACATGTATATGTTTGTGTTCATGTGTATGTTTGTACGTATGTATGTACGCTTGGGTGTGTTTATGTGTATGTGTAGCATGGACAAACAAAACATGCACGATAGATAAACGAACAAATAAACACACATACGCACATGTACGTACATGTGTATGAATGATTGCAGGAAGCCATGAATGAAGACATGACATGAAATGAACGAATGACAATGCAATGAATGACTGTTTCAATGAATGAACGAATGCATGAATGCATGAACTTTACATGCACCTCTATAGCCCCTAAACCCGAATCCCGAGGCAACTCAAGCTTTCTGCCGCCCATGCAGAAGAGGCCGTGAAACTTCGGAGCGTGTTCCGGGATGCTTTTAGGGTTCAGGGTTGCGAGGATGTAGGATTTGGAAGTTTGGGTGTATAACATTGGGTTTCTGGGGTTGCAGTATGGGTTTGTGGTTCGTGACTGTGACAGTTCAGTCCGTGACACAACTTTCTGCTTGAGCAGTGTTGCATGCTTGGTACTTGCATCGGCTTATCCTTGGTTTAAATGCTGACCCCTCATCTTCACCCATGAGGTGTGAGACAGTTACACTCTTTTCCAAGTGTGCTTGCAAGAAGTGTCAGGCTCCAGCTCTTGCATCTGAGCCTTACAGGACAGTCGGCCATGTTCTCTTAACAATGTGCAGAGCACCTCAGATGAAGGGCAGCGCCATGGGGAAGCTCCAAGACTTAAACCCATCAGTGTGATGAATAGGAATTTGGAGGTGCACAGGCGTGGAGTTCAGAGTGAGTGCGCTGTCAAAAGCCCTTTTGCCGCAACCCTTATAACCCCTGTCAACACCCAACCGCCTTTGTTAGGCCTTGCCTTCAGCGCGACGGTTGGAGTGCCTCGTGCTGGTCTACACTTGGGCTCTCTTGCCTCTTGCGTTAAGGGTTTTCGTTTTGAGCCTTGAGTCCGGGAGAAAAAACTCCGAACTAGGCTTCATTTTGAGTGCTTGGATTGCTTGGCTTACATTTTCGTGCTCTGGTACCTCCAGAGCTAGCAAGCTTTTGCTTCGAAGGCGGGAGGGGTTAAAAGGTCCACAACTGATCCCTAAATCCAAACCCTCCCCCTAAACCTGAAACCGTGCGCCGAAGCGCCTGCCTCCCAAAAAACAACATTCCTAAGCCCTGAACCCTTAAACTTGTCTATATAGCATCCAATAACCTTATAGCCCGAAACCCTACAGTACCCTGATAGGAACTCCCCATGCAACCCGTAAGCGGAACCTTCAAACCCTCGAAAGCCAGGCTCCTTCTTCCCGTTTTCGGCCGACTTGCAGAGTTGGCTGTGAACTTTGACCGCGCACTGGCGCTTCAGGCGAATGCATGGTGTGCCCTAAGGGTTCACATACCTAAATAGTATATACATTGGCCTTAAAGTCCCTATATATGTACATTGGGGCTTATAAGTATATACTATTTGGGCACATGGACCCTCAGGGGTAGGTTTCAGAGTTGAGGGTTGGTGACATCATGGGTGCAGACCGAGGCCGCTCGCACCTGTGCGTAGCAGACAGCCCACCCAAAGACCATGCTGAGTTCAAACATTTCGACTATAGGTGCTTAAATCATTACCTACACTATTTTTGGGGGGTTCCTTGTTGTAGTTATAGTATCATGGACCCCAAGACCCTATGCTAAATATTAAGGCCCCTATATTAGGCATCCCAGTAGGGGCTTCGGCACTGGACTCCTGAGCCCAACTCCCGAAGCTGCTGAGCTGACTGTTTTAGCAGGCCTGCCTCTTTTTGAAGTTGCAAACCTAATTAGGGGTGTTTCTGAAGCCGTGTTTGTGGACGTCTCCTTTGCAGGGGTTTGGAGCTGTGTGTTCGGGTTTCGGGGTTAGGGTTTCGAACTGTGCTAATCACGAGTGCTGCACTGCTTCGCGCCAGCTCTTCCGGGCGAGAGAAGCCTGCTGCAAAAGAACGCTTCGAACTTTTAGTGTCGTGACTTCCTATCTTGCAAACGACTGGGTAGCAGCCAGTAAGTTTTTCTGTTAGAATCCTGAGAGGTTTCCTGCAACAGAGGCTGTGTGGTCAAGGATTTCCAGTGAGGGTTCTACAGGACAGGCCTCTCACAGAAAACTGCACACACAAGCACCCTTACACGAAACAAAAACATTTCCTCAAACCCGATGACATAAATTCGAGTTAAGGTGTGCAACATGTTCAGTTTTATGGTCGGTTCAATTGTATGGTCGGTGTGTTCCTGAACACAGTGGTCGGTGTGTTCCTGAACACAGGGTTTCAGCTGGCACCACAAGCGCTAAACGGCTTCATCGGTGTTCACTTCTTGAGTTTTTTTGGGCGACTGCTCAAACTTTACAAGAGGAGGAGGCCCTGAAAGCCGGGACCTCAAGTCCGAACTCGTTAAGTCCAGGACTCTGATGCTTGAACCCATCACAGAAACACGATGCCGTCGCCTCACGAGCCTCCCAAACGCCAACTCCCAAGTGCACCACACTTGGCTCCATTGCAAGCCGTGTATACCATAATTTTATGGGTGCCTGACAAAGTGCGTCACATCGTTTGCGGAAGTCCCTAGAATCTCAACGCACATGACCTGCATGGTAGCATCTTTCGATGTTTACTTGAGCCAGCCAGAGGTTATCCAAACAAAGGTACTTGATGTCAGGTCAATAGATACGATTTAAATCCATAGGGACAGGATCTTGGATCCTTTGTTTTTTCCACTTTCGGATTTGGACTTTAGGATCCTACACTCCCTATAAACCCTAAACCCCAGAACCCTTAGCCCTATAAACTCTAAACACCTGAACCATAAAGCCGGAGGAGGCCGGCTACGAGGTGGCGGTTGGTCGCGCCTTCGCCAGTGGGACCAGTCCACGGCAACCTGGTGCAAGCATATTTGGGGTTCAGGGTTTAGGAGTCAGGATGCTGTTCTGGCGCGACGTTGCAAGCCAGTCGCAAAAGGGTTCAGGGCCCATGTAACTGCTGAGGACTCCCTGAACCAAGACCCTAAACCCAAAAAGACAAACACAACTATGCTAGCATAAATCCCACGACACAGAGAGAGCACCACGACGACCATGACGATCACGAGGACCAAGACAGCCACACCACCAGGGCGACAGGGACGACCACATCAGGAAACCATCAGAAGACGGCCGGAGACCACGAGAACCCAGGAGTCCAGCGACGGACCACCCGGAGACCCCAAGGACATCACCCGACCAGGACATCCCATCTGCTCCCCCCAACTACTGACAGTATTCAAGCGCATGGCCACGAATTGTTCTCAAAAGTACTGAGGGGATACTGGCAGGATTCAGGAGCATGTACGGCATGCTTGGGCTGGGGGGATTCAAGACTTTCGAGGGAAAATGGAGAACTAACGTTTCCGAGTTGGATGATCTACTTTCGCAAACAAACAGAAGAGGTTTCCATTTGCCCCCCGAAATGCTTGAAACCCATGATTGATGAAAGCCGCCAGCAACACTGGGAATCACCTCCATCGTCATCGACATCATCATCGTCAGCAGCATCATCCTAGGCTTTAGGGGGATGGGTAAGCACATCCAGAACACGAAGGCCTCCTAAACCGTCCTGCAGTCGGAAAGCACTTTTAGTCATCTCTATTGATTTCTCGTTTCGGGTCAACTCTAAGACCACAAAGTTCCGAGCATTTGTCCTGTGACCAGAGGTTGCCCAAGCGTGAAAACTGCGGCTGGATCATCACGATGTGTGTTTGCAACTAGGGCCGTTCTGCATGCCACCGTGTATGTCTCGCTGTTGTCCTTGCCAGAATCAAGGCATGCTGCCTCCATTGTTGGTGTTCAATGTTCTTCCTGTGGACTCTTCCAATGAATAACTGTTACGGTGAGCACCACTAGTGTAAGGTTCTTTCGCAGACGAGCTATGATTTTCCTGCTGCCCTTGTCATGGTAGCATTTGCTAGGAATGCTTTGGTAGCAAGACGGATGTGTAATATAGGGGCCTAACTAAACTACCTATACTATTTTGCGGTTCCTTATTATGATCATAGCATATATGTACTGGGCCCACGAACCCTACTCAAATTATTACGGCCCCTACATCAGGGTCGCAAATTGAGTTGGGTCCCGGAAGCTTTGACCCTTTTAGCTCAGCTCTGCAGGAATTGCGCGCTGTACGCCGGCACGCCGTCACAGGAAGGAAAAGAACGCGGTCCTGTTTAGGGTTCAGGGTTTAGGGGAGGCTCAGAAAGGGTTTGGGGGAGGAGCCACACCCGAAGCCATTCGAAGCGAGACGCTTTGTGCCCTGTGCTGTTGGTGCATGTTGTAGGTTTTGCTGATATGGTCCCGGGAATCTGTTCCCAACGTTGTTAATGGACAAGGGCACATACTTCGTCGTGGCGGCAGCGGAACGGAATAGATGGTTCGTTTGATGTTCCAAGACTCATGGCAGTCGGCCGAGAACCCAAAATCCAAGCCTTTTGAATGCCCTTGCAAGGCTTTGTTACTGAATTCTTCAGGCCGCTCTGCACTTTGGCGCGGGCTTGATACCGGAATGATGGAAGGGTTTAGGGCTCAGGGATGGCTGAAAGGAGTGTGAGGGTTTTAGTTTAGGGAGTTTAGTTGGGGCTTTGCAGCCCAAGCAGCTGATTCTTGAACATTAGACACCCATAGAGATGAAATATTCATAAATATTCTGATTCTGGGCAATCGCCACCTTAATTGTCAGTCTTGACATGCGTATGAGATGTACATGGAACGTGATGGTTAAGACAGCAGGAATCATGACCGCACTCTCAACTCTCAACCATAAGACCCCAAAGCTCAGACTGCTACAGATCATTCGGGTTTGGGGTCTACTTGTTTACTACAGGGGCCTAAGAAATATAAGCAATACTGTTTTGGGGGCTCCTTACTATAATTATAGTATAATATGGGCCTCAATACGCTTTTCTGAACGAATAAGGCCCTTGTATTCGAGGGCCGCGGGATGTTGCGCCGTCAGCCCTGTCCATGAAGGCATTCGGAGCCTCGCTAACCGTGGCGACGCTATCTCTTTCAATGCTTGTAGAGCTTGAACGCCATACCCCCAAGACGCCGCTGAAGGGGTTCCTGGAGGGCATTTTTTGCAGGGTTCGGGACCTCACTGTAGGATTTGCATGCACTCTGGAAGTGTGTGTTGCGGGTTCCGCTTTCCAGGGATGGGCTCCTTTAAGGGTTCAGGGTTCCCCTTAAATTAACGGGGTGTATAGGACTTCGGGATTAGGGTCTAGGGAGTGTCCGGGCGCTCATGTCCTTTAGATGATTCACGGCCAGGTCAGGAACCGCTTGATGCTGCCCTCAAGAATGCACATGCCGAAATCAGCCGTGGCCATCCAATCGAAGCATCGCAAGAAAGTCTCATTGAGGCAGTAAACGTTCAGAGAAGGATAGGCCGCATAGCAGGAACATAGTGCGCTGCTGGTCGTCATGGCTTCTGACCGCTCACGTTCGCCGGTTGCCGCCAAGTCTGGTGGGAAAAAGCACCTTGTCACGGTGATTCCCTGTGAGACTAATACAAGTGAAAATCTCCACTGGCGGAGGGTGCAGTCACGGCAAGGTCTCGCTTCGCATGGTGTCGGCTGTGGTTCTGGGATTGTGTACGGGAAGAAGATGGAAGAAGCGTTTTCAAGACTTCGTTTGAAATGCTTGGGTAATGGAGCCTGCATTTCAAATCATAATTCTGCCACCAGAGAGCCGTAAGATCCTCAACGTCGTCTTGCATCCTAGAATGCTCACATTCTGAGCGGGGAAACCCTAAGCGCTGCCGCTGGCTGGGGTCTCTTTGGAAGTCGTGGCGACGGGGCTACCTAGTGCTCGGGTTTGATGTGGGCTTATTGATGATATGGTGGGTTCGGTGATGTCGCGGCTTCACGTCGCTGTAGAACATCAAAGCTGTGAGACTTGCTGGGCCCTGCCTCCTGGTCCGAGTGCATGGGTTGAAGCCGCAAATCTGACTTGCACTGAACCCTTTATCTAGCCCGTAAATCCTATACTAAACCCTAGAACCTAAACCCCAGACCCTATAGACACCCTGAAACCCTAAACCCTGACCCAGAGCTCTGGAGCCCAAAAGCCCCAAGCCAACAGCAACCAAGACCCGAAACTTTGCCAAGGATCCTGGTCACTGGAAGCCGCCTGGCATACTGGCAGATAGCGGGGTTATCTTGAGGGATTTTGGGCTTTAGGGGTTTAGGGTTTGCAGGCTCAGGTTCCAGTTTTCGTTCAGTGGCCCTTCACAGGGCCGGTAATTTTGCTCCATAACGTGGGCAGAGCATATCAAGATTTTTCCATCTTTATGCTATGTCATAATTGTGACTTGGAGCCCTCTTTTAACGATTATGGCCCCCTGTATCATGTCACCCCAAACCCTAGGGTTTAGGGTTTAGGCCCCACAGTCAGGCCATGGCTTCATTATGGGCTACACCATTCCAATCTTCCTGGAGCAGGGCCATGAGGCCCAGCCATGCTTTAGAGTTGAGGGTTTAGGGTTTAGGCGTTGAGGGTTACGGTTTAGGGTTTAAGGGCTAGTCCCCAAGCCCAGTTGCAAAGAAAAGGGACTCTGAGCCAGGAATCTCCAAAATTCCATATACCCAGACAGAGGATATATATGTAGGCCTTAGTCTTCGAGGGGTTCCTATAGTACGTTAAGGCCGAAGTATATGACGATATCGGCACATGGATCTCGGGAATCTACATCCCAAGGCTAAGACTTCACGCCGACAAGCATGCTCGAAAAGTCTCACAAACCATTCCGAAGGCAGTATGCTCGTCCGCGACCTTCGTGCTTGTGAATCAAGGCCTATTGGTAATCCCTCGCTCAACATCTCAAAGATGTTTAGAGTTTAGACAATCTATAGCGTCGGGACTGTTTCAGTTCCCGGTATGCTTTCACCGATCTGTTGGTTTTATAGTGTCGTGAAAACCTAAACCGGTGGACGTCCGAGAGGGCAGACACAAAGCGACAACCAAAAGCGAGTAGACTACGCCTAAACTGGCAATCATGGTTTAGGGTTTGTGCCGTCTAGCAGCGGCCAGTTTCACTGCTCAATACCCAAATGCCAAAAGCCTTCTCAACCCTAAACCCTAAACCCTAACCCCGAATCCCCAAGCCTTGACCTGCCGTTCAGGCTCGCTTGGACTTCTCGACCTAGTTACACCTAGTTACACCGCCTAAACCCTACAGCATGAAAGGAAGCCCAAAACCTACGGTTTCAAAGCAACTCTAAATAAAGCCCTGTGCACCCTTGCAACAGCCGGCATTGAAAGAACCTCCATGGGCCTTACTTAAACCCTAGAAACAAACCCGGGGGGGGGGGGGGGACTGCTGAGCTATAAGGAGACAGAAGTTAAGGATTCACATAATGAAGCAAAGCTCAAGCCCCGAGGATCCTTTAGGGCTTGCTTTTTTGTTCGACTTTGGCTGGAGTTGTGGGGTTTGTCGTTTGGTTTTGGGGTGTTCATCAGATTGCTTGTGCATGTGGGTTCCGGGGCCCTGTAAAGCCCTAAACCTTGTAATTGGGAGGTTTATGGCATCGACAACTTCTGGAAGTACGGCACCCTGTCACGGACCTTCGAGCACCTGGGACTGCCCCAGGTTCGAGGATTGAGGATTAGGGGTTTTAAGGTTCGGGGCATAGTGGCTTAGTGCATTGCAGCCCCTGCTTTTACTATGCTATGCGTCGAAGCTGACAGGTGAAAGAGTAAGTGTGAGAGAGATAGAGAGCGAGAGCGATGGCTTTTCAGGCTTTGAGCTGCTGGGTTCTTGTAGGGCCGGGTCCCTACAACTGCCTATAACCCTATACATGCTATACTAGGGCTTGCACGCTGAGAGCCTTCAAAACTGTAGGTTATGGTAGTTCAAGGAAGGGTTTCAGGTCTAGGTTGCAGAGTCTCAGGTCTGAAGTTTTAAGATTTTAAGGTTTTTCATGTAGTAAGTGCGGCTTTAGGACTTAGGTTCAGGGTTTGGGATTTCTCATCAGCCTGGCTTGACGGCCTAGGCAATTGAAAGAAATGTTGTCTTGATGCGGCCCGGCATCATGTTTTACACATTGGGCATGCTTTGGTGTACTGGTTCCTTTTTCGTCCACATGGTTACTAAGAAGAGTTAGCAACGGTCTTATATTGTTGCTGGTTCCATGGGCACTGACTATGTTAAATCGGATGCTGGCCTTGTTTGGCTCCAAGGGTTCTCAGTACAATCGCTATAAGGGTAGAGACGGGAGCTTGGTCAGTCCAACTATGGTGCGGGTTCCGTAGGGATGTTTATGTGATTTGGACAGATGTCTAGCATGGTTGTGGCATACTGGTTTGCAGATGTTTATATCGAGCCAAACAGCCCAATACCTCAGCAATATATAGGCAACAGACGTTGTAAATATAGGCAACTAACGTTGTGACTATAGGCAACAGACGTTGTAACCTAAGGGTTCGAGGTTACTGGGGTGCCAGCCTTGGGGTGGCAGGGCTTTGGGCATGACGCATTTACTCTGGAACATCTTGGAAGCGTTGCTATCAAAATTACGGTCCTCTCGGTGTCCCCCGAAATTACGTCCAATCCGTATTCCCGTGCAAATTCAACCTGGGCCATCGTGCTTTGGTGTTCCGGAATAGCTGAATTCGACTGGAACTTGATTGCTTGCCATTTGCGGTATTGAGGAAGTCCTATATCTTCAGGATCGCAGTTTGCAAACCGCGTAACCGTATTAACCCTGTCAAGCTACAAGAAAAGCTTGTAAACGCCTCGAAATATGTTGAACCCGGCAATGCCCGGCAAGCCGTCAAGTGCTAGAGAGTTTCAGCCTGTCGGGGGCCCCGGTTGTTTGTGATTCCGGGCCATGCTGCAGCAAGCATAAGTGGCGTTTTCATTACATGTTAAGTAAACACAAACCTCAACCCCGAATCCTAGACCCAACCAGCGAAGCTGAGGAAGCATCCTAAGTTCCACTTTATCACGGGTGATGCGAAAGATGTGGAGCTCTTGCGGAAGGTCTCCGGTGGGCCCTCTTTGTCACTGGGGCTAGTTGGGGCTTAGGATGAAGATTCGGGCTCATAGCTGCTCTGGCTGTACACCGCCATGTGCATAAGTGCCTACACCACTCCCGAAGCTTCACATTATAGTGTAAAGTGTAAGGTTCCTGTGTCGCTTTGCAGGTTGGGACCCTGTAGCCTGCTTTGCGGAATGACATTGGACATGTTCTAGGAGTTCCCTGTTATACCCGAGGCCCCTAAACCCTATACCGTAAACCCCCTACGCAGGTTGTCTTCGACAACAAGATTGAGATCTTTGTCGCAGCTGCTGCCATCATTGGAGGCATCTCTATGCCGCCTGGACTACCGTAACGTCAGGTCGGGGCTTCCGCCTATGTAGGCTGGTGGTGTATCTGTATGCAGCTCTGTCTCTCTCTCTCTCTCTCTCTCTCTCTCTCTCTGTGTGTGTGCATGTAATATATATATATATATATATATATATATATATATATACACACACATATATTACACATCATACATTCATACACACATACTTACATGCACACATGACGTGTGTATGTCTATGTATATAAGTGTCTGTATGCATTCATGTATTTATGTCTGACTTTTCGAGGTTAACTTATGCGCACATATACACATGCCATGTAGCTCAGATGTATGCACATAGCCGCACATGTGCCTTCTAGCCTTTATGGCAAAATAGTGATAGGTAAGAGTTTGGGGTTATAGGTTATAGCAATCCCTGAGGTACACCATCCCGCATTGCAGTGGTATAGTTTTGTTGAAGTTAGCATTGTGACTTCAGAACAGGGTTCCTGCTAGGCTTTTCAGTTCTTGCTTGGCAGCCCCTTCTTCCCTACCACACGTTTCCTTTCCAAAGATTTCAATTTCGAACCCTATCCCACACATAGCCGCTCCATGTAAGGTTCCACAAGCTGGCATACTTCCTCCTTGCAGAGAACGAGCGCATCACCTGTGCCATGGTTAACTTAGACTTGAATGAAAAGCCCCGAGTCTAAAGCCCGGAAACCTGCAGCATGAGCCTCAGATCTTGAGCCTGAGCCTGGCCAATCATTGCTAATCCGTTCAGCTGTTGGGCTCGTTCCTGACATGTCATGAATGGCCTCATGTCGTCGGAGGGGGTCGATCAAGGGTGTTGAGGGCCAGTGGGAGGCCTATCAGCAGAGCAGGCGAGAAAGCTGAACTGCTTCCATGGGTTCTGCATCTGCGACGGCATTGCCTCAATCAAATCTGTGACAAATCAGAAGCTGAAGGGCTTCTGGCTTTAGTCCCTGTTGCTTTGTCGAATATCTTAATAGTTATGACTTGAATGATCCCGAAAATTTCCTGGGTCAGAAACCCTCGTTGTGGAAGGGTTTTACCATAAATTGCAGAGGAACTGAGGTGTCCAACTGCGTGCGGAACTAAATAAACCGCGAGCCAGGGCATCCGCGACCTAAAGACCGGAGGCCTGTAAGCTTAAGAGGGCGGATGGGGGCGCGGTGGGGGCCCCCCGCCTCACTCAACTCTGTCTTCCCCCGGGCCCTCCACCCCCCACCCTGAGGTCTGCGCGCTCAAGGATTGATGTGGTCAATTCGAATCCATACAAGGTCGCCATGCCAACAGTATATGCACAAGCAACTACACTCCAAACCCTCAGCGCCAACAGCCTATGTAAGCATGTGTGCAATATCGTTTCACCTTGTTATAGACACACGGTTTCGGGATCGCACTTTTCCGTATTTTGATTATCATCATCGTCAGTACCATGGCCAGCATCATCATGTATACACACATGCATATGTGAATATGCGCATTCATATGTGCATGCAGCATGTTAGTACATGTTGACATGTGTATGTCTGTACACATACGCACACACACACATGTGTGTAGATGTATATATAAACATATGTATGTATGTACCTGGATATGTACTAAAAGTAATATGAGCATGCACAAAAGGTTTTGTTGGGCTTTAGGGATAACTAGTGAAGCTGTCCCGTCGTAATGCCATTTCACCATATCATACCCCAAACGCTGTTCAACGTTTTTGAGCTCCTGCATTCACGCCTCAGGACAATCGAATTCCACTTCTCACTAAGTTGGGGCACTTGTACAGGGGTTCATGTAATAATGGTTTCCAAAGACAGTAGTAAAACATGTAGTATGTCGTTATCTGCGCTGCTGGACTTCTAAGCTTAGGCTGCAGGGCGCTCATGGGTAATTGCATGTGCCAGGTGCTGCGTTTGACGTCTGCGTGGAAGCCAGGAAGGCCAGGAGCATGTGCGATTGCCGGCCATCCCCTAAACCCTAAACCCCTAAACTATAATTAATCCCTAATCCTTACACCTTATAATCCCTAAACCCTAAACCCTAATCCAAGCGAAAAAGCGTTCAAACGCAACAGGCGGGCTTCCTGGAGAAAATCGCGGCTGGGCGCGCCTGATGTAGGGGCGTAGGGGCCAAAAAATCGGCCCAGATAGGGCCTAAATACTTGCCAATACTATATTTTATAAAGGAAACTACACGGGAAGGGTTCCAATATAGGAGCCCTGAATATTTATGAACACTTTTTTGGGGGATCCTGAATCGTTAATAGTATTATAGTTGTAGTATAATGGGCCCCAAACCCTCTTCTAATTATTCAGGCCTCTACGGTAGTAGGGTGTAGCGGAGCTTGAAAGTCAAGAAGAAGCAAGGTTGGGAATCCTACACCCGACTTCACCAAACGAAAGGCGGCATCGGAAGCCAAGCAGCCCTAGATTGCTAAACCCCAAAGCCTGAACCCTTAATCCCTAATCCCTAATCCCTAAGCATGAGACCCTAAAGCCTAACCTCGTAAGCCCTATAAATCCCTACACCCTAAACCCTATCCCCCTCAGCCTTAAATCCCTAGACTACACCCTAACGCCTATCCCCCTAAGGCCTCTCAATCCCTACACCCTAAATTACTAAAGCCTATCCCCCTAAGCCCAGTAAGCTTACCTTTGGTTAGTAGGGAATGCAGGAGTGGGGTGCAATTACAACTACTATTACCACCATTCTTCCATTCCCTACCAGGGAAGTTAATCCCTAAACCCTAAACCCCAAACCCTAAACCCTAAATCCCCAAACCCTAAAGCAAAGGTGGTCATCAGCAGCTCCATGGTCTATGAGTGCAGCGAGACCTTTCCCTCGAAGGAGCTTTTGGAGGGTGTAAGGTTGTCTAGGTTTGGGGTTTAGGGTTTGGGGTCGTCGCGAGTGTCAGCTCGAATCCTCTCCTTGCTTTGAAGAAGCCGGGGGAAAGGGGCCTCTTGCTGTAACCGGGCTGCTGGACAGCGAGGCCTGCTGCAAAAAGGGTTTGGGGTTTAGGGTTCAGGGTTTTGTATACCGAGATTATGATACCCCGGAAAGGTTAAAGGTTACCCACTCTACTACTAAGTATAGGCTTGGGGTTTAGGGTTTATGTGGTTTTGGTGTTTGTAGGAATGCGTGGGCTTGCAAACCTGTACGGATGCATTATGGGGGTCAGGGCCTGAAGGGGGTGAGTTGATTCTGGCAGAGGGCAGGGTTCGAGCTATGGTGACTGTTAGATAGTAGATATCACTCACGTGGATAGGGCACTGTGAAAAACCGCACATGTTGAACCAAAGAAGGACCAAGTCAAAAAGCCCCGTCCACCAACGGCAGATATATTGTCGAGACCACCCCTTTACTCACAACCCCCACCCGGCCCCACACCAACCTTAGAAGGGGCTTTACAACAGGGATCCCAACATTATGAGGCCCTTAAGAAACAGGATTGAGAGAAGACTCACACGTCTACATAATGCCAAGAGGATGTGTTACTAATCGTGTTAGGTGTCCTTGTAGGAATTCTTGTGCCTATCCGTAAATCCCTCGGTCTATAGTGCCTTTAGGGTTGAGGGCCTGAACCCTACATTTTACATGCTACAACCCGGCAACCCACATTCTGAAACGCTTGATCCACCGAACCTCGAAGCCCCAAACCCTTCGAGTCCTTCGATCTTGGCGATGTAGTGCTTACCTCGACCCCCCCAACGCAGGTAAAAGAATGGCCCCAAAACCTACAAAAGGCTATTATTCTGCATACTCTTGGGGTCCAGGTAGGGGTTCAGAGTTAATGAATGCTTGAATCCAAGGCGCTGCACTCTTGAATTGACTTCCTTCCTCCACGTAAAAGTGACTTCCTAGCGCTCTTTGGAGATCTATTGGCGGAGTAATCGTATCTGTTCGTGTGCCTCAACATCATCGCCCTATAGACCCGAAGCTTTGGGCATCTCTGCATAAGACCGCAGGAGACAGACCTGAAGACTTGTCCACCTCCGCAACTGGGTTGAGCTTCATGATGAGGGTTTAGCGTGAGCAAGTTTTTCGGATTGGGTGGGCTGCTCTCAGGGTTCTGTTCGCGGTTATCAGGTGAGGGATTTCAGTAAACTGCATTTGCACATGCCTTTCCCGTCGTAAGCCTTGGCCTCAGCACGGGTTCAAAAAGGTACGGTGTTTTGCGGTTTAGTTTAGGATTTAGGCGGACGGTTTTTCAGATTCAGGCTATGCTTTCGGGCCTGTGGGTTTTGGCCAACGGTTCCTCCCACCCAATCCATGGCTAGCGTGAGCTGCACTTGTTGATTGCTGCAGTGTACACTTACAATACAACATTTCTGACAAAAAACAAGAACAGTTCAACGCTTCCGGCTTAAAAGCGCGACTTCGGTAAGCCAACACTTTGTTCATCATGATAAAAGCACCCTCCGAACAGAAATGAGCCTTCCCGGCTTAGAAGGCATGTTTGCCAACTATGAAACTTACACAGTCTTATGTAGCGCAGGGTTCAGGGTTAAGGCTGCTAAGGGTCTAGGGTTAGAGGTCGAGATTTTGGTTTAAGGCTTTGTGGCCGTATGCTCGAGTGTAGCCGTGGCTCGGTTCGTGAGCTACCTGTAGTTATACACTCGGTTGGGGTACTTGTCACTCTTGTTGTAACTACCCATGAACACGGAGTTCTGGCTCACGGCTTCATGGGTTCAGGGTTCTGCGTTTGGA